GACCATTGGTAAGAAACACCATGCATTAATGAAAGCTTGAGCTAGTGTATTTAATGCAAGGTCATGTGGAAGGTTCCTGCATGGGGACTAACATCTCAATTACCTTAGCAAACTGTAATAATCAGAACTGCAACCCAAGTCACTTAATTCTTACAGTGGAGTTCAATCCTTTTTTAGGCTATCTTCAGCTTGATCATCCTGTTAAATGTGAAAACATGAAATTTTACTCACATATTCAAATAATTATCTGAATCAAAAGTTATAATTTTTTAATAGCCTGCTTCCTTTAATTGTGCTCTAGGAATAGTAAATGGTATTGAAGAGAAAAGAAGAAAGTTCTTGAAACATTCTATGTTAAATGAAACTTTGTTATGAATGTTAATTGTGATTGCAACAAAAACAACTGTGAAGCTGTAATAACAATTACCTTTACAGGTAAACAAACCACGATGAAGCATGATATGAATAAATTTATTCTCACCCAGTTTGAATGTAGAAAACAAAATCTAACTAACTTACTGGTAAATAGGAAAAAGCTCAGTGTGCTTTTCTTGCTTCCGTCATTCTAAATATCACAAATCAAGCACGCCACCACTTCAGAGTGATTATTTTCAATGATGTATACTTTTTTTATGGACAGCTATTTTTAGTTTCTATCTTTCACCAGCTGACATCTGAGAAGCATGAAGTCCACACTGGCAATTTGACACATTGCAGGCAAACCCTACAACTGATTAAATTTTATTTGATCAAAAACATGAAAGGCAATAGAGGAAATTAGCTAACACAATTCAACTTTCCCTTCTTAAGTATTCTGTGGTGTTTTTTCTATCGCATTGTAAAGTTTGCAGTTTCCCTCATTTCACTGTCTTCTGTTCACTTGTTTGTATGCTTTCCTAACAATCTTAGCCATTGTTGCCAAGAAATGCAAGGAGCATACACATGAAAATGTATAAGTTAATAACACTTTAATCCCTGAGAGTAATTAGTATCTAATTTCTCCTTTCAGCATCACCCCTGAGTCACACATTAAGGTCATGAGAGTAAAGGAAAAGATAATCAACTGAAGAATCTCTTGATTGTTAAGCAAATTCTCTGCAGTTCCGTTTTCCTGCAACACATTTATCGATATTTGAAAAAAAACCAAAACTTATTCATTGTAAACTTTACATCGTCAAACTAATCTCAAACCTCACTGGGCAAGCGAAATTGAGAATGATAGTCATCATCAGCATCATCAACTCATAGCTGAGGTTCTACGCAAGCTCTGGTTGGTTTAAACCCTATCGTTTAATTGTACCCGAGAAACCCATTGTTTTTCTTTAAAAGCAGAGGATTACATCGATTTACCGAGCGAGCTTAATAATCTATTTGGAATATTGGCAGAACACTTGAAACCCTTGTAAGAGACGAGGAAAAACTTGTGACTTCCAAACTTTTCGATCCTTACTTGTTTGCCTGGGGAATGCAAGTGAAGAGAGTGCATTTACCTTTGCAAGTCCATCCATCTCTAGAGTATCCCGTTTTACACGAACAGTTGCACGACCCCTTGGTATTGTTGCATACTGCATTAGCGCTGCATTTGTGGGTTTCTGTAGTTGAATATTCGTCGAAATCTGAAATTTTAATCAAAGAGGTTCAGTCATATTGACTTGCTGTCTTTGATTGGCTGGATTATCCCTTAACAACAATGACATATATGTTGATACTCGATTAATCATTAATAATCATTCGAGTGATTAACAAAGTGAGACGAGACAACAGCGTGCACATGACGCGTTCTGTCCCCTCATACAGACATGACGTGTGAACTGTCCCTCTAACTATCCTGGTACATTGTCCATTAAAAGCATGACGCGTACACTGTCCTATTGGTGCTCAAATTGGGCTGGTGATAACCAATCGCATTCGAAAATTAAGTTCAATATAGTTTTGATTAAACCCTAAATTCCTAGTAACGATCAGCACAGACCTCTTCCTTACAATATCAATAGGTCGTGGCTAATAGGGTCAAGGAACAACAACAAACACTTATTTAGTTGTTATATAAAAGGATGATGATTATACCTTTACAAGTTCGTCCATCTCCAGAATATCCCGGTTTACAAGCACAACTGTATGATCCCTTGCTATTGCTGCACACAGCCTCAGCACTGCAGTGTTTTAATCCCACAGCACACTCATCGACATCTGAAAAGTAATTTCCCTTATTTTAAATGTCAATGTCATGTTCAAAAGTTTCCAACATTTGATCGAAAGGATTTACATTTAACATTGCTTTGTCCATTGCATAAAAATACTTTTAATTTAAAGAAGCGACACACAAGACTTTTAATTAATCATGGATGTAAGCTTTTCCTGGTATGATCCATTTAGTGAGTAGACTCAGTATCGCCCAGCGTCTTTTCAGTAATAGATCGCAGATGGTCTCAAATATGTAAAGAAAAACTCCTCCTAGCATATTATCGCATTAAATTACAGCAAAACAGTATTTAAAGAAACACGAAAACCACTCGCAGTTTGGCAGCAAAAAATGACTCTTAATATCAGTTTTATCACGGAAATCGTATAACTATCCATTGATCCGGCTCTAATATACTTTTTTAAGCAGGGTAAAGAAATGACATCCAATCGTGTCTGGATCTCACGGTGAGAGAATAGCTTAAATTTGGATCACGAGTTGAAATGTATGTTGTCAGCATCTTTAGGGCTTTATTTGATTTGTTATTTATCGTTTATTTGTATGAAGTTTGGTCCTAACCCTTTTGAACACAGGCGCTTTGAATTAGAAAAGGGAAAAATTTTAAACCGTAATATCATACTCTAAGATATTAATTTTGCCGGTTGAACCATTGAGTTATCTTTAAGTTTGTCTCTCGTTTTAAAACTGATGGTGAATCGAAAGAAATTTATCCGAAACTGATGGGGTGTTTTAAATAGAATGAAAAATAAATGTAATCGGGATCGTAATTGCTTTACTGAAACCGTATTCATTACACAAAATATCACTCACCTCACCAAATGAAGTTTGGTTGTTGTCATTGTTGTCGTTTGGTTTGTTGTGGTTTTTTTTTTTTTTGGTTGTTGTCGTTGTTGTCAACAGAAAGTTTATAAACGGGACGATTGGCACTTTTCCTACAGGAATAATTATTTTCAATTAATTCAAATGCCTGCATAGATGTTAACATTTCTTGGTAAACTACCAACCAGTGAAATAGAAGGATAACAAAACAGTAAAGGCGATTCTTTCGCCAAAACTAGGATTTGGATAAACGAAAAAATAGGTAGCTTCTTAATCATATTTTATGATTTGATGAAATTAAGTAGATTAGGGTTGGAACGAATCTCTATCTTTTCAACTACATACAGGGCTTCTGTCCCCTCCCCTCTCCCCCTCTCTTAGGACTAAGAACGAACAAATCGCTACTTTTGAACGAAAACGAAATTTCGAGAAACTGGAGCGTGACGATGAAACTAAAGTACTTTAGACTTGGTGTCTCATTTCTTTGTACAGTCATGTTACCAGACCACAATTCACCTTTTTGATCTGGAAACTAAACTTCACAGCCCTATCTTTAACTTCCCAAGACGTCTATCCCCCACTGAAAAATAGGCCATGGAAATAAATATCCTGGCGACGTAACAGAGGCAGTCAAGTTTTTATGGTGCGGATCGCATTCTGAGACCGATTCCCCGTGAGATTTACAAATTGATCTTAAAATCAAAACATCCTTGTTCTTTTCTGACCAATTATGGACCTCCTGTCTTCTGACTAGCGTGATATCGTTTTTTATAGTACCATATAAGCTTGGATGTGAGTCAATTGTTTTACTTCCTTAGATTTAGCAAGAATCTGGACTAGAAGAAAAGTTTTCTTTAATAGATTTGTCTTTTGCTGGTTAAAATTCGAGCACTGTTTATCGTCTATAGAACTCAAAATACATTTGCCTCAAAACTGAATATTTAAGAGACAGGTAACTTTTACACCAGCTCCTTGAGAATCTTTTACTCATTTTCGTCTTTTTTTACCTTTTTTTATACATGAAATATATGATGGTCTTAAAATAGTTTCGTTCCAAAACAAGATCATCAAAGTAAAAGGGTGAGAATCGATAATGTTGCGAGTGATCTTATGAAGCAAAACCATCTATTATAACATGACGGAGAATTTAGGCTCTTTGTATGATCAGTAGGGTATCATGAAAACGATGTAAGGTGACCGACCTCGGTCACATCGTAAAGTAAAACAAAAAAGCAAATAATGAAATAAGCCTCCAAATATCCGAGAGTTAAATTCTAAAAACCGAAGTATTGAAGTCTTATTATGTACAGAGAACCTACTTGGAATATATATATATATCTATTATGTAATATTGCCAAAATCAACCATTGTTTTATGCTCCATAGCTTTATTGTAATATCCTTCGGTTTGCTAAGATTTGTTGTTCTCTACTTATTTACTGGTATGGTAATGACGACAACAATCGTAGTAATATTGGTGACTGATATGTTTTTACAAAGGTCATCTGTCATTCCATTCGCTGACCTCAAATTTTTAGAAAAAGATAAATGAACCCTGAGGTTACTAGACGTGCACTACTAACATTTTCATCTAATAATTTTGTGATCAAATATGAAATACGTTTTTCAATACAATACCAGGCTGTTAACTACTTATACATATTTCATTGGTCTGATGAATCTAGGCGGACTACGCTGTGGGTGACTCGCTATCTTTTCAATTACCTGAAGGTCTTTTGTCCTCCCATCCCCCTACAACCCTCCCCTTCCCTCCCCCTCCCTAAGACTAACAGCGTAACGTTAATTTTTATCAGAAATTGGAAGTTGAAATTTGTTTTGGGAAATCCCATAAAGACGAAACTAGATCATTTCGTGCTCGGCGTCTAATTGCTTATTCAGACCCCTTTTGCTACATCTTAATGTTACAACTTTTCGGTTAGCTTTTTGTCCATTTCCTGGCGATTATATCGATTATCTTGTCACTGAACCAAGATGTAGCCCATGGCTTTGATGTCTTTGTCGCCATTTTCTCCTCCGTGTCTTGCAGTGTTCCCACACGTGTTGGAGTGGTCAGGAGGGCCACCTGTGCCAAAGCCAATTCTGGAATCACAGGATTTGCAATCCTTTTGGTTATTGGCAATGATACCAATCCTTGCTTTGGAAAACTGATCTTTAACTACAGCATTGAACCCTTCCTTATTGCAATTTATTTGTAAAGATGCCTCGGTGCCAATCAGCGACTTCCATGTGTCACGACTCAGTGATGTTTTACGATAATGTCCGTCGGCGATCAGCGAGTACAAAGAGCTGGCTTCCTTTTTGATGACAATGAACCTTGAAAGATTGCCGAGCTTCATTCCAAGACAAATCTTAGAGAACGATGTTTTCCAGTAAGTCGGTAGCTTCGTCTCATTTAAGTCAAACCCAGTCTCCCCACCTTTAGGATTGAAGTCATCAGTGTTATTCCAAAGTTCTGAATCATAGTTGAAGTTTGGCTATGTAGATGGAAAATTTGAAGTTAATTGAATGATGGTTGAATCGATTTGGAAATAATTTTTAGAATCACAACGGGTAAAATGATTCGAAATGTTCTTACAGCAAGAGTGGGGAACTTGATCTGTCTAGTTTACGTAAATTTGAGGCCTTCGGCATTGAGCCTCAAGGCTGTTATCATTATTATTGTTGTTTTTCGCTTTCCTGGTTGCTTTTTTTTTTGGGTCAGTCTTTTAGGTGAATAAATATTGAGGCTAAACATTCGTCTGAATTCATTTATGAATTTGAAATTCCACGTTAGGTTTACGTTGCCAATGTTCGAAGGATAAAGCTTGGTCATGTCATCCTTTACAAGGAAGATTGAAAAGGGGAAAGTGTCATCCGTGCAGTCGGTGCTAAGTAAGCTTTGAAACTCTTTACAGTCGGTGGCCAATTTCCATTATCAACTCAATTATTTTGATATACATTAAGGGACAGTATATCGCGCATACTGATGATAGTTCCTTTCATCAACAGGTCACCTGTTAAATTTTTCCATTTCAATAGAACATTTGCATCAAGTTTAATAGTGATGAGAAGCAAGATACCTTCTCGCCGGCCATTTTCATTACCATAGTCCATCCACCACCCCCGCAGCTGTCAAGTTCATCAGTCATGTGACAGTAAACATTGACCTTCGCATAATCCACTAGAAGTTGATAAGCTCTATTCTCCTGTGAACTGAGGCTAAGTCGTTTTTTCTACGTGTTAATTATTTGTTTCATTTATTTATTGATTTACGTGGAGTAACAACTATGTTACTATGAACTGGCTTTTTGGCTGTATACCATGACATGGGGACCTAGTGTCGCTCTCTCTTCTTGATCCTTTGTTCAATTCTCTCACAGCACACAGGGCCGTGCAGCTTTTTCCAGTTCGAGATATGTTTAGTATTTGAAACGTTTTGGCATAGAAAAGAATATTTATCGCGTAGCAAGGCTTTTCAAGGTCTCCAACGTAGACCTGATATCTGAGAAATGATGAATAAATTGGCAAAATGAGTAAAAAGTGGCTCGTGCGGGGAACTTTGACAGATTCATCTTGCTAACAAGAATATACACCATGGTTGTCGTTAATTATTTTAGCGAAACACATAACATGCCTTCTTCGTTCTATATTGGCAAAATGCATTTTCTTCTGAATGGTAAAACTTGGTTTACTCCCGCAGTAACGAAAGATTTTGAAAGACAAAAAAGACCTGATTTTTGTAAAAACAGATGCAATGTCAAACCAACCTTCTATAACGACCTTTATTTTAAAATGGCCAGATTTCTTGGTCTGCAAGGGACCGTCAGTTAAGGTTCTACTGTATAGTTTTAATTTTACTCTTTCGAGAAGACGTTCAGCATCCTCTAGATTTATTTTTAGGGTTTTCTTTCACAACCCTAACACTTAACTAAAAATAATTATCGATTTTTACGTACCTTTGACTTTTGTAAATTTCTGTGCACGAATGAGAGAAAGGACCTAAAATAAGGAGAAGTACAGAATTACATGGGTATTTCGCGTATTGTTGAGGTGTATTTGGATCAGTATATACCCACCCCAATCTGATAATGCCTTGATACGCATATTACACAGAACAAGTAACATTTCGTTTAAAACTGACGAAAAACTTTTACTCAGCAAATGTAAGCTAATTTAATAGCATTTTGGGGTGAAACTGGTAGCTTGATAAGCAATCTTAATAAGTTTATTTAAATCTCGTACTTATTACATACTATAAACTTGAGTGGGGAAGCCAAAAAAAAAGCAACTTCGTGGTGTACAGTGAACGAAACACCTGTCAAAGTCGCAGATGGTATTCTCACAGTAGAACCGTCGGTCTTGATTGTAAAGACATTTCTGATCGATAATTACCATGCTGGCTAAATTGGATTAAAAAGGATGAGAAAATTTGAAAATTTTACCCTCGCACGTCAATCCATCTCCATGGTATCCTGGTTTGCATATGCATTTGAAAGATCCCTTGGTATTGTTACACACAGCATCAACACTGCACTTATGTGATCCCTCAGCACACTCATCAACATCTGAAAAAAGTTTTCTTTGCTTTATTAGTCGATAACATGGGCAATAGCTTCCAACTTCATGATCGTGTAGGCTTTTTTAATCTTTTCATCAGCGCCTCCCATCCCCAGGATATAAAAAGCCCACCCAAACTTGTTTGCAACATTATATAGACCTTAAACCCGAGAGTTTCGAGCAATACGTCACGAACTGTGATGTCCACGTGTGTTTTTTTTCGTTTGTTTTTGTATAATTTTTTTAGTATTGAAAACGTGTCTTACCTTCTTGACAAGTCGGGCCCTTGAACCCAGTTGAACACAAACAGATATAACCTTTTCCAGTAAAATCGCTTCGGCAAGTGGAATTGTTTTTGCAGGGATTTCTTACACAAGCATTCTGAAGCAGAAATAAATAAATAACCATAAACCCTTAAAGCAATTAACTTCTATCTTATAAACCTTCACCATTCTGAAAATGTGAGGTTCTTTTAAGACCCTCCTTCCATATACAAAAACTCTAAATTGATACTAAAACGTAGGGATAAACAGGTATCATTTTGATTTGATATGAAAATAGTTGAACCCATGTTTTGTTTCATCATAATTGGGCCATCAGAATGGGGAACAATACTGAAGAACTAGCTAGAATGTAATGGATAAAAATGAATGATTAATTTAGTAGGTTATGACCTTTTATAGCTCGACCTCGTGTTCTTTGTGAGGAACATTATGCCCAATGCATTTGCATTTTCCTCGCTTACCATGTGAAACAGAGTTTAGGAAAATTCTTCGTTTGGACTTCATTGATGCAAATAAGCTATCGGTTTGAGTTAAAGATCAAGATAATCCCTTACCAAAAGCTGAGAATGATGCGCATTCTTATTTTCTTCGTACTCGATAGGATTGTTGTTCTCATGAGGTGACAGTAACTCGCACCGCAGTTCACCTTTGGCAACTAGGTTCACGGAAACACACAGAGGATGGTGAAGACACCTAAACATGCATTCAAAGTCGTCGTATGTAATGATTTCGTCAAGTTTAGGAGCATTCAAATATCGAAACCTGTCCAAGGAAAGCAGACTAGACATCTGTGGTGAAGTTTCTTGATTATCCTCGGTTTCCAAGGTGACCGTTCCTGTCGGTTGAGAAAATATAATTATTCATTTTTCTATAATTTGGGGAAAAACAGATACATCTAGGAATTTATGTTCGCTAACGCTTCCCAAGGACAACGTGAATAAAACGGATTGATAATAATATCACATTTAAGTGGTATAAGAATACAAGAGCGTGTCAATGGGGTTTACCGTCAGCCCTACCAAGGAAGGAAGAAAAAAAAATAGCCGTTAAGCACAATAATTGACGAATTTAAATCATTAGCTGTAAAATGACCAAAACTTGAACTGTTACCCGTAAAAGCCATCCCCCTTATTGAGACCGTCATATATGTATATTTAACTAACGAAGGAAATCGATTTGTCAGCTTTAGATTTTGGATTTGGTTCACGGTAGTGGTAGGCACTTTTTCAAAAAGATCTTACAGAGGTAATTTGTCTGTGCCTATGCGAACTTTGAACCACGCAAAGGAACAACGTGACGCAACTTAAATATATAAACAAAAACTTCGCTGTCAAACGGAGAAGGCTTGGAAAGCTTGAATTATAAAATCTTTAGTCTTTAGAATTGCCACATTACTTTGTTCGAAAAGTGCTAAGTGTTCCATTATTTGGCGTCCTTACAGATAATTCCATTACATTATCAATTTTCTTTCGTGAATTTCGCAAAACACGGGCTATTTCCGATGTCTTCCTTTCGGTGTTTCGGTAAGGAATTGAAATTTGTTCCGCCAATATCTTATTCATGAGTGCATGAACGACTTTTGACTGCATTATTTTTTTGTTAAAAAAGATTGAAATGTAATGTTTAGTCTGTGGAAAGCTCAAAATATAAAATGTTTAGTCTGTGGAAAGCTCAAAATATAAAATCTTTAGTCTAAAGAACTCCCACATCACTTTGTTCGAAAAGTGCTAAGTGTTCCATCATTTGGCGTCCTTACAGATAACTTCATAAAATTAAGATGTCCCTCTCTATTACTAAGAACGAGCAAATCGTTGCTTTTGATAGGAAACGAGATTTTGCAAATTCGATTTGGGAAACCCTCTCCTGACAACTCCACAGGTGTTGGAGTTGTCAGGAGAGCCACCTGTGCCAAAGCCAATTCTGGAATCACAGGATTCGCACTCTTTTTGGGTATTGGCAATTATACCAATTCTTGCTTTGGAAAACTGATCCTTAACCGCAGCATTGAACCCTTCCTTGTTACAATTATCTTGTAACGAGGCCTCAGGGCCAGTCATCGACTTCCATGTGTCACGACCTAGTGATGTTTCATTCATTCATTTTAGAATTTTAATCGATAAAGCATTTAAACCTTGTAGTCGTTCGTCTATTAATCCCTGATTTATACTGCCACCAGAGGAAGAATTGGATGATACAATCCATTCATCTTGCGGAGAAACGTACTACAGTATCTTTAATTAAGAAGTTTACGATAGCAAACCCCCCGATCTCGGTAATGTCATTGAATAATTATATTTTTCATCGCCAGTAAATTCAAACTAATTCGAAGAAGTTCAAATAAGTTCTGCTTTTTTTCAACCAGACGCTTAAGCTGTAAATTAAGTAAAGAGGATTGAATAGCGAAGTTATTACATCTGAGAGTAAGTCCAGATCAGTGAAACCAGCTAATGAAGCTGCCTGTCAAGTAGCAAGTTTCAGATTTCAGCGTACTTCCAGTTCACGGTGTCAAGCTAAATCTCGTTGTAAAATTATTGGGCAATGATAATGGCTCAATTCGGTGAACTCTCGGCCCAAAAAGAACTATTTAACGACTGCACCGCTAAGGGACCTCTTGGTAGGACTTCTAAACACTACTCAAAAGCTATTGAGTTGAGTTGATAACTTGTGTCTCTCACTTAACCATGACAGATTAATCGACTTTTTGTCGGAGATCATGGTTATTACCAAGCCAACCGATACAGTGGACACATTAGAGGAGCAGCGCAATAAAAGGATGAGTCTTTGCATTCATTCAGACGACAACATTCACGATATGAAGCTTCCTCTTGGACGAATCCAGTACATACTAAAACAGATAGAGACTAGATGAAACTTGAAAGCACATGCAATTTTACTGCATAACCTGTCACTTCTTATGTTTACTGTTGCAAAAGACTCTTTCTGTACATCGATTTATCCACCTAAAATTGACTTGGTCAAGGAATTTAAAGAAATTGGTTTTCAAAATGATGATTTTCATGCCGAGATGCAGCTAAGCGAAATTGTATTGATAATGAAGATAAAAAACTAACAAGACATATCCTCTTAAAAATAGCAGATATTTGGGCTAGATGTGATTATGGAAGATCAAAATCCCTAACACTTTTTTTTTCAATCAGAGAGGAGTGATTACAGAGACTAACCTTGCGATGTGACAAAGGCAGTCACGATACCGTTTAACAATAGCAGAACACACATAGAATGTAAAATTTTCATGGTGCGGAACACTTTCCGAGAATAAAATCCTCAGGGAGGTGAACACTTATGTGAACACTCTTCATAATCTTCTATTCAACAAAAATTTTCCATTTCCGTTTGACCAGTGAAATATTAATAAAATTTTGCTGCTTCTTCATAATATTGAAAAAAAAATAAAACAAATAAAATAAATAAAAAACAATTACTATCGGTGCTAATATGAATTTTATTCAAAGAGTGAGACTTAATTATTCAAATGACTTCGCTCGTCTTCTTTAAAAGGCAATTAATGATTAATGAATAAATTTAACGAACAGTGGCACCCGTCTGAAAATATTCTTAGATCTAGATTTAGATTTAGGAAGAAACTAAACGGAGAGAAATAAGCCTTTAATTTGCTGATATAGTTGACGCTAAATTTATAAGATGTGCCAAATATGTTTTGCCCTCAGCACTGTAATAAAATTGAAGAAAATTAGATGATTTTATTTATTCTACACAATTTCCAGGTGGCTATTATCATTCTTCTGCAGGCTTAGATTGAAAATTTGGGCGGCGAAATGAAAAAAAACAATGCTCTAGGGCAGGTATTATTGATTTGAATGAAAATTTATTGCACAATCCCGCAAAAAGGTTTTCCAATGTTGCAATTAGTCTTGATTTCAAAAATAGCTAAACCCTTTTTTTTAATTTGCTTAAATTAGTAGGACCTTTAAACAGTTGTGAATCTTTTTCAAATGAATTCCTTACGTTCCCTATCTTTCGATGGAATGATTTCTGGCCAGTAGCGGTTTTAACTGACTGAATGTTTATTTGTTATCAGATCGGTCAGATATCTGTCCTTTCCTATATTATTCTCACCACTATTATCATCATCATCATTATTATTATTATCATTATTATTATTATCATGAGTTGCTTTCCGAGCACGAGAGCTTGGAACTCTGTAATCCGCGGTTCGTCGGGAGACTGCCAAAGACCACAAGCTTAGTCTTTTCCGTGTTGAGCAAAGACAATTTTAAAGACCAATTACGGCTTAGATGTAAATCGTTATGGATGATGTGGTTTGCTCCAACCTTGTAAGGCAAAAGTAGCTTGATGTCATCCACGTAGCCCTCGGTTTTGTATCTCTCACCGATTGCCGGTTGATAACTTACATAGATACAGTCTGGTCAATCGCTCGTAAGGAAGCATTCATAAAAGACACTAATGAATTTTCAGTTGAGAGCCATTCCTTATCTCCGCTTTGATTGAATGGGAGTCTTTACATAAAATGAGAGTTAAAACAGGCAGTAGAGAAATCGTTCTATTATTACTCGGTTCTTCGTAATCATCTTCTTTTGGAATTTGGAATAGCGGTGTCATTTTACAGAAGTTTTTTTTGCTTGCTTGAGGTATGCATGATTGAATGGTCTTTTACATTAGCATTTTGAGTAACTCTGGTTAATTTTCATAGCCCTCAAACTTTGATTCTCACTGCATACTTCTTCTTCAACTACGGAATTCTGACTCTACTCTTTTGCACGCTGTCTACATTCTTCTAGTCTTCTCTTTTCTCTATTTTCTATATTATTTTTTCTCTCTTCTTGCCACTCTCTTCTAAGTAAACTGTAAAGAACAGGCTCATATATTCACAACTGACAGATATGGGTGGGCGTGCTAGCTGGCTGACCTTAAGAAATCAAACACTTGTTTTTAGAACGCTAAACCACACAATTTCACAAGACTTTCGATCCGAAAAACAAAGTATTAAATCATGATGCTTTCGTTAAACTGAATCAACATCTGACTGCGTTCATCAAAACAAGAACTTTCGGCTAAGTCTAAAGCAAGATCAGTGAACAAACTAAGCACGTCCACTTGAGGCTGTGACACTTTGTAAACTTATCACGACAGCTCAAACCTTAATAACTTCGGAATTCGAATTCATACCGTAAATACGTTGTAAATATAGATGAAAAATTAAATCATACTGAACTGACTATAACTAACTGACTTATTAATTAGAAACTTACTAAATGCTACATAACAATATAAACTGAGAATACTGATCCCCCATACATACCCCTCTTCCAAGGGCATTTTTTGTGTTTTTTTAAATATCATTTCAGTGCGCATTCTTGTGGTGCGATTAGTTTAAGAGTAACGGTCGACTGGTTGGTGGTTCTGTGATAAAAATTTAATGCGTGATATTTGGCGATCTACCGTTTGTGTTCATTGTGATGAAGTGTGACATGGTCGAGACGATAAAAACATGAGCTATGAAAGCCTAAACTCTGAGCTCTACTCTAGAAGCCTCTGTTTTATCACAAGGTTTGATTAAACGAACTGAATATCTTGCAATGGTTGGTTTAGGTAAATTACCCTCGGGTTATCGATTAATTGGCAATAGCGATTTCACGTACAACATGACACATCTTTCAGAATACAACATGACAAATCTTTCAGAATACAACATGACAAATCTTTCAGAATACAACATGACAAATCTTTCAGAATACAGCCAGCGAACTTGCTCGATTTTGATGACTTCTAAACTTTCAATTTCCGTCAAATGTTGACCTCTGTTCTTGATGATTTTTTAGCTTTATAATCTGGTAGGTAATTAGTTGCGGACAAATGTTTACACGAACCCATATGAATTGAGAGAAAATGAAGACATCGATCCACCCATAATTTTATCCGATAGGAAGTAAAGGAATTTATGGAGGTTTTAAACTGCGAATAAAGGGATTTCTATGGTGAAGATAAGAAAACTTATGTCTAATTTAGAGAAATGACAGGTGTTAACCGACAAGTGTGATTAATGAGAATCGTTCTGCATATATTACTAATTTACCCTCACCATCCTTCACTCAAAATAAGGCTCTGGAAAAACTAACCTTGAGACGAGACAGAGGCAGACAACAGAAGGAACAGAGACAGAAGAGGACAGATCGTATTTTCCATGACGCACATTGGATTCTGTACCAACTTCACGCGAGATTAGCAAGCTGATCTGAAAACCTGTTTTAGAACGTGTTCCACTTTAATCGAGCCTTTGTGATTCTCTTCCAACCAATAATACGCGGGGTTCAATTTGTTGTTTTCTTTCTAGGAGGCTATCTATTGGTGTGGCGCCAACGAAACGTGTTTGTCACCTTATCTTTTAGGTACTCAATCCATTGGGGGAAACTACATTATTTAAATCTAATCGTCTAGGCAGGTTAATTAATGATTAATAACATCTGCCTAATAGCACTAAAGTCTAAAAATCGATTTCCCAAGAAAGAAAGGTTCCTACTCATTCCCCTTCATCATTCTCCGCTCAAAAATAAATAATAGCAAAACTAATCTTACGACAAGACAAAATTTTTTGCTTTTCGACTAAAACTGCTTGTCTTTCTTTCAGCCAATGAAACTTGAGATTGAACCGGTTGATTCTTTAAATTGTAATGTATTTTGTCAAAGACAGCGTTATTAATTCAATAGAAGTCACCAAGTCCTCCGAATTTTTCGTACTAAGCGTTTTGAAAGGTTACTCAATAACATGCCTATATATGTCATATGTTTTATGTGGTTTTTTTTTTTTTTTAACTGTAAGGAAAAAACCGTACCCAAAAAGAGGTTAGTAATGGTAATGGGACTGAGTGGAGTCAAATTCGGTCTGTAATTATACGAGTGATAACAAAATCGATCGACCGTGCAGCGGGAGTCCGATTCGTTTATCACAAGTATGATTACAGACCGAATTGGACGACACGGCGCCTTATTACCAATTAAGGTATTACAGAAGGAAAAAAAAAATTGTGTTTTCGATTCCCTGAAAATTCAATATCTTCTTAAAAAAATAAATAAAGATCTATCAACTTCTGGTATTTTTCTTTTTTTTTTTTCCTTTTTTACTTTCAGAGATAAAAGCAAAAAGTAATTTGAAACTAGGACGGAAGGCCCGAGATTGATGTCAACTTCTTCTCGTCACCCAAATTAACGATTTCAAAACCACTTTTGATTTTAAAAGCACACTGTGCAGTTTCGTACAGTTCCGAAATCAACTATTTGTTATCAAGTCTACTTACATTAGTTCTTTCCAAAGCTAGAGATTGTTTTGTTTTTATTATTCAATTCTTGTTTTCAAGCTGTTATCATGTCTAAAAGCTATGTCCTTTCTGCCGTTTAAAAGGAAAATTTCTTTAGAGTTCACTTGCATCGGAGCGGAATTATTGTTCACTGATGGTGATAGGGGTTCTTACTACAATTAAAGTATTCTTTAAACTTTCAGAGATAAAAAGAAAAAGTAATTTGAGACTAGAGCGGAAGGCGCGAGATTGATGACACTTCATGTCGACTTCTTCTCGTTACCCAAATTAACAATTTCAAAACCAATTGATTTTAAAAGCACACTGTGCAGTTTCGTACAATTCCGAAATCACTTATTTGTTATCAAGTCTACCAAGATTAGTTCTCACCGAAAGGCAGAGAGATTGTTGTTTTTTCTTTTTAATTCAACTCTTGTTTTCAAGCTGTTATCATGTCTGAAAGCTATAAGTCCTTTCTGCCGTTTAAAAGGAAAATTTCTTCAGACTTTGCATCGAAGCGGAATTATTGTTAACTGGTAGTGATAGGGGTTCTTACTAGAATTAAGAGATTCATTGGCCAGAGCCTATATCTACCGAAGTTGCCGAAGGCGCGAGTTCGCGGAAAAACATCATCCGCAGTCCATCATTCGCGTAGTATTAGACTTCGGGTATCGATTATTGAAAAACTGTATTGTTTCCAGTATAGCTCTCCTTCCACTGCCTGACCTCTTTCCTCCTTTTTTTGCTGGTTGAAGCACCTTCTGTATCGACACAAATAGTAACATATTCACGCGAATTACACTTAATTTTCCCGGCATAAGTCCTCACAAAGCCTGTCCGCTCTTTGCTGTCTGGCACGCATCAGCGCCGCCGAGAGGCGAAACAATGTCCAATGGCTATTAAAGAGGCTGGCTGTGCCAACCTACCGGATTTTATTTTTTTTCTCCTGCTACCAAGAGTAGTTCCGAAACGTCAATGTTATAGGAAAATTGGCTTTTAAAAATAGCAATTTGAGGTAGTCCTTGGGAAAGGGTGGTGATTAGTTTAAGCTTAGTATCCATAACTTTGTACCCCTTAAACCACACATCTATATGTATCTAATTCATATTTTGCGTATGTTCTTGGGAAAGTACATAGTTTCTATCTCACTGCACATGGATGTACCCCATGGCTTTGATGTCTTTGTTGCCATTATCTCCATGGTCTGTTACTCTGTTACCACAAGCGTTGTGTTCACCACTGGGCTTTTCTGTACTAAACCCAATTCTGGAATCACAATTTCTGCAATAATCTTCGTTGTTACCGAGAAATCCAATCCTTGTGTTGCTAGACTGATCAGAAGGACTCTTTGCATTGAAACCTTCCTTGTTATAATTCAGTTGTAGGGAGGCCTGTGAGTTGTCGCGATCTAAGGAAGTTGGTGGAATTTCCCGTCAGCGATCAGTGAGTACTGAGAACTGGCTTTCTAATGGATGACATTGAACCTGATCTGTTCGTCAGTCTTGATATCGATACAGATCTTAGAGAAGGATGTTTTCCGGTAGGACGGTAGCTTGGTCTCTTCTGAGTGAAACCCAATTTCACCCTCCGATAAGTTCAAGCTCTCCTTGTTACTCCAAAGTTGGTATTGGTAATGGAATGTTGTCTATTAAAAATGAAAAGTAGTTGGATTTAGATAAATGAATGAACAGATAAAAAAAAAAAAAAATGGATGAATTTTCAACACGCAAATGAAAATTATGGTCACCTCTGTTGCTTCAAGGCTAAGAGTCGTGAAAAAAAAATTTTTATTGGGAAAAATTGCAGTTAAAGGTATAAATTATAGAGAAGAGAAGACGGAGTCACGGGAAAACAGTCGACTTCGAATATTATATCGGAACATTTTATCAAAGAGGGCTGACAGAAAAGAAGCCACAAATTTAGGAGTCTGAATGTTTGGGGGCAAGAGAATAACAGGTTTTATTCAATTCCTTTCCTAATGTCTTCATTTTGTGTTTATTTCTGATCCATAGGTAACAAAAACCTTTCATTGTTTAATCTCTAGAGAACCATAAAAGCGAATTCATGGTTAACTGCAAATTTCACAACAATTGCACCTTTAATTTTCAGTATCATCAATTTGACAAATCGACAATGGTTTTGCGTGGTCGGTATTCTTATCGACGACGATAACCGTGATCACAGCCGTCAAAATGTTGCGAACTCATGAGGTGATTTTTATTTTGCGTGACCAAGATAAAGGCATTGCATGACTCATTGACGCAACCAGCGTTGACTGTACTCTAATCGACAAGGGAAAATTGGCTAATCAGATTGTGACATTACGGCCAACTTTGGTAGAATAAACGAGGGCAAATTTAATTCATGAAAACATAAAAGCGAAGTAGCCACACCTTGTTACCTTTAATTTCCATAACTGGCGTCCATACCCCATTTCACATCAAAATTTTCAACGTGGCAAAAAACAGGAATTGGGGGTGCTCCGAAGAATAAAGTTAGAAAACTAAAACACAACAAAATTTCGTGAAACACAACAAAATTTCAAAGCACTGGTGTTATGTTTCCGAATTACGGAATCATGTTATTTTCGTCCTGTACAAACTTGTCGCGCAACCGATACTTGCGACTAGCTTTGGTTAAGTATTGCGAAGGCGCCATTTTCATACCGTTCATGTTGTGGATTTGATTTGAAATGGCTCTTTCAAGTTCAGCAAGCGGTCTATGGTTAAACAACCAGTGTTCTTTAACTTCGAGAACGACCCAAGCCTTGCAGAGCGCACCAAGCTAACGCCTGCACAGATCGCTGACCTTTTGACCTTCAAATTGAGTTCCACATACTTCCAGTATAACGGATCGATTTACGAGCAAAAAGACGGCGCCGCCATAGGGAGTCCGGTTTCTGCTAACCACTACAGGGAGAGTTTCGAAGAAGAGGCGATAACTACATCATCCTACGAGCCTGGGATCTGGAAACGCTACGTGGACGATACCTTTACCATCCTGGATCGCAAAAACGTAGATGACTTCCTACAGCATCTAAACAGCCAGCCTTCCATCCGCTTCACCATGGAGACAGAGAAAGACAACAAACTCGCCTTGCTGGACACCGCAGTTTTAAGAGAACCGGCTGACGGCCGCCTCACCACCAGCGTATACAGGAAGCCCACGCACACCGATCAATACTTAGCGTATGATTCACGCTACCCTCAATCAGTACAACGCGGTGTTGTTAAGTGCCTTTACGAGCGCGCCAAACGTCTCGTAACAAAACCCTCCGTCATCTCCGAGGAGAAAAAACACCTGTCATCTGTTCTGGTTTCTAATGGTTATCCTTTTTCTTTCTAGCAGAAACTTACCAAGACCGCATAACCAAACAACAGTGCCGAACCCGTCAACGAGTTTAAAGCTACTGTGGTTTTACCTGGTGTCAAAGGTCTGTCCGAACAGCTTCGCCGTTGCCTACAACAACAAGGCGTACGCGCTGTTTTCAAGTGAGAGACTACGCTAAAATCTCAGTTAGTACGACCAAAAGACGCTCGGCTAAAAAAGATGGCGTAGTTTACAGGATTCCCTGTGAATGCGGCAAGGTGTACATCGGAGAGACTGGAAGACCTATGCAAGACAAAATTAAGGAGTACGATCGAGACATTCGACTCGCCCGTACCGAGACCTCCGCCGTTTCAGAGCATGCCCACAACACCGGACACAAGCCACTCTGGAACGAGTTAAAGTTTATTGATCGTGACCCTTCTTACTACACGCGTAGGGTCAAAGAGGCAACTCATATAAGACTTCACCTTAACAACATTAACAGGGATAGTGGAATAGAAATTCCAGAAGCGTGGATGCCCACGATCAAAAACAACAACAGGAGAGCTGTGGGACAGCGGTCCTCCGAGGGAGCAAATCACTGAGTGAACAGCAAGGATCGAAATGCACCAATCAGAGCTTTTAATGTTTTATAAGATCACGCGTGACCAGTCGACCTCATCGCCTGAAGAAGACTAGCAGTATGCAGTCGAAACGTCGTGATCTACATCGCACGTGACTACATCGTGAGACAAACGAAAAACTTAACTTTTATTTTTACATAAAACAACTTATAACTTCGTTTATTATGGGCCACATAGAACCAAAATAGCACCAAAGATATAAATCTACGTTGCCGTTATCATGAATGCATGCTCAGTAATTGCGAGTCACAAGATTAGTCACGTGACTGAGACAGCATGGAAGTGAGGCTGGTCTTCTAAAATTTCTTTTGACCTTCCCTCAATGTCTGAAATGCTTTATTATACTTCATAAACAGCGTAAATATTTCTTTGAGCTCAAACTGTTCCTTATCGAGAATTGCTACAACACGAAAGCTAACTACAACCCTTCCCAAATTACATCCCACTTTGTGTTGATGAGAAATTGGTAGGTTTTGTGGTTAAGTTTGTGTGATGTTCCTATTTTAACGATGTATCATCGACTAGATTAATTAGAGGGAACATTTCTTTTTTCAGCAAATTGATTTCCACTGAGCCGTCGAAACTACTCTACCAGGGGGTTTTTCAAGTCAACTTATAATTTTATCTCAATAAATAAAGACACTCCTTTTTTCCCCTTTTCTTGGCAGAATCAGAAGGTTCAAGCACAACATATACGTGTATGTTCAAGTAATAAACCACACTTCCTATTGCAAGTAATTTAGTGTCAACAACTGAGTATAAAATATAAATTGGCCACCGTAAAGAGTTAAAAGGCTGACGTTTCGAGCGTTAGCCCTTCGTCAGTTACCGTAACTATTCGAATAAACGCCGCGGCGTTTATTAAATTTTTGGCCCTTAAGATGCGGTGTTTATTTGAGGGCGGCGTTTATTCGAGGGAGGCATTTATTGCAAACCTTGTAACAAGAACTTTGAATTTATTGTGTCATTTAAACGTCAATTTAACGAATACAATCAACCCCAAAAAAAAAAGAATAAAAAAGTTATATGTCTTTTCAATTTATATGATTATATATGAAAATTGAACTGTCCACTATCTTTCATATAATGACTAGACCAGTAAGTTTCAGACTTTCAGTCTATTTCAATGTCACTGTCTCCTTCGTGGTCCGAGACTAACTGCTGAATAATCGGGCATGCCTCTTCAACATCAGAAGACGCGTATTCTTCAGTGTCGAAAGGATTCGTTTTTGGTTCGTCGAGAATATCCAGTTGTGACTTCAGGACGGCTAGTCCGGTGCTACACGGCTGTTCCTCCTTGAAACAGTGAATTGCGTCATCTTCTGAACCGTCAACTGGAACGTTCAATGTACAACTTGTGAACGATTTCTTAATCACATTTGTAGGCAATTCAGCCCAGGAATCCAGGATCCACTGCAAAATCGTTTTTGATGGTGGTGCTTTCAAATTCCCAGCTGCTGTTTCTTCGTGAATACCTACTGTTGCCAGCCATTCATCGTACTTCTCTGTGCGGGACGCTTTAAATGGTTTGTTCCAACTTACGTCTGGCGCCTGTATGTACTTGGTAAAACCTCCGACGACAATCACGCGGTCGATTTTGTTGGATTTGAGAGAGTCGGTGACACTGTCCTCAAGGTGACATTCGTTCGAGTCCCAAGCTAACAGCCTTCGGTTGAAAGAAAAAAGCTCCTCGAACAGAGTTGATCCAGGTACGGGTTAATTCGGTGTCCATCCATCCATTTACCGAAGTGGCTACCACCGCTCTACGTTTGAACTCTTCGTTTAGCGCCGCGGATTCTCGTTTCGCCCCTTTAAATACTACCATGGGCTTAAGTTTTGTCCCATCGGCCTTGGCAGCTAAGCAAACGGATACTCCAGGTTTTTCATGACCCGTCGTCTTCAGCGTAATGCTTTTTTTCCCGACTGCGTCAATAGTGGTTTCGGCTACCATATCGCACCAAAGTGGAGTTTCATCCATTGCATTTATATTAGAGTGGCTGTATTTGTGCTTTTTCTGCAGCCATCTTACTTGAATTACGTATGACACGACTTTAGCTATCATTCGTTCTGGATCTTGTTGAGCAACAGAGGTTTTTCTTCTCAAAGATAAACCATTTCTCTTCTTAAATTTCGTCAACCAGCCTCTTGAAGCTTTGAAGTCGATATCACTCACGTCGTTTTGGTTCATATCGTTAAATGTTACTTGGGCTTTCTTCATTATCAGCTTGCTGGAAACTCGAAGACCGCGCGATCGTCTGCTTTCGACCCACTGCTTTCGATCCATTAAAACTTCCTCTAACTTTTTGCCTAGCGGTTTTCGGCCAGCTCCACACAATCGACTTCTTTGCTTGCCTTTGTTACCTCTTGTTGTAAGGACACCTTCATTCTGAATCTTCTTCCCTCTCCATTCTCGTATTCTTCTTTCATCGACTTGAAAGTGGCGAGATTCAGGTCGATTTCCGTGTATTTCAGCGTAGGCGATTGCTTGTTTTTTTACTTCAGGGCTGTATTTATGTCTTTTTTGTCCTTTGTGTGATATTTTGTCTCCATTTAAATCTGCCATTGCTTATTTGTTGTAGGTTTCGTGCTATTGCACGTGCTAAAACTGCCGTCAGTCATAATTACGACCACAAGAAACGCAATGTTGAGAAAGATTGCAGCGTTTATTTGAGGGCGGCGTTTATTCGAGGGTGGCGTTTAATACTATTTTTGCTTGTCCCTGCGGCGTTTATTCGAGGGCGGCGTCTATTTGAGGGAGGCGTTTATTCGAATAATTACGGTAACTCTAATTTTGAAAAATGTGCCAAACCTATTTTGTTCCAATTGAGCTCAAACTTTCCCTCAGCCTTGAAATTAACTTGAAGAAAATTAAATCATTTTATTCATTCTAAAGAGTCTTCGGGTGGCTATTATCATCCTTCTGCAGGTTTATATTGAAAATTTAAATGGCGAAATGAAAAACACAATGCCCCACGGCAGGTATGATTGACTTGAATTGAACTTCATTGCACATGTCCGCAAAAAGATTCTTCAATTAATAATATGATAAACGAATACGTTACATGGAAAGTAATACCTGGGCGCGCGTAGATATGAAATTTCTCTTCGAGTGTTTTATGAATGAAAATAAAAAGAATCGGCAATAAAAATAAAAATCGCAAAAGGGCGTTGGCGCACTCAAGATAAGAACATGCGTTGAATCACCACAGAACAAATTCATTGGTATTGAATTGGTCCTTACCGAAAGAGCAAATCAGCCTGTGGCAAATCGGCCTGAGTGCCTTTTAGTATTTTGGCTTTCTTCCCCTCTTAGGAAAGTTTGAACGTCACTGTCTGTAAGCGATACGGATTTTTAATTTTTTTAGCAGCCATAATCCATGATCCGAAAATATTCGACCAACGAACTTGGATTAAGAATGGTGAAGGCTTTGCCATTCACTCATCAACCTGACCGAGAGGCGCAGCTGATTAGCGATATCAAACACACATGAAAAATTTCGTATTTGTTGACGTGTGTTGTTACGGATTTTCTCGGGGCTATAAATCCTCGGATAACACCGCAGTTTATATGATAAAATAGAATAAAATGTTCATGTAAAATACAATATAGTAAATGTATGATGTATAGAATTATATACTGTAACAAGTCTTGATTTAAAAATTTGTAAAACATCTTTTTTTATTTGCTAAAATTTTGCAGGACTTTTACATAGTTTTATCTTTGTCAAATGAATTCCATAAGTTCCCTATCCTTCAATGAAATGATATCTTGCCTGTAGCGATTTTAAATAAATGAATGTTTATTTGTAATGCGTTTCTTGTTCATCGGTCAGATATCTGTCATCTTGTGACTAATTGTGATATCAGGTAAGTCAGAGCGGATCCTGTTGTGCACTTAAACGCAAAAAATGGAGTCTCGAAGATAGGGCTGCTTTTTCAAGGGGAGCCACCCCAGGTTCTTGAGTGATGAGGTCATGTGTTCAATTCTTTTGGCTCTAGTAATAGTCCGTGCTGCGAACTTCTGACAGAAAGGGTTTTGGAAGAGGCGTTAGACCAGACTAAGGAGCTGTATAGTTTACTGAGAGCAATTGCATTTATGACGGTCACGAATAGGTCGGAACTAAATGTGTTACATCGATATGTTAATGTAAATACCGAAAAAGGTTTGGTTGTTGTCGTTAGCTTTGTTTTGTTTTCCAACAACTAGCTCTAGATTACAACAGAAAGTTTGTATACGGGGTAACTGGCGATTTTTCTACAGGAAAAACTATTTTCAATTATTTCAAATGCCAGAAGAGATGTTAACATTTCTTGGGAACTACCAACTAGTGAAATAGAAAGATAACAAAATAATAAAAGCGATTCTCTCGCCAGAACCAAGATTTGGAAAAACAAAAAAAATAGGTAGCTACTTGTTCGTTTCTTATGATTTGATGAAATTAGGGTTTGGAAGAATCTCTATCTTTTCAACTACATAACGGGCTTCTTTCCTTTACCCTCCCCTTCTCTTAGGACTAAGAACGAACAAATCGCTTCTTTAGATCGGAAACGAAATTTTGCAAATTTAATTGGGAAAACCTGAACATGACGATGAAACCAAAGTACTTTAGACATGGTGTCTGATTTCTTTCTACAGTCATGTTACCAGACCACCATTTACATTTTTGTTCTGAAAACTAAACTTCGCAGCCATTTCTTGACCATTCCAAGACGTCTATCCTCCACTAAAAAAATAGGCCATGGAAATAAATATCCTGACGAAAAAACAGAGGCAGTCAACAGAAGGCACTAAGGCGAAAGAGGACTGATAATAACTGAAGTTTTCATGGTGCGAATCGCATTCTGAGACCTATCCCCTAGGAGATTAACAAACTGATCTAAAAATCAAATCCTCCTCGTTCTTTTCTGACCAATAATAAACCACCCGTCTTCTCTTTAGAGTAATATCGTTTTTTATGGTACCATATAAGCTTAGATGTAGCTTTATTTTCTACTTCCTTAGATTTAGCAAGAATCTAAATAAGAAGAAAAGTTTCCTTTGATAGATTTGCTTGACACTGGTTAAAATTCGAGCACCGTTTATTGTCTATGGTGCTCAAAATATATTTGCCTCAAAAAAAATTTTCTGAATATTTCAAAGGCTTGTAACTTTTAAGCCAGCTCCTTGAGAATCTTTCACTCATTTTTCGTCTTTTTTATCCATCTGTCGGTTTTCAGTTCATGACTCAAAGGCATTGTGAAATACATGATGATCTTAAACTAGTATCGTTCCAAAACAAGATCATCAAAGTAACAGGGTGAGAATCGATAATGTTGCTAGTAATCCTATGTACCAAAACATCTATTATAACATGAAAGATAATTTCGGCTCTTTATATGATCAAGTAGGATATCATGAAAACGATGTAAGATGGCCTACATCGGTCACATCGTTAGGTAAAACAAACCAGCAAATAATGAAATAAGCCTCCAAATATCTGAGAATTTAAATCAAAAACCGAAGTATTGAAATCTTATTATGTACAGAGAAACTACCTGGAAAACAAAAAATATGTATAGATATACCGTATTTCCTCACCTATAAGCCGAGCGATTTTTTCAGTATTTGACACAAAAGTTTGGGAGCTTTTTCGCGAGTTGGGATTCAAAAACAAGTTCAAAGTTAATGTTGATGCGAAATGACCGTAAATTCCATGACTGCAGCGCTCTTTAAGTGACATATTTTAAAATTGTCACAACAACAACGTATTTCTGACCACCAATCAGATTCATTGCTTCCCACGCATTGAAAGACGATATCAATCAATTCAGCGAAACTCTTCTCATTTCACATCACGAATAAAATATTTGGTCTCTTTGCTGCGAAAACGACTCCCTTGTTCGTCTAGTTAGGGACACTTGAGAGTGAAACGGCCCATTTATGCACGTTCTGCAGACATCTTAAGCTCGCCAGTAAGAATAGTCGCCTAGTCTCTTCTCTAGCGTCGCACCATAGACTCGCTAAGTCCATAATCTCGCTCTATTTCCGAGTTGTTTCAACAGCTTCAGCTTCCGCGATAACTTTTATCTCCAAAGCCATAGTATACGACGAGCGGCGTGCTTTTGGCATGATGAGAAAAGTTACAATGACGAAAGAGATACTCGATCGAAACGTTTGTCAGGATACAGTGACGAGAGTATTGTTGTGTTTCTGCTTTCGCGTATTAGTATTTACATCTTCACTAATTTGCTTCTTCTCTTTTGTGTTTATTCTCATTCATTAGCTTTTGTGTTCATTGAGCCATTTCCCTATGTTTTCCGTGAAGTTCGCTCACGCAAATGACCAGTTACAATCAAGAATTTCGCTCTCGGCTTATAGCCGATGGTTTTGCTTTTTCATTTGGACAACACGAGTCTGCTGAAAGGTCTCTAACTTTTAGGGTCTCGGCTTATAGGTGAAGAAATACGGTATATATATAATGCAATATTGCTAAAATTAACCATAGTTTTGTGCACCATAGCTTAATTGTAATTTTCTTCGGTTTCCTAAGATTTGTTGTTCTATACTCATTTAACAAAGTGATTATGATGATAGTAATAGTATTGGTGACTGATATTTTTTTTACCGAGGTCATCTGTTATTCCATTCGCTGCCCGCAAGTTTTCAGAAAAGATAAATGAACACTGAGGTTACTAGACGTGCACTATTAACATTTGTATCGAAAAATTGTGTAATTAAATATGGTATGTGTTTTCCATACAACACCAGGCTGTTAACCACTTATACATATTTCATTGATCTTATGAATCTGGGTGGACTACGATGGGGGTTACTCGCTATCTTTTCAATTAACTGAAGGGCTTTTGCCCTCCCATCCCCCTACAACCCTTCCATTCCTGCCCCACCCCCTTCCTCTCCTTGGACTAACAGCGAAACGTTGATGTTTATCGGAAATTGCAAGTTGAAATTTGTTTTGGGAAATCTTATACAAACGAAACTAGATCGATTCATGCTCAATGTCTACTTGTTTCTTCGGACCCCTTTTGGAACATCTAAATGTTTAAAACTTTTTGGTTAGCTTTTTGTCCATTTCCTGGCGATAATATTGGTTATCTCTTCACTGAACCAAGATGTAGCCCAGGGCTTTGATGTGTTTGTCTCCATTATCCCCTGCGTGTTTTGCAGTGTTCCCACACGTGTTGGAGTGGTCAGGAGAGCCACCTGTGCCAAAGCCAATTCTGGAATCACAGGATTTGCAATCATTTTGGTTATTGGCAATGATACCAATTCTTGCTTTGGAAAGCTGATCTTTAACCACAGCATTGAACCCTTCGGAGCCAATCAGCGACTTCCATGTGTCACGACCCAGTGATGTTTCACGATATTGTCCGTCAGCGATCAGTGAGTACAAAGAACTGGCTTCCTTTTTGATGACAGTGAACCTTAAAAGATCGCCGAGCTTCATTCCAAGACAGATCTTAGAGAACGATGTGTTCCAGTAAGTCGGTAGCTTGGTCTCATTTAAGTCAAACCCAGTCTCCCCACCTTGAGGATTGAAGTCATCAGTGTTAATCCAAAGTTCCGAATTATAGTCGAAGGTTTGCTATGTAGATGGAAAATTTGAAACTAATTGAATGATGGTTGAATCCATATGCAGATAATTTTTAGAACCAAAACGGGTAGAATAATGCGAAATGTTTTTACAGCAAGAGCGGGGAAAGTGATCTGTCTAGTTTAAGTGAATTTGAAGCCTTCGGCATTGAGCCTCTAGGTTGTCATTATTATTGTTGTTTTTTAGTTTTCCGGCTCCTTTTGCGTCAGTCTTTCAGGTGAATGAATATTGAAGCTAAAGATTTAGGATGGTTAACTGGTTTCGAATAAAATTCGTCTGAATTCATTCATGAATTTGCAATTTCACGATTAGTTTACGCAGCCAATGTTTGAGGATAAACCTTGGTCATATCACCCTTTGCAAGGAAGATTGTAAAGGGAAAAGTGTCTGTCGGTTTTACGTCAGTCTTGAAACTCCTTACGGCCGGTAGCCAATTTCCAATTATCTTGATATACATTAAGATATGGTATTTAGCGCATATTGATGACAGCTCATTTTCTCAACAGGTCACTCGTTGAATTTTCCCTTTTAAGTAGAACATTTGGCTCAAGTTTAATAGAGACGAGAAGCACGATACCTTTGAGCCATCCATTTTCATTACCATCGTCCATCCACCACCCCCGCAGCTGTCAAGGTCATCAGTCATGTGACAGTAAATATTGACCTTCGCATGATCTAGTAGAAGTTGATAAGCTCTATTTTCCTGTGAACTGAAGTTAAGCCGTTTTTTCTACTTGTTAGTTATTTGTTTCATTTATTTATTGATTAACTTGGAGTAATAACCATGTTACTATGAACTAGTTGGTAGGGCCGGACGGGAAAATTGGCTGTAGATCATGACATAGGGACCGAGTGTGGCTCTTTCTTTCATGCCTTTATTCTATTCTCTCACACTGCACAGGGCTGTGCGGTTTTTTTCAGCCTGAGTTATGGTTAGCATTTTAAATGTTTCATATACAAAAGTAGATTTATTACATAGCAAAGCTTTTTAAGGTCTGTAAAGTATACCTGAAATCTAAGAAATGATGAATACATTTACAAAATGAGTAAAAGGGCTCGTGCAGGGAACTTTGACAAACTCACCAAGCCAACATGAAAATACAAATAGGAGCTGTTTTTTTTGTAAAAACAGATGCAATGCTGCATCAACCCCTCTATGACGGCCTTCATTGTAAAATGGCCGGTTTTCACTGTGTCTAAAGGACTGTTAAGGTAAGGTTCTATTGTATAATTTCAATTTTACTCTTACGACAAGACGTTCACCAACATTTCGGTTTATTTTTAGGATTTTTCAACCTAACCCTAACCCTAAGCTAAAAAGAATTATAAATTTCTATGTACCTTTGACTTTTGTAAATTTCTGAACACGAGGAGAAAGGACCTAAAACAAGATAAAGTATAGAATTACAAAGGCATTTCTCGTATTGTTGAGGTACATTTGTATAATTTTATACCCACCCGAATCTGATGATGCCTTAATACTCATACTACTTAGGATAGGTAAGATTTAGTTTAAAACTGATGAAGAACTTTTACTCAGCAAATGTAAGCTATTCGAATGTCGTTTTTGAGTGAAACTGGCAGCTCGAGAAGCTATCCTAATAAGTTTATTTTAATCTTTTACTTATTACATAAAATGAACTTGGGCGAAGCGAGGGGAGGCGAAAAAAACTTCGTGGTGTGCAGGGAACGAAACACCTGTGGAAATCTCGGAACGGTATTCTCACAGAACAACCCTCACTCTTAGTTGTAGACACACTTTTGATTGATAATTACCATGCTAACTCAATTAGATTAGAAAGGATCAGCGCTCGGGCTAAGTCATTAGATTACTCATACTTTGAGTGTCTTACCCTCGCACGTCAATCCATCTCCATGGCGTCCTGGTTTACATGTGCACATGTAAGATCCCTCGGTATTAAACCTGGGATTTTCCAGTAATACGTCACGAACTGAGATGTTCACGTGTTTTTGTTTGTTTGTTTTTGTACTTTTGGTTTTTTTTAATAATGAAACGTGTCTTACCTTCTTCACAAGTTGGGCCCATGAACCCAGTTGAACACAAACAGATATAACCTTTCTCAGTAAGATCATTTTGGCAAGTAGAGTTGTTTTTGCAGGGATTTTTTAGACAAGCATTCTAAAGCAGAAATAAATAAATAAATAAATATTAACCCTTAAAGCTATAGTAAGGCAATTAACTTCTACCCTATAAGCCTTCTCCATTCTGAAAATATGAGGTCATTTTGAGACCCCTCCTTCCAAACACAAAAACTCTAAATTAAAACTAAAACGCAGAGAAAAACAGGAATCCCTTAAATCGATGAATGTAAACAGTTGTACCCATGTTTTTTTCATCATAACAACACTGTAGAACTGGCTAGAATGCAATGGATAAAAATGAACGAGAAATTTAATAGGTCATGACCTTCTATAGCTTAGCCTCGTGTTAGTGAGTAATATTTTTCCCCTTGCATTTGTATTTTCCTCGCTAACCATGTAAGACATGGTCCAGGAAAAATCTTCATTTGGACTTGATGCAAACAAGGTATCATTTTGAGTAAAAGATGAAGATAGTCTCGTACCAAAAAGTGATAATGATGCAAATTCTTGGTTTCTTTGTACTCGATAGGATTGTTGTTCTCATAAGCTGACAATAACTCACACCACAGTTCACCTTTGGCAACCACGTTTACGGAAACACACAGAGGATGGTGAAGACACCTAAACATGCATTCAAAGTCGTCGTGTATAATGATTTCTTCAAGTTTTGGTGCATTGAGGTATTGAAACTTGTCCAAGGAAAGCAGACTCTGCCTGGACATCTGTGGTGAAGTTTCTTGATTATCTTCGGTTTCCAAGGTGACTGTCACTGTCGGTTGAGAAAATATATTCTTTTTTCTATAATTTTGGAAAAGCAGATAAATCGAGGAATTTATGTCCGCTAACACTTCCCAAGGACAATGCGAATAAAATGGATTGATGATAATATCGCATTTAAGTGATATAAGCACATATATACAAAAGGGTTTCAATGGGGTTTACTGTTAGAAGCGTAATAATTGACGAACTTTAATGGTTAGTCATAAAAAAGCTCACCGTAAAAAAATTATTTTTAAATATTACTGGGGTTAAATGAACCATTTGCAGCAAAATGACCAAAACTTTAACTGTTACCCGTAGAAGCCACCCCCCCCCCATTGAGACGATTTGTCAGCCTTAGATTGTGGATTTGTGGCACGGTATTGGTAGGCGCTTTTTAAAAAGGAACTTACAGAGGTGATTTGTCTGGGCCTATGCGGACTTTGAAGCACAGAAAGGGGCATTGTTTAGTCTGTGGAATTGTCATGCCACTTTGCTCGAAAAGTCTTTGGTGTTCCTTTTCCATAATTTGGCACCCTTAAAATTAAATCCATGAACGTTTTTATTTATCTTTCGTTAATTTCGCAAAACACGGGCTATTTCCTATGCCTTCCTTTCGGTGTTTGCGCGAGAAATTGACATGTGTTCAGCCAGTATTTTATTCATGAGTGCATGTGCGACTTTTGAAAGGATTTTTGTTTTAAGAAGTCCCCGTCGTATTATTTAGAATTGTCTCCCGAAATTGTTTGAAGTCCAAGGTGGCCTTTGGTATGACTCCACAAACCTCCAGTTTATCAAAGTCAAGGAGGTTTTAAACCGCGGATATAAGGTTTTTTATAGTGAAGATAAGAAAACTTATACTTCATTTAGAGAAATGACAGGTGTTAACCGACAAGTATGATTGATGCGAATCGTTCTGCATATATACTAATTTACCCTCGCCATCCTCCACTCAAAATAAGGCACTGGAGAAACTAACCTTGAGACGAGACAGAAGCAGACAACAGAAGGCACAAAGACAGAAGAGGACTGATCGCATTTTTCATGGCGCACATTGGATTCTGTACCAGCTTCCCGTGAGATTAACAAGCTGATCTGAAAACCTGTTGTAGGATGTGTTCCTCTTTAATCGAACCTTTGTGATTCTCTTCCAATCAATGATACGTGGGGCTCAATTTGTTGTTTTCTCTCTAGGAGTCTATTGGTGTGGCTCCAACGAAACGTGTTTGTCTCCTTATCTTTTAAGTATACAATCCATTGGGGGCAACTAGTTTATTTAAATCATTTCACTAATCGTCTAAGAAGGTTAATTAATAATTAATAACATCTGCCTAAAAGCATTACAAGTCTAAAAATCGATTTCTCTACACTCAGCGGCGGAGAAGAAAAACGCACCCCCTCCAACAAATGAAAAGCAATAAATAATAAGAAAAATCAAGAAAGACAGATTCCTCCTCTTCCCCCTTCACTATTCTCCGCTCAACAAATGAATGATGGCGAAACTAACCTTACAACGAGACAAATTTTTTTCTTTTCGAATAAAACTGCCGGCCTCTTTTTCAGCTGATGAAACTTGGGATTGAACCGGTTGACTTCTAATTGTGATGTATTTTGTCATAGACATAATTTCTTTTATGTAATAGAAGTCACTAAGTCATCTCAAAGTTACTCAATAACATGCTTATATATGTCATATAATTTGTTTGTTTTGTTTTTTATTTTAAGAAAAAAACTGCCCGCATTAAGAGTTTAGTAACTGTAATGGGACTGAGTGGAGTCAAATTCGATCTGTAATCATACGAGGGATAACAAAATCGATGGACCGCGCAGCGGGATTCCGATTTGTTTGTCACAAGTATGATTACAGACCGAATTGGACGACACAAAGTCTTATTACCAATTAAGGTATTACAGAAGGAAAAAGTCAGTATTTTTTCGATTTCCTGAAAATTCTATCAATTTCTGGTGTTTTTTTTTTTTTTCACTTTCAGAGATAAAAAGCAAAAACTAATTTGAGACTAGCATGGAAGGCGCGCGATTGATGACACTTCATGTAAACTTCTTCTCTTCACCCAAATTAACGATTTCAAAACCACTGTTGATTTTAAAAGCACACTGTGCAGTTTCGTACAATTCCGACATCCCCCATTTGTTTTCAGGTCTGCTTAAACTAGTTTTTTGCCGAAAGCTAGAAATAGATTTTTTTGTTCAATTCTTGTTTTCAAGTTGATATCATGTCTAAAAGCTACAAGTCCTTTTTGCCGTTTGAAAGGAAAATTTCTTTAGAGTTTGCACCGGAGCGGAATTATTGCTCATGTCTATTGAAGTTGCCGAAGGCGCTAGTTCGCGAAAAATATCGACGATCGTCCATCATTATTCATTATACTTCGAGTATCGATTTTGAAAGGGTGTGTTGTTTCCAGTGTAGCTCTCCTTCCTTTGCCTGACCTCTCTCCTCTTTTTGCTGGTTGAAGCACCTTCCATATGGACGCAATTAGCTACATATTCACGTGAGTTACACTTCATTTTCCCATGTCCACACAAATCCTGTCCGCTCTTTGCTCTTTAGCACGCATCAGCGCCGACAGGCAAATCAGTGTCGAATGGCTCCCTCCAATGTGACTGCGTAACAGCCAGATGTAGAGTGGAAACGCATTTATGTAAACAAACACTGACGTCTCGAAACATTTCAAGACACTTTTTTTGGTAAATTGTTTTGGCTTGAGTTCTGATCTTTGGAGAGTTTATTCTCGGCTGGTATTCGGTCAACTTTTGTGAAATTTGGTTGTAATGTCGGATGTCCCGGGTTTTGGAATTTTTCCTTATTTCTAGAGATTTAGCCTCTATACTGAAAACTTTGCTCAAAAGTGCAACTTTGAATTAAAAAAAATTATTGCAAAATAACTGAACAAATAGTTACGATATCCGAGAAAACGTGAATAGGCAAGGTGTGGAAGAGAGAGGAATTTTGCATTTAAAAATTGACAAAGGAAACCAAGGTTGTGATTGGTTGATTTCAACTAAAACTTTGAATGTGATTGGGTTATTGAACTGTCCGATAACAAGCTGTCCGACAACAACTTGGCATGTGAATTAGTAGAAAATAATTTTTTTAAACCAATCACAATTAAGGAATTGTGATTTTTATACTTAGATAAGTTACAACCCGTTATAAATATATACCGTTTTGTGTCGTTGAAAAATTGTGTGGTTTGGATGGCGGGTGTCTGCAGTCTTCTAATAGATTCTAATTCTAATTCCATCGATAAATCATTGCCTAATTAATCACAAGAAACATCTATTATAAATAAATATTCCTCTAGGAGAAGCTCAGAGATTTAGGGCCGATTATTTAAAGAAGGTCTAGTCGTCGTTTAACAAAACCGCGTTCTAAGCCTTCTTCAATTTAGCCGAACCTTTTATCTAAGAATCAATTTTTTGTGAACAGTGTCAACAGGCCTATACCTAAAAGTAGACGGACAGCTGTTTAAATGAAATCAACCCTCTTATGGAGAATCACCGAGGCACACTGCTTGCGGAAAACCGCGGTTTGGGTTAGATCTCGTTTAAATAAGCTGGCTATTCTTTTTCATAGTATGAAGTTCTTTAATTATTATGGGGACAACGTCACCACAAATTCTTCTGACGATTTTTTCTTCATACCGTTATTAATTATTATGTATCTTACTTACAACAGAGAGTTCTTAATGTTATATACAACAAAATTGGCGCATTCCCTACTGGAGAAATTTTTGATTGGGAAGAATTATATTCAAGAATGTTACATGGATGATAGCAATACCTGAGAAACTAGAAACTAGTGAAATAGAAGGATATCAAAATAGAAGAGGCAATTCTCAGTTAACCTTCCGTAGGTAGCTTTCTCAGGCGCTTGCCAACCAAACCGCTTGCTACTCAGACTAGTTACTAAGACTTTGCATGAAAATCACCCATTTGTTCCACAAAATAAGACCCTAAGGAAGCTCGAGTCAGGGCTTTAATACTGTCTAGTTTCGCTAAAACAATGATTTGAATAAGGAAAACAAAAGAAAACATAAAGTCAACGACAACAAAAAATTCAGGGAGCTCTCTTGGACAGAGCACATTAAAATGGGGTCAACAGCAAAATAAAACAAAAAAGTCTATAATACTTATCTAGATGTATAAGCACTTTTGTTTCATATGTAGCCACGATCTTCGAAACAAACAGCTCCGTTCTAACTCTTTGGTATCTGTACTAAAAGGCTGGCTGTGCCAACTCAACGGGTTTTAATTTTTTTTTTTTAAATTTCCTGCGACCTTTGGCAGCAGGAAACTAAGGAAGGTTGGATAGGATGGTGATTAGTTTAAGCTTAGTGTCCATAGCTTTGATTAAGGTAGAATGGATAGGATGGTGATTAGTTTAAGCTTAGTGTCCACAACTTTGTACCCCTTAATCCACATCTATATGTATCTAATTCTCGTACGTTATTGGGAAAGTACATAGTTTCCTTCACACTGCACAAGGATGTACCCCATGGCTTTGATGTCTTTGTTGCCATTATCTCCATGGTGTGTTGCTCTGTTACCACAGGTGTTGTGTTCACCACCGGGCTTTTCTGTACCAAACCCAATTCTGGAATCACAATTTCTGCAATAATCTTCGTTGTTACCGAGAAATCCAATTCTTGTGTTGCTAGACTGAGCAAAAGGACTCTTTGCATTCGAACCTTCCTTGTTATAATTGAGTTGAAGGGAGGCCTGTGAGCCAATCAGCGTCTTAGAGTTGTCGCGACCTAAGGAAGTTGGCGGAATTTCTCGTCAGCGATCAGTGAGTAGTGAGAACTGGCTTTCTTATTGCTGACAGTGAACCCGATCGGTTCGTCTGTCTTGATACCGAGACAGATCTTAGAGAAGGATGTGTTCCGGTAGGACGGTAGCTTGGTCTCTTCTGAGTGTATATTAGGAAAACCACTTTGCGAAGCAAAAGTTCGTTTGTTCATGTGACGTACGCGGAATGTTATATGACCAGTCCTCTCAATTTAAATAGACTAAAATAATTTTGAATTACGGAACGATTTGGGAGCCGACTGAACCTCTTTTATTCTAGTGGGTATTACTTTTATCATTATCATAATTATCATCGTTATTATCATCATTTGTGTTATCATTATCGTTATTATATGATGTCTTCATTGTTATCGTTCTTCATCGATATGCATAAACGAAAGGCTTGTATTTGTTCTCCTTGTCTGAACAGTAGCATTTGAACAAAAACAAAAAAATACTACCCATACTGCAGGCATTTCCATATTTTTAGTATCCTGGTTTACACAGACAGTTGTACGATCCCTTAGTTATCTTGCCCACGGCATGAGCACTACAGTTGTATATACCTTCGACACACTAGTTTATGTCTGTTAAATTAAATCAAACACTTTAGTATGAAAAACCCCAAAGCATATGACTGATTTTATCATTAATAGAGTTGATTTTTTTTCACCAGAGCCCACTTCTTTTTAATGAAATGAGGACTTTGGTCAGTTTTACTACGGTGGCCCATAGGGACAAAGCACAACACAATTTCTCTTTTGAAACACAACAATCTTTTCCAGAACACAACGAGATCTTTTGACACACAATAATCTTTTTCAGAACACAACGAAATATCCCGATACACCGAAGAAAACTAAAACACAACAAAATTAAGTGAAACACAACAAAATTTCAAAGTACTGATGACTAGACCTGCCACTGAAAGTGACCGGAACCTGAGACTATCTTTGGTTACATGCTGCAAAGGCGTCAATCTTATATCGTTCATGTTGTGGATTTGATCAACAATGGCTTCTTCAAGTTCAGCAAGCGATCTATTGTCGAACAACCATCCAGACGTTATTGCCGATTTTTATTACAAAGAATGTTGACATATTCATAAATCATCACATAATGACATTATTGCATCTCATTCCATAATGAGAGGGTTTTCATATGTTTTGACCAGGTGGTCCACAAAACTATGAGGCATTTGAATCTTGATATTGTTTAGTTGAAATTTACTGATCACGTTCTTGTTCCTATGAGTAGTTGTAAGAAAATAACACTTGCCGTCAAAAGACAACTGCTTTGTGAGATGTACTTGTAACCATTGTTGATGGAAAATTATATTAAAAGATTGTAACATCGAGTTTGATGGGTAACTTTTTATTTAGTTTACTTGCACAGCAGTGAATGGAAAATACAAAGCATAAATCAGTCATGGCCATATGATCATGAGTGTAATGTGGCTATATGAGAGTGAACGCTAAATGTACGAACCTGCCCCTACCAATATTGCTCAGCTCGTTCTTGTTGGTTAAACATCATATGTTAGCAATTTCAAGGAGTTCTCTATACGGAAAGAGTCCCTCTTCGTTACTGTGGGGCAGCTGAAACTCACTGTTTTCTGGTACATATTCAGAATACTCTTGGTAGATGCTTTTCTCCTCTTCATAGGTCAGGTTCTCCCAGAGATTTCATCATCCAAGATTGGGTGAAGTAGACCATATTCTCCTCCATGCGGCTCTGGGAGAAAAAGTAGTTCATCCGCTCTTCCACCGATAGTGTCACGCCTCTAGCCTCTTATTAAATGTGTGTTCCAGTGTTCTTTAATTGTGTCCGGGTCACCTTCAAGTGATTGAGCAAAACAGAACCAGAGTCATGTCATTTAAATCTTCACAGATTTCCTGTTCCATTTACATCTAATTCTCATCCTACGTTTCCTTTCCTCTAAGCGAAGAAAAAGTTTTGGAAAATCGATGGTACCTTTACAAGTCCATCATTAAACTACACCACATTTAGAGAAATTGTGTTGTCTTACATTCCTGCTTTCATTTGTTTATTTCCCAGTTTGAGCATTTATTTGTCTTTTTGTCTTTTATTCCGGTTCATCGGTCCATGAGATCCTTAACTACCCCTTCTCTCACCCCCCTCCCGCTGAGCTTTCTTGCGTTTGAATGAACAACTCTCAGACTTGTATAGCCGGGGATATTTGGTATGGAGTCAACCCTGATTCACAAGTCAGCGTCATCTCCAATAATAATGAAGATATATTGACAATTTTTACCTTCATCACAGGTCTGACCCTTGAATCCAGTGGCACATAGACAGTGATACACTAGGTCAGTAAAACCGCATTGACAGGTAGAGTTTTTCTCACAGGGATTTTTGTCACAAGCGCTCTAAAGCAAAAGTAAGTATTTACCTCAAAACACTAAATCATAATAAATCTCCCACAGTTGGTTATCAGTTTCCCTGCCTGAGCTCCCAATTTGTATTAAGCCCCATGTCTTGCATAAACAAATATAATGGTAAGCAAATATAAAGTTTGAAATAAAAATGCTATTATTATATACAATGCAAATAGCTCTATCCAAGATATGCTGAGTATTGGGGTTATTAGTGATGTAACAGTACCTGAAGTAGTTTCAGTTTTAAATTTCTTAATTTTTATTTCGTTTTGTTTTGTTCGTTTTCCTTGACAAAAAAAACTCCTGCTTAATTCTGTATCTAATGAAGCTGGGCGACTGCCCAGAAAAAGAAGAAGAAAAAAATAGAATTTCAGCTATCAATGACGTTTTTATCGAGCGTACCTCTACAAAAAAGTCGCCTGTTTAAAACTTCAGTATTTTAATAAGCCACCTGCGGAAATGGGAGGGTGTTCACGTCATGCAAAATAATTCAACAAAAGGTTTTCAATAAATTCTACGAGTCCTCAGCTTCTACGTTCGCTACGAATGATCGACCATACAGGTTCAAGGTAAAAACGATGGATGCCAGATTTGTATGGGTCTGCATGAAATATATTCTCATGCGTTATTGACCAAGCGTGAATTCAAGATGGCTAGATATTGGCCGAGTTCTTTTGTTGCGTTTTCATGGACCGAGACAAAGTTTTACGCCTTACCGGCCCCTGACACTTCCTTAAAAGAATACTCGCTTAAATCATATTTTATCATAATCTGCAGTTATTAAGCTTTCTTCTGATGTATGGTTTGCTAAGATTCTACTGAAACTGGTGCGCGAAAGAATTATCTCCCGAAGAACACCTGCAAAGGTGGGAAGTAACCCTAAACACGTTGACTCGTCTTGAACATCGTATTTGGCTTCTTCTCGTACTTCTTCTTCTTTAAACCTTGAATTGGCATCGCTCAAGAATTTTTTTTTCTTTTTGATGTGGTGAAAGATATTTAGTTTGTGGATTTATGTGGGTTTACAATGGCTTTGTTGATCATTGTTTTCGCCTCATGGAGATAATACGAGAACCTTGACCGCGTACATACTCGCCATAAGCTACATACATGTGGATATATTTACCCATTGCTAAAAAGGAAATTGTAATTTTGGACAAAATCCTCTTTAAACTTAATAACTATACTACCGACATTGTTATTTGATTGTTGTTTTGGTCTGGTCGAGAATTCCTCTCCAGCAGGGGATTATGATGCGCTTTTCTATGATGGATATTTAACCCTGTAAATTACTTCAGTTTTTTCTGCTCTTTATTAAGTAAGAAAATTCCAATAAGAGGTAAGCTTCATTTTAAGTTTAAGGCGCCTTTTATAGGAATGGATAGAGTTCCAGTGATTCAAAACAGAGGCCCCAGGAAAGAAAAGAAAATTAAGATTGAGGCTTTAAGAGTGCGTCGGTATTAATCTATATACATCCCTCGGCCTTACGGCCCTTGGGATGTATACGAATTAATACCTCCGTTTTAGGTATTTATCTCTTACAAAATAAGAACCTTTTCGTACTTAATTCATCAGCGCAGACACAAACAAGAAGTACAGCATAACAAAAGGATAAACCTCTTCATGCAGATGAAAGCATTCACAAGTATGGATCTTTTACTTCTTAAAATCCAGAGCATATTAAACAAATGGAGTGAGTGCGATAACAAATCAGGAGTCTGATAAAACGTGAAAAACATTCGCAATTCAGATACATAAAATGAGATTTATAATTCATTTACTCCTGTAAACCATTCACCCATACATCGATCCAACTATGACTTAATTGCTTAACCATCTTAAAGAACTGGTATTTTGAGGTAATAGTTCAGACGCAAAGTAACAAGTAAATGAAGCTCCCTGGATCATTAGGATGAGAATTAGGGATACCTCCCTAAATCAAGAGCAGGTGTTAAATGTTACTCATGGTTACCCCTCAAACCCGTTACTATTCTCTGCTCAGGAATGAATAATCAGATGAAACTAACCTTGCCACGCGACCGAAAAAGACATCACATGGCACAAAAGTAACAGAAAGGATATTCACACATAATTTTTTCATAGTGCAGGTCGCTTCCTGAGACTGAATTCCCAAGATATCGCGCTGTATTAAAATGTTTTGGACTTCTTAAGCTGCCTGACTTACTTTTATCCAAGAAAAAGTTGATGTCAACCAGTTGATTTGTTCAAATTAGGACGTGTTTTGTCAGAATGTACTGAATTCACTGGGCGCCACTACGTCTTTATTCAAAACATTATTACTTTAAAAGAGTTTAGAAACTTTACTGTAAAGAAAAACAGCTCACGTTTTATATGTTCCTCCTTCTGTGCGTGAATTGCTCTTCGAGTACCGTGCAATTGTAACAGCTCGACTGAGAGGCGCGTAAAATTACGTTTGTTCTACAAGTAAACCAGGAGCTCACGAACTTTCCCGCCGTGCAATTCGAAAAATATCACAAAAATCTATTATGGCTTCACTGCCGATTTCTTCCTCGTTTTCTCAACCTAAACTAACCTCACACGAATATCACGTCAATGAACGGAGTAATAAAGTAATATTTGAGAAAGATCTGGCCAAACAAGACGAGTTTGAACCCATTGCTTACTACCTTGTTCATATGAGACTTCACCCCAACAACAACAACAACAGGAGAGCCGTGCGACAGCGGACCGCCGAGGGAGCAAATCACTGAGTGAAACAGCAAGGATCGAAATGCATCAATCAGAGCTGTTGAAAAACAACTAATCACAGCAGAGCATCATGCTTATAAAATCACGCATGACCAGTCGACCTCATCGTCTGAAGAAGACTAGCAGTATGCAGGTTTTTATTAACCTTGTTTGAGTTAGTAAACTAATTTTTTTCAAATCTATAACGGCTTCATGGCTTAAATGTGAATCTTATGCCTTGTCACTGCACTAAGATGTACCCCATAGCTCGAATGTGCTTGTCTCCATTATCAGGGTTGTGTGTTGCTTCATTTCCGCACGAATTATCTCCTCCTGTACCAAACCCGATTCTGGAGTTGCAGGTAGAGCAGTCATTCTGTTGGTTAGCAATGATGCCGATTCTTGCTCTAAAGAAACCACGGTTGTCACTTACAGCATTAAACCCTTCCTTGTTGCAGTTTCGCTGCAAAGAGGCTTGCGAACCAACCACCTTCTTCCACGTGTCACGACCCAGTAAGGTGGCGCGATATTTCCCGTCAGCGATCAATGAATACAAAGATTCTGCTGTCTTGTTGATAAAGATGAACCTAAGTCGTTGTCCAATCTTCATACCGAGGCAGATCTTGGAGAAGGGTGTTTTCCAGTAGGTTGGTAACTTTGTTTCCTGTAAGTCGAATCCATTCTTGCCTGCAGCATTTTTATAGGTCTTTCTGTCCTCCCAGAAATGAGAAGAGTAATGGAAGGTGTGCTGAAATTGTTAACAAAGGAATTTTCGAATTTAAACATAGCATCAATAATAGCCTGTTTTAGGCTCAGGGTTATCAAATACGTGTGAGGGACTCTTGGTTGCTCGTCTAGTAAAGACGACGTTTGGCGGTTGTTACGGAAATCGCAGCTAATTTTGGCCCCCACCTTTTGTAGCTTGCAATGCTGACCTGTATCCTCAATAAATTTGCAAATTAATTTATACTTTGTTGACGACAAAATACTAATTTTTTAGTTTCAGGGCCAAAAAATAGGCTTGAGCGATGCTCGATGGTTGCTAAGGACACAGCAGCAATTTTTCGCTCATCTATTTTTTCTCTGTATTGTCAATGAATTTTCTTCGCGGAGAAATTGTTACCTTACTGCCATTAATCTTCATGATCGGTGTCCATCCTCCATCTCCGCATCCAAAGTCTCCCATGTGACAGAAAACAGAAATTGGTTTTGAGTCTAAGTGCAGAGTAACCTCGTCACTCTTGTTCGATCTGTTGAATGAAATACTTTATAAGGAGTGGAGATACATTTAAAGCTGATGAAGTCCGAGACTTGCACATACTTAGCACGTCATACACATAACTTGTTAAAAGACACAGAGTAGGTTTCAATTATTTTCAAACAAAAAGTTTGCCTAAATGATTATTATCAAGGATCAGGCGCTAAATTGTTGTAATATTAATCTTTTTTATCATTTTGATGGCTCATCTTATTCTCTTTCCTCTTTGAACTAGTAGTGATATTATTATCATCTTTTCCATTCTATTTTGGTTATCAGTGAATTATTTACTCACATATTATGATCGAAGATTTCCTTACACGTTGAGGCTAAAACAAAAAATTGGACATGATATTTAGCCTTGTTTGCAGTTTCGTATTTTATTATAATTATAAAGTTTCCTCCAAAATGCACTAAAACTTGTAAACTGGTTAAAAGGGCACAGCTAATTGCATATCAAAACAAAGCACTCTTTCTGAAGCGACAAAAGGCTCAGTGGGTGGTACTCCAAAATGCTATCAGTTGCAAGCCTTTCTAGTAAGTATAAATGTAAAGCGTTTAACATTAGAGCAAAAGGCTCGCGTTTCTTTAAAAAAAAATAGTCGCAACAAACCCCATGAAAACATCACGAGAAAAAACTTACGTTTAGTGCAAATACTTCCATTTCCTAAGTATCCAGTTTTGCATGTACACTTGTAAGATCCCTCAGTGTTGGCGCACTCAGCATTGGCACTACATGTGTGTGTTCCTTTAGCGCACTCGTCAATGTCTGACAAAAGAACTTATATTTATTAATATGCATCGTAAATTTTCGATAGCTGTTAAAATTCTCCAATTAATGCTTCTCATTTGAATGTTGAAGGTAACCTCTCAATTTTTGTGTGTGATTTTTCTACTTTGTGATTTGCCCACATACTCTAGCTAACCCCTAAGCAAAACTGATCAACGCAACTAAAGCTCGGTCACTCGCGTTTTCTCAGCGTGCAAAGGTGTTGGATTTTAGTCGCTTTATTAATGTAATAACGTCGAAGGAACAAAAACTGGCAGCTTCCAAACCCCTCGTGGCTTCCTCACTCGTTTTCATTTTTGAAAAGGGTACTAAAAACCACAATTTACATAGGCTGGTGTTTTTCCGCCCACGAGATATTTTGATGCCTAATTTACTTTTGCCGCTTTCTCCTTTTTTTTGCTTGAATGTCGCTGTTATGACTAATGAGACTGTTGCTTTGCCACATTCGATTGAATCAAACCCTAACTTTTGGCGATAATCACATCACAGCTTATTCAGGTAGAGCATGGAAACGGTTCGTTTTTTTGGCAAATGAACTCGCCAGTTTATTGTTTTCTGATAAAGAACGAATAAGTAGGTCCCAAAAATACTCTACACCCATGCACGTTGAAAGAGTTATTACAGCAGGGATTTAAAAGTGGCCTCTGCTCGATCTCCTCCTGTTTATGAAAAGGAATAAACAAGCACCGAAAACAACATTCTCTTTCAGCAGTGATTATGTTTGGACGTATCTACCATAGATACGTACTCTATAGATATGCATTCTATAGATATGTATTACATAGAAAGTACTGTTTACCTTGACCACAGTTGCTACCCTTGTATCCAGCAGAACACAAACAGCGATAACCTTTGTCAGTAAAACCGCTTTGACAAGTGCCATTATTCTTGCAGTGGTTTATAACACAGGCGCTCTGCAGCCAAAGGGATAATGAGTAACAATGATAATATATTAAGAAAGTAAATGATTTCTCATAGATATTTTAGATGTACCCATCCGCATTGTATCTTCAGCCTTGTGTTTCTCTCGAGGTTGAGACAGAGCCGGTGAAAATGACATTTTCGGCGTTCAGCCCCACCTTCTTTTAGTAGAAATTAAAGGGGAAACTGAATGTAAAGTTAAAGAGCAAGTTTGAAGTGATTTATACTGTTTTTTTTTTTCGTTTTTTTTTTAATGGATAAATCTGCATTTACTACGTGCCTCAGCTGAATGATGAAAGAAATCTTGGTCCTCCGTCAGATCCTCCTTGTGTCCTTCACGAGTAACACTATTCAACTCACATTTATAATTCCCATTTTCATCTGCCCGTTTATCAAGATTAATGCTGACGCAGTCGGGTTCCATGTAGCAGACGTTCTCACAAAAGCTTGCGACCTTGACCTCGACGACGCGAATCAAATGGTTTATAAGCCGTGTGCCATCGAATGCTTCTTCAGGTGCAAACTCCAGGATGCGGCATTGGTCCGTGTCACAGAAGCCTTTACATAATTCAAAATAAACTTAGTATAAGCGTTGAAGCCAAAATTAAAAGCTATCGCAGTTAACTATTGGAGTTCTCCAAATATTCACAAGTCGAAATACAACTTTGCAATACTTGCAGTGGTTTATAAAAACACTTGTCGCACTTTTTGATACAAAATCTGTCAGAGGATACTAAGACCCAATGATAACTGTCAATGATAATAATAATAATATAACATAGTGATAATAAAGTAATAATAATGGTAATAATAATATAACTGATAAGAGCAAAAGTAAAGTTGATGGTGACAAGAATGAAAATAATAATAACAATTGTTACGATAGGAACTAATAATCTGTACTTCTAAGCGTGACTTGATTAACGCGGGACGCACGCCAAGGGAGTCTAATATACCGGATCTTAGCCGTATGAAATAAACTGGTTGTTTTGAAACTTAAAGCTGTCTTCTCAGATCTACCAAGCAAGCTAAACATTAATAGCAATGAGAATAACAGCCACATGTATCGTTGGATGTACTTGCCCTCCGACTTTCCATTCCAAGATCATAAAAAGGTGCGACAAACGTTACTACAAAGTGCGACACGTCAATTTGCTGCAAAGTGCAAAGGTCTTTCTTTTAATTAAGTGCGACAACTGTTTCATCACAAATTTCGACAAGTGTTATTACAAAGTGCGACATTTTTATTGAAATAAGAAAGCGACGACTATTACAAAGTCTCCCTTACTTCGTGGAGAACATTTTTTTTACGTCTATAATATTTGAAAGGCAAATATCATGAAAAATGTCCTTAAAGAGCCACATTGAATGATAGAAAAATGTGTTAATAACATACTTGTAACAATTTCAAACATATTTACTAAAGTCGACCGACGGAACACTCTCCCGCTGACTTAGTGTAAAACAACTTTTCATTTCAATAACATTCGAAAACAAAAATAATGAAAAATGCATTTTAAAAGTCAAAGAAGGTATTAGAGAAATCTTGTAGTTATACAACAATGTCTATAACTATGCACTCTAAATGTATGAAGACCAAAAGAATATGAAATACATTAGAAACAGATTAAGATAACAAACTCTATAACATCAAAGTAAAGGAATAAAAAAAAAAGAAAAAAGAAAAGAAAAACACTCGCTAATTAGCCGCTTAAAATGACTATCAGGTTCAATTTGCTAGTGGAAACAAGCCACCCAGTTATAGATCCACCTTTGATTTTCTTGGATTAGTAGTTTAAAAAAAGTTTAAAGCCTTGTTATACTGCGGATATAAGGATTTATGTAATGAAAGCGAAAAACTTATTCCTCATTCAAAGAAATAATAAGTGTTCGCAAACTATGATTACGAAGGACCGTTCCTCTTAAATTACTAATTTACCTTGACCATACTCGGCTCAAAAAGGGGACTGGAGAAACTTACCTTGAGGCGAGACAGAGGCAGACGCCATTAGGCACAAAGGCAAAAGAGAACTGATAAAAATCGAGGTTTTCATGGCGTGGATCGCATTCCGAGGTCTCCTGAGAGATGAGCAAACTGATGTGAAAATCTGTTTCAGATATCGTTTCGTTTAATTAAAAGTTTCTGATTCTCTTCTATCCAATAGGGTTTCGATTTTAATAGATTGTTTTCATTTTATTGGCTATCTATTGTTACAGAGCCAACCAAATGTGGTTTTTGCCTTATTTGTTAACTATAACATTAATTTGGGGCAATTAGATTACTCAAATCACGTCACAAATAGTATGTTCAATTTAATTAATAATTAATAGCATCTGTCTAATAACTGAGTTTTTTTTTCTACAACCCTATCTCCTTCAGATAGGATAAAAAATAACATGTTTGAAGTGATGTAACATGACCTTCCTTGGCTTGTATTAATCATCAATTCTGGATGTAAAAAAACAAACAAACAAACAAACAAACGAGACAAAAATGAATTATCATAACATTTATCTCCGAACCTACAATTATAAGTAGGTTTTAAGATTTAAAATTGACTGTTATCCTTTTTAATACTTACGTTCCAATTGAAAATTTCAAGAATTTTGTAATAAATTTACGAATAAATCATCTCTGAGGTGAGCCAAAAGAAACAATCAGTGTCTTGGATCTTACCTTATCCTTCCTTTGTTCGTAAGAACTTTGATATCGCAATAACGACGAATTGAGGTTACTTTCCACCTTCAGAGGCTGAAAAAATCGATTTTTATTTGACTAAACTGAGCTCAAACATTAAAACTAACGTTTCCATGAAAAAAAATTAAATAAAATGAAGAAAAATTTCTGAAATCTTTAAAAGCACCCAAGATATTTGGAAAAACGTATTTTCAAATGAAAGTTAATAAATCAGGAGGTGTTATAATCTTGGAACCGAGCGAATCCCCTGTTAAAGGCCTAAATATAATAACTGTCCTAAATGTAATTATTTCATAATAATTAATTTTTTTTCGGCAACCTTTATTTAACTTACAACCCTGTCGAATGTTAACAATCTGAAAGTCCGGGGAGGGCTTGATTATGTAGCAGGGAAGAGCGGGGCTGATGAATTGAATTTGATTATAAATAAGGGATTTATCTGTATAAATCTCTGAAACGAGGGATAAATTCCTGAAGCGAAGGATTTATTAGAATTTCTACAAATTAATCCCTCATTAAATATTTACTTTGAGGACCACAGCAAAGTTGATAAAGAGTGTTTGGCGGGTAAACAGTACCTCGATCCTTTTTCTTACGAACTTCTACAACCAATTTGCTCAGCTAATAATTAAGTTCCCCGTTGTCAGTAATGATAATGAGAATGTCAAGATTGACTTGAGGAAGTGTAATTCCACTTTCACCTTTGATTGCGATCATTCCGTTTCGTTCCACTGCCCATTCAGTCCAAGTACGAACTGCCCACGATGTATTTATTCTTGTATTTGGTGGTATTCGAGATTCCTTCCTCTTCTCAAGTTCTTCATCGTCAAGGATCGAAACCTTCCTTACTGCTTCTGGGCAATTCAATGGGTCTGTCCGTTCATCCTTGATGCTTTCCTCAGTGACTACTTGCTTTAATTCCGTCTTCCGCACACGAATTTTGTGGAGCAGGCTGATCACTAGCTACTAAGCCGTCTAAAATATAATTAGTACTAAAGTTGTGTTGTAATTTTTCTTCCGAAAAACTATTTTGAATAAGAAAATGCTCCTCGTCGCTATACACGCCGTCCATAATGGCAGCACTAAAACAGAGAAATGATTCGTTGGAAAATATTCGTACGCATTTACCGAAAAACTAGTAAACAAGAACTAAAACAAAATATCAAACAATACAATGCAAACAAAAAACCGAACAAAATGCAATGCTAAGTTCCTTATGGACTCGCAAAAATATCAAAGTACAGAAAAGTCTTGTGGTAGTTACGGAGGAATTCGCAACAACTTTTCACAGTCCTGTGAGAAACGCACACGTCAGGTTGCTTTCATTATATCTGCTTTGATCCGACAATGGTGTGACCGTACTAGTTAGCCGGTGTTTGCCCCTTGAAGGAAGGATTGTTATCAAAAGATCCCTCATGAATAATATCATGAAATAAGTCAGATAAGTACCTCAAACGTCGGTATTAATTCATATACATTCCTCGGCCCACGGTTCTCGGAATGTATACGGATTAATACCTCCGTTTTCGGTATTTATCTCTTAGTAACATTTGTTCCTAAATGTAATAAGCCTTCCATGCAATCGTTTGACTACGCTAGAGCATTGTTGTCATAGCGAACATCCACATTGAGATGTTAAAGTGACAGCTGTTGAACCAAAAATCCCCTCGGTGGGCTCGGTGATATCAATCAACGTCTTCTTATTTGCTAAACTTGAGTCGAGAAGCACTGGCTGCAAACCGTTATTCTGATGAACAATTGGCATCAAATAACAGCCGGTAAAACAATGAGTACACTGACCAATACCTCTCCATATATCATTGGCTCAGACTCTTAAGTACAATAGATTTTGGAAAAATGTGATAACGTTATACTTGTGTGATCAGTGATGGAGTTTATAATTCATTAAATAAACTGCAAACTTGGAGAAGGGAGTTCGCTGACTTGTAGGTCGGACAATTTGCAGGCTCAGGTGTACATTTTTTTTTCCTTTCCTGAATAGATCTTGTAAGCATGCACATTTTGTTTCCCAATTCGGACTTCGTGACAGCACTGTAGAGAGTTATTACTTTCAAATTCTCGAATATCTTCGTGAGTACATGAATATGGACAGTTAATTTTTCTCCCCAAAAGAACGTAATTAGGATATTTATGTTCTCTTGATCTGGAAATGCATGTACAAATTCGAACTTGAAATGCATGCACAAATCCGACTAACGGATAAGGTATTGCATGGATCTGCATCAAATTATATACTCAGTGACTTACACTGAACAGGCATAATTGCAGAGAAGCTGCTGACCAGCACATCATCACAAATCGTCGGCTCAGACTGCCAATCACAAAGCAAACGTTTACCAAAAATCTGGAATATGTCATCGACGACTGAACTCAATGACAAGCGCGGTAATCGCATGATCTGTCTCTCAGTGGTTTATTGATCGAGGTGAGGAGAATAATTTCCAGTCCAAAGTGGGCCAATGCTTGGCTGGAACTTCAAGTGGATGGACTGGAATTTGTCTAACGTTTCTGCAATGGGTAACTTTTATTGGGAAATCTCGACCCATCGTTATTGACACCAGGTGGTTCTGTTGTCCTATTGGTTTGCGGTTTCAGGAGGCGAGATAATCTCCTGGTGTGACGCGAGTTGTTTGCGAACCTTTAGGAGCTTAAATCTCGCATTTGATTATGAGAGGAATACAACCACTTTGAACGAATTTATAGGGTATAGATTTGACCAGTTTTCGTTAAATTTTCGCAAAAACATTCCAGGAATAATGTTCCAGAAAGTGCGTCGGGAAATTTTGATATTTGAAATATTTATCCCGTGGTGTCCATTTACGAAACATGCCTCGCATAATTTTAGCTATTCCAACCTTAGATGCCTGTATTTAGACAACCAATCATAATATGGAAAAAGCGTGTCACACTTTTGTTGATTGATGCCTTGTGAATAAGACTGTGTAGCAATTTTGCTCGTGCGAAGGCATCCGATACCCGATAAATTCAATAGAAGAACCTACGGTAGTTTTACGCCTTACCGGCTTCTGACACTTCCTTAAACTAAAACTCGCCTAAATTATATTTTTATCGTAGTCTGCAGTTATTAAGCTTTCTTCTGATGTGTGGTTTGCTAGGATTCTACTGAAACTGCGCGTAGGAATTATTTCCCGAAGAACACCTGCGCAGGTAGGAAGTAACCCTAAACGCGTTGACTCGTCACGAACATCGTATTTGGCTTCTTCTCGTACTTCTTCTTCTTCTTTAAACCTTGAATTGGCATCGCTCAAGTCATTTTTTTTTCTTTTTGATGAGGTGAAATATATTTAGTTTGTAAGAATTTAAAGAAAGCGACAACACTTTTGAGTTTGTAAGACATGTTTCCACAGAAACTTCTGTCATGTTCAGTTAATTACTGTACAAAGCGTTGAAAGTTGAATTATATAGTAAGTAAAACAATGCTAATTAAGATGAATAGTGACAACAAGAAAAGAGGTAAAGCACGAAAGTGTGACAATTAAAAAGATACTTTTAGATTTATATGGTGTAATTGCTGATTATAAAGATGGTTGTTCTCTTTGAAAATGAATAGCCTCTTTTATCTTAAGCTGAAAGCTGGTGGAGGCGTGATCTAAAACATAGAAATTATTTGTGGAACACAAAACGCGACAATGTGGAGAATCTTGAATAATACTGCCTGTGGAGGATATTATTCATCCGCTGTCTTTTTGCCTCAAAACCACGCAATTTACATATAATGGCACCTACTATCAACAAGTTTTTGGTACAGCGATGGGTTCGCCCGTCTCTGCTTTCATGGCTAACATGGTAATGGAAGATGTGAAACAAAGGGCCTTAGCCACTTCACCGGTTAAACCCCTTTTTCTGGAAACGATATGTCGATGATGTTATTTCTGCGGTATCCGGAAATGAAGCGGAGCACCTCCTGTCGCATTTGAATTCAGTAGAGCCGTCGATCCAATTCACCCTTGAGCGCGAAAAGGATAGACATTTGCCCTTTCTTGATTTAAATGTGTCCAGAGGGGTTCAGGGTAATTTAGAGACAAGCGTCTACCGTAAACCTACCCACACCGAAAAATACCTCGCTTTCGATTCTCACCACCCTATTTTCCTTAAAAAGTCTGCAGCCAAAACTTTACTTAAGAGGGCTGACTGTCTACCATCTTCACTCGATTCGAAGGCTGAGGAGAGGAAATATGTTTCTGGTGTCCTAAAGGCAAATAGCTATATAAAAACCTTTCTCCGTAACTGCCAAAAACCAGTTACAACTAGTAACGCTCTTGATGAAAGGGAACCAGCGACTAGTTTTCTGTTATTCCTTACATTCAGGGTGTTACAGAACCCATCAAGAGAATTTTGAATTGCCACAACGTTAAAGTTGCTCAAAAACCTTTTCGGACTTTGGGGCATATTTTCGCCAAACCTAAGGATCCTGTCACGAAAGAACAACGAACCGACGGCATTTATTCTATTCCTTGCAATGACTGTGACAACAAATACATCGGACAGACCAAACGTCAGTTTGTTACACGTTTAAAAGAACATCAAAGAGCGGTTTTCTTTTGCAAAAAAGGAAAATTCAACTTTATCGGAGCACACATGCCTAACTAACCTTACAGTTGGGTGGGATAATTCTAAAATTATCACCACTGATCGGCGTTACCACCAGCGTCTTTGTTTGGGGGCTTGGCATATTAACTCCACCCACGCTCCTTTAAATCGTGACGATGGCGGTTTGCTTCCTGACGCCTATTTACACCTCGTCAGAAAAAAGGTCGCTAATTAGTGATCATATAAAAGGACCTCTTGTTGCAGCGTTTAGATCACCCCTGATGAAGGCACTAGACAGGAGTGTCGAAACGTTGGGTCTATGAATTGTAACTTTTTCGGTTACATTCATTAAATCTGTAAACCAGAGTAGCATCAAACCATGTCTTGTTGAATACTCCTTGAGCAAAGTTTTAATTTCACTTATTTCACAAATTTGATAGGTGCAATCCTGTTGTAAATACATGTAACCCCCCTTGTTATTGATAGTAGTGATTTGGAGATACCAGAACTACTAATAGGATATCATTGATGGTTAGTTGCATTTGAATGGTTTAATCCGTAGAGTTGATGATGATTACCAGAAGAAAATTTTTTAAGAATGGGAAACCTGTTAACTCGACGGTTGCTTTGAATGCAGGCGACTTTAAGACATGTGGGAAAGGCATTGGGATGTCAATTTTGCAAGGTGGACCAGCACCCAACTTTTTGGCACCAGAAATAGCATCCTATCTGGTTGGGGAACCACTTTCTCCATTCTTAAACCAAGACCCTCTACTTAGGACAGCTGCTGAAAGAGTAAGTTAAAATAATCTATGATCTGAAACATTTTTCATGCCCAATCTAGAAAATAATAACACATAAAAAAGCATACCACCTTTATGTCCAAATGCGTTTTCACTTCACATGCCAATTATGTCATCATTATCGACTACATGTGTCAGTTCAACCTTACTCTAAATCCACATTGTTAAGCAACAACAACAACAACAACAACAGTTAGTATTTTAACTTGTTTTTCAGTTGGCAAATGCAAATACAGATGAGATAGTGACAGCAGCTCTTACATACGATGACATGCTTGACGTGTTAGAATCAATAGGCTATTCAGGCATTCCCCAAAAGGAGACTCTGTCTGGAATACAACCCATTATCCATTGAGAACTTTTCAAAGCATACTGTCTTATAATTTTGATTCTGGTAGTTATACTTTACATATGCACAGTGTTACTTGCCTCACACTGCTCAAGAAGTGTTTATGAGTAAGTGACGATTGTAATAAATAGTTTTATCAAAGCTCCTTCCCTTCTTCTGCCCACAAGGGAATTCAGGTACATAATACCTGCTGCCTTTCTTTTCTTATAGGTCAATTTGTATCAAAGATCAGTTATCCCTATATCTTCTCCCAACTGGTGCAAATTGAAAGTGGATTGGATGAATGTGGTATTCTCAGTTATTTGAGAAGAAATACAGAAATCTGGAAACCTGTTTTTGCAGATGGGAGTAATTTTTCTATTTCTGCAGATGGATTTCTAGACCAGATGATAGTAAACGTCGGTGATTCGCAGGTTGCAGAGATAAACACTTTCAGGTTCTTCAGTGATGTTATGGCATCCACTGATGTTGGAGGTATCTTTGTTACCTATTTTATACCGGTAATTCCCTTTACATATCAACCCCATCATTCCATTTCATAATACATTGAGTTTCTTGTTTTGTGCATGCATTGCTCAGCAGCCACCCTTTTCCATTACAGGCATTGAAGATGTCAGCTTAATGGACCTTGTCAAGTGGATGACTGGATCCTCTCAAAGTCCACCTCTAGGGTTTCCAAAGTTCATGTTCATGGTAGAATTTGTTCATGGTTGTCTCAATGGTTGTTGTTGTCGACCAACAACATCAACCTGTGATATTACTATAAAGCTACCTGTTCATATTGACAATGAATTGCTGAATTGCTTCAGCTGTAAAAGATTCTTATGGATTTGGCTTAATCTAGATGTACTATGTTTATAGTCCAAGATTGATTCAACATTGTCCCTGACATCATTATAATGTGTTCAGTTACAGTTCGGTCACAGATTTATTGTTACTTAGGGAAGAAAAAACTTGTTAGTGACATAAACAAAACTTCAGAAAAGGAACAATGTCAAAACAAAACTTCAGAAAAGGAACAATGTCACTGTTGGCAATAGCTGATGTGTTAGTGTTTTAACAACAACAGATTGTTGTTGTAATGTAGAAAATACAGTTCATATTTACAATTTTGACATTCATCTCAACAGCATTTCTTTACAGTCTGCTTTTTTACAAAAAAGTTGTTGGTTAGTTAAAAAAAAATAACCTCTAAAGAGACGTTGTGGGAAAGCAACCGACTTTGTTCATCTAGGCCTAGTGGTTGATGAATTGATGAATGTTCCATAGAGAAAACTGTAAAGCCTTCATTTCATATTTTACATAGAGATTTCAAATTTTGAAAAAAGATTAAAACCCTCTTCAATCGAGGAAGGAAGCTGCGTGCTTTGGTGATTCATGACATAATGGAAGTACTCCTGGTAAATGTCAGCTCCACTGTCATTGTTTTCCACATTTAAATGCTGCTCCATTTCATCAATATTTCCACTTTGCACCACCCATTTACAGTCAACAGCACTTGACCTGTCTGGTAAGTCGAACAATACATCAGTCACTCCTGGTATAGCGCCATGGCCTGAGCGCCTAATACGATGTGTATTCTAGTTTTGCTTCACTTTGTCAAGTTCATTTTGGAGGGCTGCCTCAAAACAAAACCATAATGCTTTCATTTGCATAACATTACCAATGTCCGGTAGTCCACCACTTACCATGTCCTTAAAAAAGTCTATCCACCAACCCTCTGCCTCGCCGGAAATGAGTCCACCATGCTTCAATTCGCTGATGCGCAGGGGAGGACCCATACCTATGTGCTTTCTCCCCAGCAAACGTATCTTCTCCATCTTGGCGAAAATAGCACTGCATCCCAGCCATTACGCCATTTTCCGTTCCAAAGTCAGTTCTTAGTGGAAGTGGACATCCGCCATTTCCCTTAACACATTCTATGTAGAATTTAGCCAAATTTTCTAGCATATTGTTTGATCTTGTCAGCTCTAACCAGAGAATTTTACGGCTGTATCTATCTATAGCTCTATGGATGGGGAAGCCGTAAGGCTTCAATTTATCGTAACCTAAGGAATTAAACATTGTTCAGCCGTCACAAATAGTAAATAGTATTGCAATTTATTTCTTTTCTTGGATTAACTGGAGGTTGTGAAGGCACTTGGACATTTATTAAACAGGCGTGTGCCAATTTTTCAAAAATCTTTCAGGGAAAAATCGAAATTGCGAGGAAACTCTGCACGAGCTAAAAACACCAGTTTGAGACTTGTAGGATTGTTTGAATTGCCTTCCGTATATGGCTTCTGTGCATAAAGTAACACGCATGAAATGCGTCATCAGTGGCTCCCTCTAGGAGCCACCCGCGGGTTCTTATGGTAACGCAGGTGCATTAATCCAGACTGTTAAATTTTTGTTTGCATTTTGGAGAAATCACTGGGGCTTATATTAACCTTACAAATCACTTCGGTTTTTTCTGCTTTGTATTAAGTAAGAACATTCCAGTAAGAGGTAAGTTTCATTTTAAGTTTAAAGCGCCTTTAATAGTAATGAATAGAGTTCCAGTGATTCAAAACAGAGGCAACACGAAAGAATAGCAAATTAAGATTGAGGCTTTAAGAGTACGTCGGTATTAATCTATATACATCCCTCGGCCCCACGGCCCTCGGGATGTATACGTATTAATACCTCCGTTTTAGGTATTTATCTCTTACAAAATAAGAACCTTTTCGTAAGTAATTCATCAGCGCAACCATGCAGAGGACACAAACAAGAAGTAAAGCATAATAAAAGGATAAACCTCTTCATTCAGATGAGAGCATTCACAAGTATGGATCTTTTACTTCTTAAAATCCAGAACATATTAAACAAATGGAAACTAGAGTAAAAGCGCAAGTGCGATAATAAATCTGGAGTCTGATAAAACGTGAAAAACATTCGCAATTCAGCTACATAAAATGAGATTTATAAGTCATTTACTCATGCAAACCATTCATCCATCCATCGATCCAACTATGACATAATTGCTTAACCATCTTTAAGAACTGGCATTTTAAAGTAATAGTTCACATGAAGAGTGAAAAATAAGAGAAGCTCTCCGGATGATGAGGATGAGGATTGTGGTACCTCCCTAAATCAAGAGCAGGTGTTAAATGTTACCCATGGTTACCCCTCAACCCTGTCAGTATTCTCTGCTCAAGAGTGAACAATTAGATGAAACTAACCTTGCCACGGGACCGAAACAGACATGACATGGCAGAAAAGTAACAGAAAAGATTCACACCGAATTTTTTTAATGGTGCAGGTCGCTTCCTGAGACTGAATTCCCAAGACATCGCGCTGTATTAAAATGTTTTGGACTTCTTAAGCTGCCTGGCTTACTTTAACCAAGAAAACGTTGATGTCAACTAGTTGCTTCGTTCAAATTAGGACATATTTTGTCAGAATGTACTGAATTCACTAAGCGCCACTACGTCTTACAAGGGTTTTGACGCTTAACCATAAAGAAAAACAGCTCACGTTTTACATGTTCCTTCTCCCGCGCGTGAATTGCTCTTCGCGAGTGCCGCGCACTTGTATCAGCTCGACTGAGAAGCGCGTAAAATTACATTTGTTCTACAGGTAAACCAGGAACTCACGAACTTTCACGCCTTGAAATTCGGAAAATATTACAAAAATCTAATATGACTTCACTGCCGATTTCTTCTTCGTTTCCACAACCTAAATTAACCTCACACGAATATCAAGTCAAAGACCGGAGTTAAAAAGTAATATTTGAGACAGGTCTGACAAAACAAGACGACAAGTTTGGACCCATTGCTTTATTACTTTGTTTGAGTTAGTAAACTACTTTTTTTCAAATCTATAACGGCTTCATGGCTTAAATGTGAATCATATGCCTTGTCACTGCACTAAGATGTACCCCATGGCTCGGATGTTCTTGTCTCCATTATCAGGCTGATGTTTTGCTTTATTTCCGCACGAAAAATATCCAGCACCAAACCCGATTATGGAATTGCAAGTGGAGCAGTCATTCTGCTGGTTAGCAATGATGCCGATTCTTGCTCTATAGAAACCACGCTTGTCACTTACAACATTGAACCCTTCCTTGTTGCAGTTTAGTTGCAAAGAGGCTTGCGAACCAACCACCTTCTTCCACGTGTCACGACCCAGTAAGGTGGCGCGGTATTTCCCGTCAGCGATCAATGAATACAAAGAGTTCGCTGTCTTGTTGATTAAGATGAACCTGATCGGGAGTCGTCGTCCAATCTTCATACCGAGGCAGATCTTGGAGAAGGATGTTTTCCAGTAGGTTGGTAACTTTGTTTCCTGTAAGTCAAAGCCATTCTTGCCAGCAGCATCTTGATAGGTCCTTCTGTCCTTCCAGAAATGGGAAGAGTAATGGAAGGTATACTGAAATTGTTGACAAAGGATTTTTCGAATTTAAACATAGCATCAATAATAGCCTGTTTTAAGCTCAGAGTCATCAAATACGCGTGAGGGACTCTTGGTGGCTCGTCTAGTAAAGACGACTTTTGGCGGTTGTTACGGAAACCACAGCCAACTTTGCCCCTACCCTTTTTAGCTTGTAATGCTGACCTATATCGTCAATTGAATCGTCTTTTAGTTTCAGGGCCAAAAAATAGGCTTGAGCGATGCTCGATGGTTACTAAGGACTCAGCAGAAATTTTTCGCCCATCTATTTTTTCTTCTAATTTTCTTCGCGGAGAAATTGTTACCTTGTTGCCATTAATCTTCATGATCGGCGTCCATCCTCCATCTCCGCATCCAAAGTCTCCCATGTGACAGAAAATAGAAATTGGTTTTGAGTCTAAGTGCAAATTAACCTTGCCACTCTTGTTCGATCTGTTGAATAAAATACTTAATCAGAAGTGGAGATACATTTAAAAGCTGATGAAGTCCGAGACTTGTACATATTCAGTGCGTTATATATATAACTTGTTAAAAGACACAGGGTGGGTTTCAATTATTTTCAAACAAAAAGTTTGCCTAAATGATTATTATCAAGGATCAGGAGCTAAATTGTTGTAATATTAATCGCTTATATCATTTTGATGGTTCATCTTATTCTCTTTCCTCTTTGAACTAGCAGTAATATTATATTATAATAGCCCCATAACTATACGAAATAGTTGAAACCCATCAAGCCGAAAAAATTTGGACGTGCGACCGTTCGACAGACCGTATAAGGTGCTACTTTTAGCATGCGCGGCCAACTTTACTACGGGCACTATCTTAGCCATTACTAGGCTTGAGTCGATTGTGCCCGTAAAACTGGCATATTATGCTCCTAGCACTGCTCAAAATTTATGAAATTTATTAATGAGTTATGCTCGTTTCTCTAAATTATGCTCCTGGCATCAGAATTATGCTACTTGATTTTTAAGCAAAATAAAGGCAGAGCACCGGGGTAAACATAAAACAAACAGCAACTGATTACTTATCTGGTGACTGCGGTCCATTATTTTAATAAACCAATTATCAAACATTGTGTCGTTGCACGTTTCCCCTGCATTTGTTCCTCAGAATCGATAAACATGCTGCTCATCATTTTTCAATCAATGGAGCTTCTTAAGTCAAAGTAAGGATGCAGAGTAATACGCTTATCAGCGTTTATTGTACTGAAGCATAACACAAGCCCGAACATAATCTCCTGGAGCATGGTCTTGCGAATCTTTGAAAGAGGAGTTAATTAATGAGACATTACCTGAAGAACTAAAAGTGTTCGACGAGGTGGACGCCATCTTTTATCTTGGATCTCAGTCAACTCGCTAGCGATTCGTACGAGTAGGGCCTAAAACCAGGAAACGTTACAACGACCGCAGTGAATCCACCGTAAGCGCAATTCATTATTAGCAACAACATTCTAGAAACATAATTCAGTCAAGAGAAGTATATTCAATACAAAATTACGAAAATTGTTCACATCGTGGAAGTAAAAATGCAAATTATTCCGGTAATGCTTTTCTTTGAAAAAAGTTAAAAATTATGCTCGTTTTGCCAAATTATGCTAAAAATTATACTGGCACAATCGACTCAAGCCTAGCCATTACGTAATGGAAGGGCGAGGGAGAAAGTAATGCGTAGGCGCGATTGCGCGCGTAACTTGGACACCCTATTAGTGTGCGCCAGGAAACACCGGCAGATGACAATGAAGTGCGCATACTCGAGTGTCGAGCTTCAATGCAGCGTACCGCGGGTACACGGCTAGGCATTGTTCGAGGGCCTCACGTGGGCTAGTGGATGTGAAACCACGTAAGCAAATTATTTGCAACCCGCGTTTTGAGTACGAAATCAAACTGGTGAGGTTGTAGTTTAACAGTAATTCTCAGTATATCGCAAATTCTAATCAACTCGCAGGGCAACAATACCGGCAGAGCTAAAGCATTGTCAACGGGAGGAAATTGTTATGATTCAAGTTTGTGGAGAGAGGGTTTTGAGTGAAAATAGGATGAAAAGAAAGAGACTGAGCGACAAAAAAAAAAAACAAAACAAGAAGTAAAAGACGTAAAAGGAGTCGAGAAAAACGCGCAAAAATGTTAGAGAGGACACCAATACGGTTGAATTACGGTAAGAGGAACGCGAAAGAGGACGAGAAAGACAAAAGCAAAAAGGCCAATATCTAGCGAAGAGTAACGCGAGAAGGAAATACAAAGACGCTACTGAAAACATACTGAGAAGAGGTCATCAACAAAGAGAAACGATCTACAAAACATCCGAGAAAAATGAGGAGGTAAGTCGTGTCTTATCTGGGTTTTCTCTAACGCTAAGGCCCACAAAATTGCAAACGTTTTTTAGCAATCGTCGTTTGATACTAGCTTCAGTTAATAATTAAAATCACGTCTCGATAAAACAATGGATTTGGCCTTCATCGCCTAAAAACCCTTGCGCCTGTTCATATTCTTCAAGGTATTTCTTGTCTTGTTGTTTAGAATGTTTTATACAGTCGTGGTGTTAATGGAAAAGAAGTTATGTCACGGATTTTGTTTTTCCTATAATAATATACATGGAAAAATTACTCAGTTCTGATTGGTTAAAATAAATGCAGTTTTCAGGTAATTCAGTGCAAAGAAAGTAACAAATCAGACATTCTGATCGGTCAATAACCAAAGAAACTCGCAGATAGCCAATCAAATGCGAGCCTTGGATGTCGCAACAAAATTTGAAAATTTGCGAGCAAACAATGGCCGGCGTTTTAAGTAGGTTTTCTTTCGCCACCGCAGCTGAAAATCAGCTCAAACAACGAAAACACTGTAAAAAGTACTGCTTTTTTGGTTGTCGGTTTGGAAAAAGCGGTGTTCAGAGAAGGGAATTGCCGAGGAAATCGAAAATTACGAGCCGACCCAACTTAACACTTTGCTCGACTGATCCAACGCCGAAATTAAAAACAAACATGGTTAAACCTCGGAAACGACGACTCCATTTCATCGAAAGTGATTCGGACACAGACTAAACAATTCCTTGAACTGTTTAGCCAGACTTTGAACTTTTTTGCGCCTTAAAGATGTGAAGATATCATTGCATATTAATGTTTTGATCGTACGCGGTTGTTTTGACCGAATGCGCGGTTTGAATAAATTATTTTTGCACTTGATGCGCGCGCTTTGCTTATGCTTAATTATGATAAGCCATCTCGTAATTTTTCCATGTATACTATTAACACGTAATCACATGATTTTTCTTGTGCAATTTGGAATAAACAAGCACTTGTTAATTTTTTCAAAGACCACAAATTGTACTCGCCCTACGGGCAATTTTGTTAGTTTTTAAAAAAATTTACTAGTGCTTATTTATTCCAAATTGCACTCGAAATCATGTGACCTGTACGAAAGCTCTTAAATGATAGCGAACGGCGAGCGCAAGTTTCTACCTCTTTCTCTCTCCAGTCAACTATCGCAGGATTTACTCTGTTCATGAAAAAAAAATCGCGCTTTGTCGAAAAAGTGTTGTTTTAGCCTAAGAGCGAAGTGGTATAGCCTTTCTCAAAATTCAAATAAAATGAGATTGAGCCAGCGATGTCCATGTGGACATTAAGTCTGACGCGGTAATTTGATTTTGACACTAATGTCATGTGCGAACAAACTCGCGGGTGAAATGGAATTAGTTCCACTGCGGAACGAGTAAACTTTATTGTTCAGTCATGGTACTTTCCAGCGCTATGTTTTCATGCTTTCTACTCGATTCGTACGAACTTCAGGAAATCATTTCGATTGTCTCACAAAACATGGAGCCACTCCCTCTTCTCTCAACATCTCGACTGCTCGTGTTATGATGAACATGCTTGCAATGCGATATTTTTTTCCTAAGCTGGAAACTAAAGAATTGATCTTTGAAATCGACAGCCATCACATTTTGCAAGAAGCGTCGGAGCTGTGATCGTGTAATTAAACGGGGTCTTGGCGATTTGAGCTCACAAGCACATGGTCAGGGTAAACAATTGTTGTTTACAGATTTTTAATTCGAGAGCCGTTTTTGAGAGTCCGTTTCTGTAACCTTCGTGGATATTTTCTTTTGAATTCATTGAGGTACAATCTCGGAATTTCATAAGTGATTATGAACGATAAATTCGCATCGGCACCATAATTTAGGGAGGTTTTGTTTACACATTATCAGTTTACAATTCGTGAACCATTTCTGTAATCTACTTGGATATTTTCTTTTGAATTAATTGAGTCGCACTCTCGGAATTTCATCAGTAATTTACATCGATAAATCCGAATATGTAACACAAGTGAAGCACATTTTAAACTTTCCATATGATTATAGGAAAACTATATTTAATCGACTCTCAATAAATTGACCTGCCATAACGCGTTGATTATTTTATTATTTTGTAGCCCCAAAAGCTCGGCTTATGACTCTGGAGGTACCGAACTTGATATAATTGATACACAAGGCACCCTTGAAGGAGGAAGGTTAGAATAAAATGATTGCTTTTACGACCGTATATTGCACCCGGTTTACATGATTATGTAGATAATTGCTTAAAAAATACATATTGCAGATTTCTTCAGAAGCAAAGACACGTAGGTAATATGCTTCTGCTTTATTTTTATCGTAAGAGGTTTCTTTTTATGTAACATATATCCATTCCTTTAATTTCCTCCTTAACCTGCCTGCAAATAATAAAGTTTTATGTTTTAATTCAAGAGTGAGAAGATAAAACAGAAGTGTTGCAGAGTTCTTTTTAGACTGAATTCAGGTGAGAACATCGGTAAACTAGTTGATGTCATATGCGCTTCCTGAATCTTTAATTTTATTGCCCTAATCTTTTTCACAAAGCCTCTCTTATATCTCTGTGTGCCAGCCAATGATTAAAATCTCAGTGAATAGACATGCCATAATTTATTATTGTTTTAAAATTCCATCCATAAGTTTTTTTGCATTTACTATTTTAAAATTCATAAATGGCATTCTCTCTTCATCCATGTAAAGAGATATTACACATTTCTTAACTTAAAATCTGAATCATGAAGCCAACTTAATTTCAGTGAGTTTGAAACTTCATTGTTCATAAGAACACTTTACTGGAGTATGTTATAACCCTATAACATAACCCTATAACTTTTAAGATTTTATTAGTAATTCTCTTTACTGTCTGCCATACAACTTATGTGATGTTTGGTTAGAGAATTTGGAATTGGATCAACCAATTATCCTCTAATTGATATTTTTCTTTATTCTCATCACTCCTCTGCTTGATATTGTAATGACTGTACTGATAGTGTAAGGAGAAATTCTGTCTTGGTCACTAGTGGGACTAAAACAGTTAAAATGTGGGATTTCATTATATTGTAATGATTACAATTTTCTTATGCTTTCAAATGTAACAAAAAAATGTGATGAGAATCTGATGTTATGAAACAATGGAAAAACCTGTTGCTGGTAGCTTATGTCTTTAATGTTTAAATGTTCATGGAAATGGTTTTCTTTGAAAGCAAGGATACAGAAGTTTTCGAAGCTGGTAGAAATAAGCTGTTTGCAAGAAATGAAAAGCAAACTGACAATCATACCTTAATGCTTGACATGCTTTACTCAAACATGTCAGTTGTGTGTACCTGCCATTGTAGAGGTGTCTTCAAAAACATTTTTTGGTATGGCTGTTGTTCTTTGTTGATCTTTGTAGCCAAAAAAGCTCGTAAAGGCACTGAACTTCAATTTTTATGTACACAAGGCACCCTCCAAGGTGGAAGAGTAGAAGACCATGGAATGATGTTTACTAGGTACTTGCACTCACCACAATTATATATTCAAGCAATATTCTACAAATATAAAACTGATTACATGATGTCTTTAACCCATTACACCCTTATATCAGTATGCATATTCTCCATGTTGTTTTCCATACATTTCCTGATGTGCTGGGAAGGAGAATTTGTTTAACAATCAAGACATTCTTCAGCTGATTATTATTTCCTTTATTCTCATGACCTTAATGCTTGATTTAGGGATGATATTGAAAGGAGAAATTAGATGCTAGTCACTCTCTGGAATTAAAGTGTTAATAACTGTACATATTTTATATGCTCCTTGCATTTGTTGGCAACAATAGTTAAGATTGTTAGGAAAGCAAACAGATGAACAGAAGACAATAAAATGAGGGAAACTGTAAACTTTACCCTATTGTAGAAGAAATGATCACAGAATGCATAAGAAAGGAAACTTGAATTGTGCTAGCCAATTTCCTCTGTTGCCCTTCATGTTTTTGATCAAATAAAATTTAGTCAGTTGTAGGGTTTGCTTACAATGTGTCAAATCACTGGTGTGGACTTGATTCTTCTCAGATGTCAGCTGGTAAAAGATGGATACTAAAAATAGATGACCATAAGAAAAAGTACACATCTTGAAAAAAATCACACCTAAGTGGTGGCATGATTGATATGTGATATTTAGAATGAAAGAAGCAGGAAAAACCCATAGAGCTTTTTCTTATTTTAAGATTTCGGATTCTACATTCAAACTGTGTGAGATTAAATTTATCCATATCATGCTTCATCATGGGTTGTTTACATGGAAACGTAATTGTTATTGTTGCTTCACAGATGTTTTAATTGCTGTCGCAACTAACATTCATGACAAAGTTTCATTTAACATGGAATGTTTCAAGAACTTTCTTTTTCTTCAACAATATTTACAACTTTTGGAGCACTATTAACCCTTTACACCCTAACATCAGTATGCATATTCTCCATACTGTTCTCAATACATTTTGTTATGTGCTAGCAGGGAGAATTTGTTTAACAATCAAGAGGTTTTGTTTAGTTAATTATTATTGCCTTTATTCTCATAATCTTAATGATTGATTCAGGGGGGGTATTGAAAGGGGAAATTAGATGCTAGTCACTATCAGGAATTAAAGTGTTAAAGGAAGCAGGTTACTAAAAAAATTATAACTTTGATTTAAGCAAGTATTTGAATATGTGACTAACATTTGATGTTTTCACATGTAACAGGATGATCAAGCCGAAGATGGCCTAAAAAAGGAGTGAACTCGACTGTAACAAGTGGGTCACTACTTTTGAAACTTGAGCACTTGATAAATACACCTTGGCTTGCAATTCTGATGATTACAGTTTGCTGAGGTAATTGAAATGTCAGTCCCCAAGCAGGAACCACCCACATGACCTGTACAGTCATAAGCTATGAGATAACTTTAGAAAAATGCATTTGTTTCAGTGGAACCATTGTAAGTACATTACTACCTAGTGACAAAAATTAATAATTTCCTGTTAGTATGAATGTTTGGGAGAAGTTGTAGTTGTAACTGACCCTTTTTTGTTAAAATGCATAGGATTTGATGATTGTAATGTATATCTCTTAGCTTTTAAACTTTCAACTTTATATTAATTGTGACTGTTAACCATATTTATTTCTTTCTTAAGCCCATGCCTTCAAAAGTTGAAACAGGTTATATGACTTTCTTTGTTTGGAGTTGTGTGATAATTTTGGTGTGTAAGTTGCCATATTGTAACATGTAATACTTTTATTTGAATTGCCTGAAATACTCTTGCTCAAGCTTTCATTAATGCATGGCATTTCTTACCAATACTCATACCCAAACATAACATTGATATAAGGAATTGGTCACAAAATATGTGTTTTTTAAAGGGTGGGAAAATGGAAAAGCAAAGATTCCCCTTTAATTAGGACTGAAATTAAAGTGGTCTCTGCTATTTTAATTCATGTTTTTACTATGACCTTCTTGAAAGTTAAATTAATTGGCATCTGCATAATGCACAAAGCAAGAATATAAATAACTTAGCTTAATATGTTATAAAATTGAAATAAGAAAGTTGTGCAGACCATATCTTGCCTTTTATCCTTCTCTGGATATTTACTCAAATAACATAGTCACTATCAGTCCCTCTCACTCTCACTTTCCACTGAGCTTGTGGAAAGATGATAACTCAGTACTTTTTAAATGAAGGAAGGAAAGTCTGTAGCTGCCCTCTTACCACAGATAGTTCTTTTGTGCATCATCGGTACATGCCTTTAAGTCTTATTTGTAAATGAAGTTGATTGTTCTAGGTAGGCTAACCTATCAAATAAGTTGTGAAAATTTCTTTGTATGACTCACTTTTACCTGACAAACCTAAACTGTATAAGTAGAAACTTGTAATTTATTTCTTCTCCTTTTGAGGTGTGCATCAAAATTTTGAAGTCATGGCAGGCTTGAACTACAGGTTTATAAGAAATCTGCATGTGTGTGTGTGTTTTTTCAACGTATAAAACCAGTAAAAAAGTTGCTTACCTTTTTTCATTTATACACATTTCTTTTTCTAAGAATCTTGTTTATTTGGCCTATGCTGAGTTCTAATTTTTCAAAAAAGTTTTATATTCTTTTGAATATTCTTAGATCTTCTAGTATCAGTTAATATTCATGTAATTTAAATAATTACATCAAATCTTGCAGATGTTTGGTACATTTTTCCACTGATCCAACTGACATTTCATCATGTGTAGGGATTGGTATTGGCTGTAAAATTATATTTAAATTAAATGTTTGTGCACAGGCTATGCATCAAATATTTGTAATAAAATATTGCATCCTTCTTAAAACTAGTTTATCAGAAGAAGAATGAGTTACCAGGCACAAGTATGGCTTTCACGATGATAGTTTCTAAGTTTGAAAAAAGTCACTGCCTACTAAAATCCTCAAACATTGGCAACAGGAGCGATTAGCAAATTAACAATACAGACAAGAGAGACTATTCCAACATACACCCTCCTCAATCCTGTACGCTTACTATGGACACAACATTTCAAACATGATGTATGTTTCCCTAATTAATTATTTTGTAATGGTGTTCACAAATTGTGGAAAATAGTTGGGTTGAAATATAATACAAAAACTTATCAGTAGATAGTCAAATGAATACTGTTTACTTATCAATAAAATTAATTGTTGTGTTTCATGTTAACATGTTGCTGCAATAACTCTACTTTCCAGTAAATTCAACTATTTGCAAACATGAGAAATTACTATCAAAAACTTTTCAACCCATTTAATATAGCAAATAACAACATAAACTCAAATTTAAAACTAAAGAGAAAACTTGACTGATGTTTGCAATTGATTGCTGTGATGTAAAAATGAAATCCAGGTATTATCTCAAGTTTTCCACAAATGTCTTCATGATCGAATAGTAAGTCTCTCTTCGTCATCGAGTTTTAATCACGACATTTTAGCTCTAGTTTTTCTTCTTTTAAAGCAAACTTTTGCAGCGCAAGAAACATGTTAGACAAATTTCGTACTTCATTAGCTAGAGTTGCTAAGATCATGGGCAGTTGGCTTAAAGAAACCTACATTGTAAGTAGTTACATCAGAGGTTACCGAATCAAATAACAGAAAGAATCTCTAAAAGACGCCGGACTGGTCTCTTAATCCACTTGAAGAAACTCTTCTACAGCCAGTGCTGAAGAGTTTTATTACAGTTTTTATTATAACGAGGGGCTAGAAAATAAACTAACAAGAGCTCCGCTTTTAGGCTTGGCTAAATCTATATATTATCATCTTTTTTCATTCTATTTGGTTATCAGTGAATTATTTACTCACATATTACGATCGAAGATTTCCTTGCACGTTGAGGCTAAAACAAAAAATTGTAAATGATATTGAGCCTTGTTTGTAGTTATAATTATCAGGTTTCCTTTAAAATGCACCAAAACATACAAACTAGTTGAAAGGGTACGGATAATTGCATATCAAAACAAAGCACTCTTTTTGAAGCGACAAACCCTAAATGGGTGGTACTGCAAAATGCTATCAGGTGCAAGCCTCTCTAGAGGATATAAATGCAAAGCGTTTAACATAGGAACAAAAGGCCCACGTTTCTTTAGAAAAAATCGTCACAAAGTAACCCCATGAAAACATCACAAGAAAAAACTTACGTTTAGTGCAAATATTTCCATTTCCTAAGTATCCAGTTTTGCATGTACACTTGAACGATCCCTTGGTGTTGGTGCACACAGCATTGGCACTACATGTATGTGTTCTTTTAGAGCACTCGTCAACGTCTGAAAAAAAATTATATATATATATGTATATGCATCGTAAATTTTCGATAGCTGTTAAAATTCTCCAATGAACGCTTTTCATTTGAATGTGTGATTTTTTTTACTTTATGATTTGCCCATATACTCTAGCTAAGCCCTAAAAAAAACGGATCAACGCAACTAAAGCTCGGTCACTCGCGTTTTCTCAGCGTGCAAGGGTGTTGGATTTTAGTCGTTTTATTAATACAATGACTTCGGAGCAACGAAAACTAGCAGCTTCCAAACCCCTTGTGGCTTCCTCACTCGTTTTGATTTTTGAAAGTATCCCACGGGATACTTTGCTCGTCCCCTCTTTGATGCCTAATTTATTTTTGCTGCTTTTTCTCTTTTTTTTGTTGAATGTCGCTGTTATGACTAATATGGTTATTGCTTTGCGACATTCGGTTGAATCGAACCCTAAATTTTTGCCATAATCACAACACACTTTATTCAGATAGAGCATGGAAACGGTTCGTTTTTTGGCAAAATAAACTCGTCAGTTTATCTTTTTCTGATAAAGAACGAGTGGGTAGGTCCCAAAAATACTCTACACCCATGCACGTTGAAAGAGTTATTGCAGCAGGAATTTAAAAGTGGCCTCTGCTCGATCTCCTCCTTTTTATGAAAAGGAATAAACAAGCCCCGGAAACAAATTTTCTCTTTCAGCAGTGATTATGTTTGGACGTATCTACTATAGATTCGTACTCCATAGATTCTATAGATATGTATTCTATATAGAGAGAGTACTGTTTACCTTGACCACAGTTGCTACCTTTGTATCCAGCAGAACACAAGCAGCGATAGCCTTTGTCAGTAAAACCGCTCTGACAAGTGCCATTATTCTTACAGTGGTTTGTAACACAGGCGCTCTGCAGCCAAAGGGACAATTAGTAACAAGGATGCAGCGCGAGAAACATGTTAGACAAATTTCGTACTTCATTAGCTAGAGGTGCTTATATCATGGTCAGTAATGGCTAGAAGAAATCTACATTGTAAGTGGTTACATCAGAGGTTACCGAATAATATAACAGAAAGAATCTCTATAAGACGCCGTGTATTTCCAGCCAGAGGACAATCATGAAACAAGCAGTCATACCTGGAAACTTCAAGAGAAGATAAAAGAGAAGCCCATACGATTTTGGCGTCTTGATTTACTAATTCACCGTTATCACGTGTATACTCTTCAATCGACTGGTGATGTCTAGACTCGAAGTAGTATAATATATCAGAAAGAATCTCTAAAAGACGCCGTGTATTTCCAGCCAGAGGACAATCATGAAACAAGTAGTCATACCTGGAAACTTCAAGAGAAGATAAAAGAGAAGCCCATACGATTTTGGCGTCTTGATTTACTAATTCACCGTTATCGCGTGTATACTCTTCAATCGACTGGTGATGTCTAGACTCGAAGTAGTTAACCGTCGTTTCTTTCAGTTTTGGCTCATTTTCCAAAACCAAAACGCAAGTAAATGATTGCATATAGATATTTTAGATGTACTCCTTCACTTTGTATCTTCAGCATTGTGTCTCTCTTGAGATTGAGACAGAGCCAGTAAAAATAACAATTTCGGCGGTCAGCCCCACCATTTTTATTAGAAATTGAAACAAATTTGAATGATTAATTTGATGCTTTTCTTTCGTTTCTTAATTGATAGATCAGTAGTTAATACATACCTCAGCTGAATGATGAAAAAAATCTTGTTCCTCCCTCAGATCCTTCTTGTGTCCTTCACGAGTTACATTATTCAGCTCACATTTATAATTTCCATTTCTATCTGCCCTTTTATCAAGATTAATGCTGACACAGTCAGGTTCCATGTAGCAGACGTTCTCACAAAATCTTGCAACATTGACTTCAACGACGCGGATCAAATGGTTGATTAACCGTGTGCCATCGAATGCTTTTTCAGGTGCAAACTCCAAGGTGCGGCATTGGTCCGCGTCATAGAAGTCTTTATAGAATTCAAAATAAACTCAGTATGAGCGTTGAAGCCAAAATTAAAGCCATCGCAGTTAACTATTGGAGTTCTCCAAATATTCACAATTCGTATTACCACTTGTAAAACCTGCTGTGCTTTGTAAAAGCACTTGTCGCAACTTATATTAAAAATCTGTTAGAGCACAATAAGACAAAATAATAATTGTCCTTAATAATAATAATTCTAATAATAATAGTAGAATATAATGATAATAAAAGCAATAGAAACGGTAATAATAATATAACTAATGAGAGCAAAAGTAATTTTTATAGTGACGAGAATGAAAATGATGATAACAATTGTTACAATAGGAACTGCTTCTCTGTAATTCTAAGCGTGACTTGATTAACGCGGGCCGGGTCTAATAGACCGATCTTATACGTAAATACGTGCATGATTTTAGCCCATGAAATAACTGGTTGTTTTGAAACTAAAAACTGTCTTATCCAAACTTACCACGCAAACAAAACAATAATAGTGATGAGAATGACAGTTTCGTGTATCATTGGGTCTACCTGCCCTCCGACCTTCTATTCGAAGACCATTACAAGGTGCGCGAAACGTTGCTAGAAAGTGCGCCACGTTAATTTGTTGCTAAGCGCAAGGGTCTGTTTTTACAAAGTGCGATAGCTGTTTCATCACAAACTGCGACAAGTTTTATTGCAAAGTGCGACAATTTTATTGAAACAAGAAAGCGACGACTGTTGCGAAGTCTCGCCTGCTTAGTAGTAAATAATTTTTTACGTCTATAATATTTGAAAGAAAAAGATCTTAAAAGATTTCCTTAAAGAGCCACATTGGATAATAAAGAAATATTTTAAAAATATACTTGTAAGAATTTGAAACATTTTTACAAAAGGCAACCGACAGAACACGCTCTCACGTACTTAGTGGAAAACCATTTTTCATTTCAATAACATTTGAAAAGAAAATTCATAAATTTTTTTTTTAAAAGTCACAGAAGGTATTAGAGAAATCTTGCAGTTATGCCTCTGAGAATTAAAAAAGCCTCCAAAAGTTTTTCAGACCACTTTTTTCACCACGCGCATTTCCACTTGATGCTCAGTAACTTCATGTGGCTTAACATTTTGGTAATTTTAAGCCAGAAATAGTTTTACATGAGTATTTGGAATCCCCTAGACTAAAGACGATGAAATTTTATTTGCTTCGTTCGCTTTCCGACGAGTGCGCTTTCCGACAAACCGTTATCTAATTTATGAAATACACGTATTTCATATATGAGATAAAGGTTTTGTTTGTACAGATATACCTCCAAAACTGCAAAACATATCAAACAATGTTTGTGAAGAAAATGAGAAAAAGTATATTTTTCTGCTCAATTTCTATCTTCAGTGATGGGTTAAAGTGTAATTTACCTTGAGTCGCAGAGGCAATTCTGCACAACACCAAAGCGATACAGATACCACCTGAATGTATGAACATCGTGGCAAAGAACTTAACTGAAAAATTCTCGCGCACTTATGTCTAAATTAACATGCAAGTAAAAGCTAATTAAAAACGTTCTGTCATGAGCATGACTTTCCATTTCTTTCTTAGCCAATGAATTCCCAGCCTTTGAAGACATTAAAATTATTCAAATTACCCCATTTCGTTCTATAACAATGGAAAAAATAGTAATTTAGTTGACAATTTGGTTAAAAAGAGCTCATCTGTAACTATCACTCGGCACATTTCACGAGCTACCGTTATAAATCCCTTGGTTGCTTAATTATCTAAAGAGGTCTTTATGATCATGTGGTAGTTTAGAATTGAACCAGCTGGCATGTAATATTTGACAGAATGTAGCAGGTGGATTTGATGTCTTTATTTCCACTAACCGATTAGGATCTTGCTTGGAAACCACGAATATCATTATCATTGAGTTCTACTCTGCAAACACCATTTCTGGAGTTACAGTGGCTTAAAATAAAACGAGTCACAAAACTTTCACAGCAGAAAGATTTTGGCCTTTGTGCCGTCCATCCCTATGGTCAGCATCCATCATCCATCTCATCCAACGTTTTCAATTTTACAGCGGAGAGAAATCTTTTGCAAACCAAGTGTTAGCGTATACACTTGGATCTCTGGGATGACACACTTAACGAAGGCTAAGAAAAACAGGAGGGCTTTATTCACTATAAATACAACATTTTCTTTGTAATACTAATAATAATAGCAGTATAAAATTAAAATTAAAATTAGACTCATAGTCATCACACAAAATGGACTTAAACATCAGTCAATCAAGTATTAAAATTTACACTTCAAGATTAAAATTATTATGAACGTGCTTATTTGTCTCGTGTTTATTTTGACGAGGCCGGTTGTTAGGAAACACAACAATGACTATTTGGAATTTATCACATATCCCGGCTGATAACCATTGTTTATGTCTACCCGTGCAATAAGGTTCTCCGGCTTCGTCTCAAGCGGGGTAATGGCCTTGCTTGTTTGAGAATCATTTATAAGATCTGTTTAATTGATGTAAATGATCAGAATATCCCTTTCCCAAACATTGGAACCTTTCCTGCTTACCCGTTCAATAAGGTTCTCCTACTTCGTCTCAAGCGTCTTGATGGCCTTGCTGATTTGAGAATTATTTGAAAGATCCGTTTAATTAATGTAACTGATCAGAATATCGCTCTCCCGAGCATTGGATGAAGGTCCCTGTTGTTGAGTTTGTGCAAAATGAAAACAAAGCAAAGCTTGATCGATAAACTCAAAATGAATTACCGATCAAAGAGGTGTAAGAAAAATCAAACATGTTCAAGTACAAAACCCTTCCGCTTTCAGCCATCTAAGAGAGCGAGAGGACTTGGTTTGCAGTTCTTACTGTAACTTAAATGTGGCGGTACCTTCACCTTGGGGGAAGGGGGATGGTAGGCTACACAAAGGCTACTCTTACTGCACATCTTTCTGATTTTCTATAGTCTATCCTTGGTTTTCACATAACGTCATAAAAATCCAAAATCCAAATTTACAAGGGCTATTACAATTCTGAAAGACGAAAGACTTTCGAAAAATTAATTTTTTAGAAAGGTTTCAGCGTCGTAGGGTTCTTCATTCTGAAAAGAGAGCTATTTCTAATTTCCTAATTTTTCGCCACACGACATTAAAAATTGTGGCCCGGGGAGCTAATACGTTTCTATAATAACATTTCATTTTGAGCATTCGCAACATTACAAAATGTGTTTAAACAAATGCTTGCAGGTTCACACGGGATAAATAATCTCTTAAGTTACGAAAGAAAGCAACGGATGTTTATATTACCTCGTGGCCGCCCCTTGGATGGGCACCAACATGGCGTCCCTTTACTAAGCTCTATAAATCTATATCAGACATTTTTGGTGAGTAACTCATCAGGGGAAAACCTTAGTCCTGAGACTTAAGAAAATTATTTATCATCAGTATTTTACAATAGCTGACTTTTTTGGCGTCAGGTATTTAGTAGTTTTGATTTCAGATTTTATTTGAGTGACAGAGAAAACCATCAATTAAAATAATAATAATAATAATAATAATAATAATAGTTGTAGGGGTAGTCAGTCACATTGCGTGACTTCAATGTCTTTGCAAGATGTGTTTGTCTCCATTATCTGCCGCAGCAATCGCCTCGTTTCCACAGGTGTTTGATTCATTATTAGATCCTCCTGTACCAAATGCAATTCTAGAATTGCAGGAGCTGCAATCGTTTTCGTTGTTAGCAATTGTGCCAATTCGTGCTGTGTAATAACCTGCAGATGCCCTAGCATTGAATCCTTCCCTATTACAGTTGCGCTGTAAGGAGGCGTCCGAACCAATCAGTCTCCTTCAAGTATAACGACCCAGTGAGGTGGCGCGGTATTTTACATGAGCGATCCCTGAGTAAAGAGAGTTAGCGTGCCTGTTGATTATCATGAACCTGTTCTGATGGCCGATTCTCATACCGAGACAGATCTTGTAGAAGTACGTGTTCCAGTAAGTCGGCAATTTTGTTTCTTGTAAGTCGAAGCCAGTCTTGGCTCCAATAAGATTAAAGGTATTTCTGTCGTTTTAGAAGTGCGATTCATTATGGAAAGTACTCTGAGTTAAGAATGAAAAATACATAAACATCTTCTTCATTTTGATAAAATACCCCTATTGACTTGTTGGTGGAGCATATGTATTTTACCTTTGTGCCATCAATCTTAATGGCCAGCGTCCATCCTCTACCTCCACACCCAAAGCTTCCCATGGAGTAAGGTGGATTACACGGGCAAAACAAAGACTGGCCCGGTACCCTCTATGTGGCATGCACAAGTCTTTGTCTCAACGAGGGGAGTGCTGGGATTTTCGGTTTTGCGGTTTTGGCTATTTGTTTTATCGTTTTCTCGGTGTTTTAGCATTTGCTTTTCGGTTTAGTCCAAAATACTTACGAGTTTTCGGATTTGGTATTCGATGCAGTTTTCGGTTTTTTCCTATTTGGGTTCGATCTGAGCAACAATTATGCGCCTCCACTGATCTCGAATGAGGCTCGAAAGGCAAATGTTATTGATAGGAATGGGCATGATAAACCAAATGTCACTAAAATAACTTCTTTTAGGTGAAATAACATAGGCATCCGCGTTTTCCCCCTTTTTTTTAAACGAGTAGAGGAGAGACGGCGAGGATCTCATGCAGTTTTCGGTTTTGATCGATTTTATAATTTTTTTTTAGTTTTGCTGCTTTAAATGATTTTAAATGATGCTCAACCAGTGTGCTTGATGTCACGCTTGACGTGAGCTATGACACGTGCGCAAAAAGATGCGCGTGCGATATAGAAATACAAAGACGACTACTTTAACTGAAAATTTGCGAATGACCTGTGATTTGCTTCCAAGCTTTGCTTAAATGCTTGCGGCTAGATTGCAGGGCGAGAGAAGCACAAAGGCGCAGTAAATGTCACGAAAATTTTAGACACGGCTACCGTGTCATTTTGCTCGCTTAAACCAACTCTTGATTATTTTTTCCTTGTAAAAGAGGGATTTCATTTGTACGTGAAAGTTATTGTTCCAGGTAGGCTAACCCTGTAAATTAGCTGTGAAAATTTCTTGAATCTGTCGTCGTATGAATGTTTGACTCAAATTCACAAAAACTGAATAAATAGAAACTTGAAATTTATTTGTTCTCCTTTTGAGGTGCGCATCAAAAATATGTAGTCACTGCAGGCTTGAACTACAGGTTTGTAGTAAATCTGCATGCGCGTGGGTTTTCAAAATTAAAACCAGGATTACCAATATGTCAAATGACTCTACTACGTGCAATACAAATACAGGCAGGAGTTTATTTGGCTTTTTCATTAATGAAGATTTCCTTTTCTGAGAATCTTATTTATCCGGCCTGTGCCGAATTCTGATTTTTCAACCAAATTTTATATTGTTCTGAATATTCTTAGACCTTCTAGTATCAGTTAATATTCATGCATTAAAATAATTACCTGAATTCTTGCAGATGTATCGCACATCAATTTTCCTCTGATCCTACTAATAATTTATTATGTGTAAGGTTTGAAATTGGCTTTAAAAGTATAGTCAAATTAAAGTTTTATGCACAGCCTACACATCAGTTATTTAATAAAACATTGTATCCTTAAAACTAGTTTACCAGAATAAGAATAAGTTACTAGGCACAAGTTTGGTTTTTCACGATGATAGTTTCCAGGTTTGAAAAAAGTCACCGCCTATAAAAATCCTCAATTCCTTTGTCCTGATAGCCCAACCTCATCAAAACATTTGCAACAAGAGCGATTAGCAAGTTAATGATACAGATAAGAGAGCCTATTCCCACGCACACCCTGCCCAATCCAGATAACTTATTACGGATTGACAGCTCAAACATGGTCTGAGATGTAAAACCATGTATTATCTCAAATTTTTTGCATGTCTTTATTGTTGATTCCTAAGCCTCTCTTTGTCATCGAGTTTTAATTATGATATTTTTTGTTCTAGCTTGTCTTCCTTTAATTCAAACCATCGCAACGCGAGAAACATGTTAGATAAATCATATCAAACTCATGGAGTACAAATAGTCTTCACATGAATGTAGTGACCACACCCACTTCAACACCCCACTCAAATCGAGTGTAATTTTCAAATGTATTACCATCGTGCGGATTCTCTACGGAAAAAGCACTCAATTTACCTCTGAAATATTAAACTATAATATTGCGGCTTTCTATTTCGCTAATTTTCTAACTTGAGGGTAAAGTTTTTCCCTCGTCATTTTTACCTTTTCTCCGAGCGGTTGCGTGATATTAACAAGGCGTTTTTGATCAAACACGACCGAGCGAAGGGTCTCGGGCGATATCTCTTTTACGCAGGCGCAAATTAAAAATGTACTGCCAGAATCAAAAAGAGGAACAAATTTCCTTTGTTTTGATATGTAAAGTGTCGAACAAAAAGCAGATTTACCCTCGTCAAATGGCGTTTCAAAACAGCTGTATCTTCCTCCTTTTGATCTTTTCCTGTTTTGTAAGCATGAAAGCAGTAGGAGAGGGATCGGGAAACTCAGAAAGCGCTTCGGGAATTAATCTGCCATCGTTTGCTTACAAGATAAACAAGTAAGATTTTTGAAGTTCGTTGAAGTATGAAGTCTAAATAAACGCCTTTTTTTAAGCTTGTTTGCTGGATTTTTCGTAAACTTCCTTGATTAATTTTTCGTTTCAGCTTTACTTTACTTTACTAATCTATACTATTTCAAAGCAATTAAAGACGAAGACGGAGAACCAAAAGTCGGTCCTTTCAACAATCGTAAACAAAGTGTTTGAACAGTCAGGTATACGAGGTGTAATAATCAATAGCCGCATATAGAAGTCTTCAGAAAGAAAGAATTCTGTCTTCAGAAAGCTGTCAAGAAAGCTAGTGATCGTGGTGGAAAGCAATTAAATACACTTCTTAGCAAGTTGGAAACGGGCCCTCGGTATCGATTTAATATCATATCGATCTCAATACCATACGGTTTTGTATCTTTTTTCCGTGGATTCGCCTTTCTAACGAGGGTGTATGTTGAGTATTCATTGCAAAATCGCTTTGTTTTTTTTTTATTTCCCTCTTTGGCTTGTCCGCCATTTTGAAAATTTCGCAACGGAGAGCATGCGCATTACGTGGGGTTAGTGGTTGCGTACACCTGGAACCGAGAAAAACAAATGTTCGTCGCACTGGGGAAAGAGTTTGATATGTCGCATTTCAGTAATTAGAGTTGCTTAGATCATGGAAATTATCTGCAGTTACAATACAGGTCACCGAATTAAATAACAGAAAAGATATATATATATATATATATATATATATATATGCAGTTAGATATAGCTCTTTGGCATACAAAGCTTTGCTTTCATGTCCAAATTGAGCACTCTACTAGGATGAGTCATTGCTGCTAGCAATATGCATGCTCACTAGTTTTTCTAGTTTGAGCACTCTGGCATGGCTTAGGTGATCCCACATGTGTGAGATCACTTGGGGTGGCTATATGGTCTTACCTCCATCCTAACATCAGCACTGCACTGATGAGGCCCAGAAGGCCGAAACAGTACTGTCTGCAGTTAGTTATATATATATATATATATATATATATATATATATATATATATAAGACGCCGGGTATTTCCAGACAGTCGACGATCATGAAACAAGAATAGCCAAAAGAGAAAAGGTAAAAAAATGGCAGGTTCAAACACAAGTGGAAAATGATTTTTGTTTTTAATTTTCTAAGCTTATCAGAGGAGGTTGGAATGTTAGGGAAAAACGCTGGGGAAAGCAGTCATACCTGGCGACTGAAAGAGAAGATATAAGAGAAGCCCATACGGTTCTGGCGTATTGTTTCTCTGACTCACTGTTCTCACGTATATACTCTTCAGTCGATCGGTGATGTCGATTTCTCGTCTTAGCGCGAAGTGGTTTACCGTCGTATCCTTCAATTTTGGCTCATTTTCCCAAACCGAAACTAAGCGTCACGCTCAATATAATTTCGACTGATGCTTGCGTCATACACGTCGTCTGAAGTAGAAAACACTCCCTTCGACATCAGGAATAACAACGAAGGTCGTTAGCTGCTTGAAGATACCGCTGACCAGCACGCATGTGTTGATCACTTTGCAAGTTGTGAGAACATCTTTCCTCCCCCTCCCCCGACTGGTCCCTAAATCCCCTTGAAGAAACTCTTCTACAGCCTATGCTGAAGAGTTTCATTACAGTTTTTATGGTAACGAAGGGATGGAAAATAAAATAACAAGAGCTCCCCTTTTAGGCTTGGCTAAATCTATATCTTATTTTTAGGGGTCACATATTTTTGTTTGGATCACACAATTTCATCTTCACACAAACACTCTCATCCTCCTGCAAATAATTGTAGAAGTTAAGTTTGGCTTGTACAGGGTAGCATAATACAACTCACTCTCGTTTACTTAATTTCGTGAATCTACTTATGTCATACCTTCTCAGATTCAGTGCTCTTCCTTGAATCGCCACTTTCTTTGTTCGACCCTGGGGCAGACTTTAGAACGTTTTTTAGACACGTGGTGATACTCACAGCCGATTCTTCCAGTTCATCAGAAAATGGTTCCTCTAAGTCGCCAAGGGCAGACTTTAGTAGTTCTGTTGTGGCATCCGTCAGTTTCATAGTTTCATTCTTAAGAAAGGCATTTGATTGCGATCAAAACAATATTCATGTGTTTTCTGATACGTCGTAGTTTATGTGTAAAAGAGGAAAAGTGAAGATTCTTACCGCAGAATTACCGCAGTCATTACAAGATGAGGCTTCTTGGTTACCACCTGCTAGTTTTACTACACTCATTACAGTTCGAGACATCTGAAGGTCCTCCGGCTTTATGGAAGTGAACTTCTCCACCAACGTACTTGAAATCTACGCCGGAAAATTAAGTATCTAAAGTTTTGAGGAGTTAAAAACGCTTACAAGGGATAACTAAATTTTGAAATTGATGCTTCAGATTAATATCAACTATACAACAGCTAATTTGTATATAAGTGTATGAGATGCTTACTTGTGGATGACATTAAAGAAAACAAGCAGATTATCGGGAAAAAAAGCATAGAAACAAACAAATACACAGCTCTCCACCGCTAATTTGAAAAGAATATTATCACGGTAAGTAGACCCACTAGTGTTTTGGTATCTTGGCCTAGCGTTTGCCCACACTTTGTTTCCTCGTTAGCTGATTGGAGGACAGTAATAGCAAGTTGGGAGGCTTGACTAATTTCACCCTTCTTCAGAAACTTATCCAAGTCGCTGTCATCCCCAATGACAAACCCTTTCAACTTGCTAGAAACTTCTTCTATCTGTGAACGGCAAGGATCGAGTTGGGTCGATGGCACCACCTTTTGGAAACAGGACAAGTGTTAGAAGGCTTTAATACATAGCGGAATAAAGTTTTCTTTTTACAAAAATATCTTGCGCCTTTCGACTGGTTCAGCAATTTCAGCTTGCTGAGATTCACCTATACTTCAAACGAATCGTGGTCACTAAAGTCACTAAATCAACAAAACTACTTTTTTTATTGTTTTGCGTTGATTCGTCTTTTCCTTCTTCCACCCGTTTTATCCGCCTACGTCTGTGCTTTTCCTAGTACTCGTGGTTCATCAACTTTATTGTACCTGTACCTATTGTACATTTGACGGTCCTTTCAGAGAAACCCTCTTCTGAGGCGTACAGTTTTATTATTACCTTTACAGAGAGCTTCTTTACAACAGCCACACCAACAGCATTCTTAATAATAACGTTGATGGACAGCTGATAATCGTTTTCCGGTGATCCAGAGGGTAAGACTGTTGAAACAGATTTTGCAGAGGTGCCATAGGATATTGGCTCGTCTCCGACGCGAAATTCGTAAGATAGTGGTTTATTTTTATCTTGCCATTCAAAGCATTCAAATGAAAATTTTGTTTCCAAAGAGAAACCTACAACGGCTGATGGCACGCAATAGCCACTGTGGGGCTGTCCAGCTGTCTCAAACTCCAGCACTGCAAATCCTGCTGTCCCACCGGGGGGTATTACAGTCAGGTTCAGGGCGTATTTTGAGCTTGACTGCAAGGATTTCTTTTTGATAATCATGTTGGTTGCATTTATTGCAGTTGATGTCATATTGGGTAAGATAGCTATGCGCCCCAGTTGTTTTGAATCATCATTCAACCTCATTAATTGCCATATATACTCAGAACTAATACAGGGGGAATTGAGACACTCTGATGTCACTCGAAACTTGTTCGAAGCAGACACTACTTTACCACAGTCTACGAAACACCTGCATGAAAATAGGAGAATTAAAGTAGATTGATTGTTATAATTCATTTTGCATCGATCTGAGAAGAAAACAATAGTAGCAACAACAATGATCTACAAAAGAGGTAAATTTCCTGACACACTTAACATTGCTTAAGGCCAAGTCAACATACGCCTCAGCTTTGCGTGTGATTGGTTGAAGGTAGAACAAAGCCACTGTAATCAGCAATTTGTAATGTACTCTTAAGGGTTTAACAAAACGGAACGACTGTGTATAAAGGACGACTGAAAGAGAGGAAGAATAGAATAAAACAATCATTTAAAAATACCTTAAGCTAACTTGAGGTATCTCACCAGCTGCTATCTCAAAAATAATTTCGGCGAAATGACTTCGATCATCTCTGGACACTGTTAGTCTGAGAACGTATGGGTGCCTTATTTTAAGCCCACGAGGGATAATTTCTATGGATGTTAGAGTTACGTCTCCCTTGAAAGAACCAAAGCAGTTATTGCTGACGGAAGTATTATCTCCAAGACGATAACAGGACCAGGTAAATTTCAGCCCGCTAGAGTTTCCAGGACCAACATCTCCATCATAGCTAAGGGATCCATCCACTGTAACAGCGTCTCTAGAACCCCAAAGAACGCTACTTCCTCCATCGATTATGGCTCGCAAAGGAGCTGCAATAACTTTGATAAAGCCGTAATCAAAAGCCTTGAGAGTTTCTGAGGATGCTGGATCACCGACTCTAATAGACACAGTAAATGTTACTAGATAGTTTCCAGAAGGTACGGATCGCCTATTTATGTTCCACTGTGCAGTTCCTTGACTAACTAAAGTTCCCACTGGTGATTCAGATGCTGCCAGCTCCTGTTCACTGATTAAACGCCATTCCATGACACTTTCCAACACAGGTTTATCTGGAAGATCTTCGATGATTGCCTGATGGATACTTTTTTCAGACCGCTTGACAGTCGTTGCCAAATATTTGTCCTTGGATATATCCCTTATCGTTACTGGGAAATCTCATGTTGATCGAGATGCAATGAACTGGTTAAACGCATTTTTATGAGTCAATCACACTAAAGCGAGATGAGAACCTGTATGCCTCGAAGGTTTTTTCTTTTCATAGGCGTTTGTAGGGGGTTACTATCGGTTCTAGTTTATGATGGTCAAACGAAGAATTATCTCACTTACCTAAGGGCTCACAAATAAATACCGTCTCCTCGGTAATCAGTCCTACACTCGCAGGTGAATGATCCATTATTATTGTAACAGTGAGCTACACCATGGCAGTTGTGCGTTGCTGTGGTACACTCATCAACGTCTGTGGGATTGTATTTTTTTAGTTCAAAGTTCTAAATCGTGACCACATACCATACAGTATCATGGGTAAGGTTAATGGTTGTCCTGGAAAACTCAAGGGGTGGTAAAAACCTCCTTGGAAATTATGCCAATGTAAGCGGTAAAAAAAAATTTTATTTTTCCTGTTTGTATTTTTGTGCTCTTCCATTTTTTGTTTGTTTGTTTATTTTTTTCTTTTATACGGCTGGCTATCCTGCTTTTTTTTGGTGATCATTTAGTAATTATGGGCATGAACTGCATCGGCAAAGCCACAAAGACTTTCAATGTCGAGACATCTCGATCAAAAATATTAAGGAACACTGTATATGGTTGCATGGTTGTAGATTAAGTATTTATAATGACTATCATACCAATACATGTAACGCCATCTCCTGAATATCCTTCAAAACAGGTGCAGTTGAACCTGCCATAAGTGTTGGAACAATCTGCTTTGGCATGACAGTTATGCGAGGCATCTGTGCATTCATCAACATCTGCCGCCAGGGAAACGTAATCAGTTCGTGTACACAAACTATAACATTTTGAGAACTTTTTGCGTGGAAATGGAAAAAAAATAACATTTTCAGAGACTTTGAGCTCTGGGATGAACATAGGCTGCCAAAATATTTAAACGAAGTTATCTATTGAACTTTTTTTCCCTTTTTTAGTCGACAAAGATAAACAAGCGCCCAATAGCGGGATGGAGGACAGAGGGTATGAATGTTTTACCTGTGCATAGACGTCCATCTCCTGTGAAGCCTTGTTTGCAACTACAAGTAAATTCACCCTCTGTGTTTTCACAATCGGCATCTTGGTGACAGTCATGGGCACCATCAGTGCATTCGTCGATATCTAAAAGAATGATAACAAGCTAAGGGTGGCGTAGATTGATATCGCTAATACCTCACTCTTATTAATATCTGTTCAATAGGATGATGATTTCTTCACTGAAAAGTTTACAGCTTAAGTCACTAACTCTACACAGTTCTGACAAAGACTTTTTTCTGACTGCCAGGTTTTTTTTACTAGTAACCTCAAAAAATCACTCTCAATCTTTAATGGCTTATATCTCAGTCAGTTTTTAAGATATTAAAATGAAATTTTCAGGATAGTATCTGGAATAAACAAATATTTTTTCTACGTTGTCAGGGGGGTGATCGGGTCATGTGACCTGACTTTCATTGCAAGGCATTATGGGTTTCTTAAAAATAACTATTTTACATTAAATTTCCCTTTCATTTCTCTTTGTATTTTTTACCTAAAACACTGAAAGGACTTAACTCAGCTGAACAATCTCTTCATCATAACTTTACAAACTTATATTCAAGCATAAAGGCTAATATTCTTCCTAAAAAGTGATTTTTAGCAACAAGTTTGCTGTTGCACCACTAACAAATAATGACAGTGAATTTTATAAAGACAAAGAAACAAATATGTCTTAATATATTCTCCATCATAACAAACATGAGGGTTTATGTGTCATATCACACAGTGTGTTGTGTACAAGTGATACTGAGCAGTACCATAGTGTAATGTTTACAAGTTATACTGACGCAAAGTGTGATAACGTTCAAAACAAGGAACAATGGATAATGCTATATCACACTGCTTGCAATAAAAAGAAGTTTGCACCCTTTTCTTATTTTTCCTGTCAGAGCAAACCCGACAATCAAGTTTTTGCTTGGGGTTCTCATTTTTTCCTAGGAAATGGCGTCCAGTAAGTCTTAGAGGGTCTGGGGTATCTGAGGGCCTCCCATTTTGAGGCTGAGGTGGGTTCCAGTCCCTCAAAAGCCCAGTTATTACTTGCTCTCTAAACTTTTTAGGGTTAACTCTTTTAGTGGAGTTTGCCTTCTTGTAAAGAATAAACCCATTTACGAGGGCAATTTCCCTGGCCCTATGGAAAAGGGTATGATACCATTTGACACACTTGTGAGGAAATTGGTATGTGCCTAGCATTTGGTCAAGGGTGTCGACCCCACCCATGTTTGAATTGTATCGATCAGCGATTACTGGCTTTTCAACTTCCCTATAACCCCCTTCCCCATTCTTACTTCTAACAGCCTTGTCTACTGTCAAATTATTCTCAACAGTACTCAAAAAGGTAACACGTTTTGTGTCTTGCCATGCACAGGCAACAAGATTATCTGAACGCATAAAAACAGGCGGTTCTCCCTTTTTTAGAGACAATCTTGATGGCAAGAGCTCTTTTGGCATTTGTTTCCGATTTACTTTCACAGTTCCACAGGCACCAATGTGCTCTTGCTCCAATTTCTTGAATAGAGATGGAGCAGAATAATAATTGTCCATGTAAACAATGTGGCCCTTGTCCTCGTATCCTTGCACTAATGACAAAACAACCTGTTCCGAAAAGGCTGACCCCTTTATATCGAGGAAATGATGCTTTGCCAGTGTAGACAATGGACCTCAGGCAATAGCCAGTTTTTGCCTCAGCAAGCACAAACTGCTTGATCCCCCACCTTGTGGGCTTGGCTGGAAGGTACTGCCGAAAAAATAGTCTCCCTTGAATTTGACTATACTTTCATCCAAGGAAAGGTCACGTGCTGGCTGATACCACTTTTCATAAGTTGGGTTGACTATGTCCAACAAAGGTTGAATCTTGAATAAAGGATTGTAACCTTCTTCACCCCTGGCAATTTGGTTTTCAATATTGTTAAAATGCAGAAATGCTTGTAACAGTTCAAACCTGTTGCGTGACATCACAGATGAAAATGGCAGGGCTGTCAACCAAAATCCACTCCAATAATCAGCATGGGCTGGTTTCTGGCAAAGCCCCATTGCAATTTGCAAAGCGAAAAAGGCTTTTATTTCATTAGGAGATGTGTCTTTCCAAGCTCGAAAACGAGAACAAGGCTCAAAATCAGCAGGCGTATCTAAATACTGTTGTGCATACCTGTTTGTCTCCCTTGAAATCAGTTCAAAAGCTTCATTTGGGAAGAAGAGATAAAAAAAGTCGACTGGGACATAATTAGATGCATCAACAAGTATTCCCGGCCGTTTGTCAAAATATTGAAGCCATGTGGACTCCAACGGATCAATATCCTCGTAAAATTCCCACTCTATTTCTCGCTCACGAGCGATACCACGTCTAGCTCCTCGTGCTCGCTGCAAATTTTCCTCGTCGGCTGACATGTCTGTGTCGAAATCATCAATGCTATTCTCCATTTCACCTTCGGAAGCCGATTCCATGTTGATTTCAGTGTCACTGGCGCTTTCGCTTTCTGAACCACTTGCTTCTTCTTCCATTTCAGAGTCACTGTCGCCAAAAATAGTATCCAAAGCCTCTTCAACAGTAAACCTTCGATTAGACGCCATATTTAAATGCCCAAAGTTGTAAACAAATAAAAAATATGGATTTCTCGAGTCAAATATGAGCTACATTTGCTTCGTTTCGAGTCGAAAATGAAACCAGCACGTGTTTTGATTAACCTGATCTAAGAAGCTATTTCATTGGTTAGTTAGAACAGGGACTATGATTCGTTCATTTTAATGCTATTGTTTGGGCGACTAAAGTCGCCCATGGCGGTCTATAGGTAAGGCGACTAAAGTCGCCCATGGCAGTGAAAGGGTTAAAAGCAATCTAGCAATTAAGGAATTGTAGCGGAGTTCTGCCATAAGTGGGATTTTCAAGTTCCTTCCGTTCGTTTTAGGTGAACATTATTAATAATTTTCGAACAATCACTCCGTCTTCCGTATGAGACAAGTTGATTTTTACCTTTGGTCATACCACTTACCTTTGAAAGATAACTCCACAACAGAGGCCAGTTATATATAATCAATTCCTTCCTCTTGTCATTGTTCTCCTAGTCTCCCCCTTCCCACCCCCACTTTTTTTTTAGCATCTTGAGAGGTTTATTTAGTCTGCTTAACATACCGAGATCCTTGGATTTCTCGAAATAATGTTGCGGCTGTAACACCAGTAATTCCCACCACCTTTTTCAAGCTTTTCATTTTTACCTACTGTTGTTTTTCTTGTCCAAATATGGTATGCTGTTAAACTTGCATATAAGGAGACCTCATCACCATTTTCAGCGTGACGCTTTAGGGAACCTGGAGAGATTTAAGAGATGTCAAAACTAACTTACCGCTACAAGATACACCGTTGCCAGTAAAACCAACTTTACAAGAGCATGTAAAGGCTCCAGGAGTATTGGTACATGTGGCTTGTGAGTGACAATTATGGCTTCCTGTGGTACATTCATCGTTATCTAATGACAAGGAAAAGACAACAAACCAATAAACAATTTGTCCTTTCTAAGACAAGGACAAAGCAGATGGTTAAAAGAACTACTGAGGAAATTATGTCAATTCCTAACTGTGGGAATTCCATGAAATTATCTTTTTAACTTATTTAATCGGAAGATGGGAAAAAATCGCGATATAATCGATATCGGACAAAACCTTATTCTGGGCAGAAATCAATCGTAAAGGCCATCCCCTTTAGTCCTTTAGTGTCATTAACGACCAATGGCTTTCCTTCCGAAGTATTTCAATTTTCTCGTTTCATTAGGATTCACTTAAAATCTAAAATGTGAAGCTTTACTCAAATTTGCACTAAGTACGAAAACAAAAAACAAACTATCAAATGGGAGGGAAAAATACTATTTTTCGATTTTTTTCTAAGCGATAAAGCTCTAAACCAAGCTTCCTAGAGGGAAGTGACTACCATCAATCAATTTTATAGCCCACATACCTCGACAAGGAGTGCCCGAATAACCAGATGGACAGATACATGCAGTTGAGCCAGGATTGGTAGAACATGCATCGTTCTCATCTGTTGAAGACGAAATCATTCTAACAAAGAAATTACTGAATGGCTTAATGCCCAACTAATCATGAGTAAACCAAATACTAAAGCGCCCACGTGTACCCACAAGCATCATAAGTGCTTCAATTTTCATACTGAATCAGCTCTGATAAAGGTACTTTTGAATCTTACCAAAACATGGTATGTCCACAGTTTCGTTAGATATTGATAGAATTACCTAAATATTATAGGAAAAATTCCATAAAACAGCTTGGGACGCTATGATTGTTTTGCACTTTTATTTGCCTGGGTGTTCTTTATTCATCGACTTGCTTAAGAACAATTAAAAACCGCATAAAGAGAAACACTGTTTTTAAAAAGAAAGACCAAACCATATCACTGAAACTTAGAGCCGCCCGTATCTCTACTGTAAATGTAACCTTTTCAACTTGATTTTGTTTTACTTCCCAATTTTACAATTAATGTAAGAAATTTGGATCAAAGCAGTATTACCAGACATCTATTCTGCCGGAAATGTGGACATTCAAGCCTATTTTTGCAATAAATGGTACAACGTGTAATATCTAACCATTTTTCTTTCTCGAGCTGTCCTTTACATTCCCCTACACCCCCCTTACCCCACCCCCACGCTTTCCAAAGTGTATGAACACCAATAAAAACGGGGTGGCGGAGAGAATACCAGTCTACCCAGCAGGCAACCTCCAGCCATGAGAAAACAGTATCCAGTCAAAGATTTAGTACTCTATCTGATCCACTCGAACTTTCCATAGATAATGTTCCGATTGAAAAAGTTTCCTCTGTGAAATCCCTTGGAATATATATCGGTGAAATTAAGCTTGGCATTCCTACGTTGATAAACTGCGTAAAATGACCATAAAGCCATAAAGCGAATCCACTCGACTTAATGTAAACAACTCACTAGTTTAGTCTCACTTTGATTACTGCGGCCTAATCTGGGGTAATTGTGGCAAAAATTATCTAACAAGCTACAAAAACTACAAAAACTGTGCTGCGCGTCTAATAACATCATCAAACTATGACGTATATGCCGATTTCTTGTTTCACAAACTCAGTTGGAAATACTTGAAATCTCAACCTTAAATTCAGAACGCCTTGATGGTTTTCAAGTCTTTTTAAGGTCTGGTTCCCGAATATCTCACATCTAAATTTATAAAGTGAAATGAATCAGACAATCCTCTGAAGGACTTGGTAAACAAACTTGTTTGCCTCTTTCCAAGAACTAACTACATGAAAAATAGCTTTATTTATAGCGGCGCAACCCTTTGGAATAACTTAGGGCCTGTAACATAAGAGAGTCTGGTTCATAGAACAAATTTAAACACCTTCTCAATCATAATTATTAAACACGGCATCCCTGGAAATCAAGATTTTAAATGGCACATTGTTGTAAGTTAAAACAATGTTAGGATTAGGATTTTTAGGTTCTTAGGATATTAGTCATTGAATTGGAATTTTTTTTACCTGGTGGTTTTTTTTACCGTGTTTAAATAATCATTAAATAAATTAATTAAATTAAAAATAAACAAATCTGCATAAAAAAAAATACTATATGCAACACAGCTAAAAAAAATTATGTTCTTGATGTGACACTTACCATTAACACCACAATACCGTTGGAAACATGTGGTGGTTGATTTCAGTTTGTAAACGTAGAATCCACTACAGTTACGTATATCCGTCCCAGGGTAAGACAAGTAATGACAACTTGACTTGTGATGCATATATACTGTTCTCGTGACCTTCTGGTAAGCTATAGTGGGGTGATCGCCACCACCGATCCAGCCGACCATGCGGCTGTTGCAACTTTGTCTTGGAATACAATGAGTAGCCATCATTTTTCCAGCAGGACCCTGGAAGCGGTACCAGCCGCCACTGGTAAGGTTCTTATCGCATGAAAGAGGATGTCCAGTACTGCTCCAATATCTGCCCGGCTCATTTAAAACATTGTACGATTTGCATTCACCTGGGACAGCACCACTTCCTGAGAGAAAGTAATAGGAAATGACTAAGTTCAGCTGAAGCTTCTTTTAAAAGACGATTTCAAAATATGTCTCGAAAGTACGAAAAAAAGGAACCAAATTCCAAGTTAGATCTGTTTCAATTTGGCCATCTTATATGTGTGTCTGACAAAATGAGCTTTAGAGACCTCGAGAATTAAATAGGCCATTTTCCTAGCTTTCTACACACTTTAGTGATTAGCAATGCAAGAAGAATCCTGCTCAGATATGGAGTGTGAAAGTTTGCCAATTTTAAGCTTGGTAGTCCCTAATTTGCACATAATATTTACGTTAATGCCATCGTTTTATTACTGTTGTGATCGATAATCATTTTATTATTATTATTGATAGTAGTATGATTAGTATTATTATTATCAATATTATCAGTATTAGTTTTGCTATTATTATCATTATCATAGTTAGTTTTACCATTGTGATTTTATTATAATCCTCATTAACATTGTCATTATTGTTAACATTAGTATCAGTATTGTCATTACTTTCACCAGTAGTATTATCATTACTATTACTATCACTGTTATTATAAAAATCCTTCATTAAGAATTTGGTCTTTGTTTGTTGTCACCGTTTTATTTTTCTGAGTTTCCTCTACCTTCCTCAAATAGCGTCTGCCAGTTTTTGAAGGTCTGAATATTAGTGCCGATGTATGTAATGATCATGGCAAATTGAGAGTAATCCTCTGCAAATTAAGACATGGTGCGTATTCAAACTAAGCAAACACGAAGTGGAAGTGAAGCCCCAGATACCCATATATGTGTGTGTGCGTGTGTGTGTGTGTGTGTGTGCGTGTCTTGTTGTGAGTATTGCTCAGTCTCTTGATTTCTTTGTGTAACTGGCAAGATGGGGGTTGATTACGTAAATTGAAAGCTCACGTTTCGAGCGTTGGCACTCTGCGATCGCTCTGACGAAGAGCTAACGCTCTTTATTACCCCCTTTAGTCATTCAATTCAGTAAGCTATTCATAAACATTTTCCAAGTACGTTGCAAAATATTTGAAGGATAAAAAACACAATAGCCTCTATTTTGCGCAAAGATACGTACGGATATTTGTTCTTGGACATTGTCTGTCCCTCGAAGGTCTCAGTTTTCGCATCTTAGAACAGGCAATGTCCGCGAACAGATTTATAGTGCTAGTCAGGGGTATAATGTTGTACTGTGCTGTATAATGATAAAAGTTGCAGTAGAGGGATGTCTAGTGTTAATGAAGGGAGGGGGGAGAGGGGCATATAGGTGTGTGTATTCGGGGAATTTATTCTACGATGTTTGGAGACATGGAGTCGAATGATCGACGGAACGTGCTTGCTCATAATGCATCTTTAAAGTTGTTATCGACTATCTCTCTAAGCACTATTAATAGTAACTTATCTTTTCTAAATTATTGTTTTATCAAAACTCTTTTCCAGGATCTCCTCTAAGCCTAAATCCGAGATGGCGGCTAGCGACTCTGTGGAGTCTTTGGATTGGCCTGCCGCCATCTTGAATTCGCAATGTAGGTGAACCGTAGGCGAGAGTTTGACCCATTCCCAATCAGATGATAGAAGAAGCCTTAATTTGGACATCGAAGGGCTCGTTTCCAACAAAATACACTGATTATGTCGCCGAAACTTAGAGGGAGCTCTTCCGCTTTATAACTGCTACTATGATGAGAGGACTGAGGAGAGCAAGCACTGGCACGTGAGAGTTAAAAGTGAGAGACCCTGTGGACTGGGAATCAGTCGAAAGGAAAACTGAGATTTTTACTAGGGATGACATTAAGAGGACACCATCCTAAAGTGGATAAAATAAACATGATAAAAACTACTGTGGGGGAGTAAGGAGGTATATGAGTTGTAAGAAGCATGACGTTGCACGAGGATTCAGACGAATGAAAACTAAAACAGACAAGGAGATAGTCGCGTCTAGTGAAGCCCGCAGAAGAATAAAGTTGAGGGCGATGAGAGAAGTGCACGTAAAGATGGGAATAAAGAAAAATTACGATGAAAAAAAGGGAAGGAACAAAAGGAAGCAGTAAAAAGGGACGCGCAAATGCGAAAAGATGTAAAAATTTGTGTAAAGAAAAAGGTAAAGAAGGCGCAAAAGTATGAACACGTTCGTCGGCGTTCAAAACCATGTGACAATATGGAGAACAACAGATAATGGAAGAGATACAATCGAAGAGACGACGCGCAATTGTTGAGTGGGTGGGGGCTTGAAACATGAAATGTTAGTCACTGTCAGCTGCACACATTATCAACTTGGTGCGCGCGGGTGAAAACAAGCATTGAAGTCCCCAAAGGATCTGTTCTCTCTGCATCTCACGTGAATCCTTAGAATATGGAGACAGACAATGAATATTAACGCGGTTTTTGTATTTTATACACTGTATATTTCTTTTACTCAAAGAAGTAAATAAAAAGGTACAATAGAAACTGCATTAAATTGTCAAAGGCATTAAGGAAAATACGCGCTAAACGGAGACACTAAAATGAACCCGTTTACTCCCAAGACTGATTATAATTTAAATTCTCCTCACAGTATTTAATACACCGAAAAATATGGTGTCAGTAAGAATTAGAGAAAATCTAAGCTGGAGGATAATTTTTTGATATAAACGTGATGTAACATTAAATCCTCGGAGTGAAGGAACAAAGAAACATTCTTATCTCTTGGGAGAATTTTTCTTCAGAACTTGGGAGTTGATGAGTTAATTAAACTAAGGTAAATGAGCAATTACTTTCAACTGTAAATAAAAATAGCATCAAAACACTTCACACGAAATACGCTGACATTGTATAAAGCATGCTAAGTTAAAACTGTCCCAGCTTGTTTTTAAAATCCTACGTTACATTATATTCAACCATGTGCGAGGTTAACTTTTACATTTTATACCAGCATATACCAATGGTAGTTAAGAAAATCTGCAAAATTAAGATTGATTTTACAAAACTCTCTTCTAAAACAGCTGTGATACAGTCTCTTAAACTTTTGACCACAAAACAGGTCCTAATTACAAAGCATACTCTGATTACCTATTAAGTATAAATTCTTAAATCTAAGAAAGATATTATCGGGAATCTTCAAATTCTACTTAGGTAAATTTAGAGAAATAAAAAAATTTGAACAGCGAATTTTCAAAAATTGAAAATTCTACCCTGAAGCCCTGAACCTTTTCAAATATATTATTCATGAACCTTTTCCCCAAAATAGATCCCATCGAGAACTACATGACTTATTTGAACTCCTTCTCGAATTCATTGGCCTAAACATTTTCCTACTAGAAACAACAAATTCTGCGTCACATACATTAAAAGTCATAGCTACAGAAACTTTAGTTACAGTAAACTCTGGACAAATTTTAACCTCTCAGTCGTGGTTCTTTGAAACGAACGTAACCAGCTTTTTGACTTGCTGAAATAATTGACATTTCAATTATAGTTTCAACATTTGCAAGAGTCATAATATAGAAGTCAAGCGGGTAGAAAACAATTGTAGGCCGGGCCTACGGGACTAAAGGCTGGCTACACCCATAAAAGTAGGTCTTATATCTCTAACATATGGTCAGTAAATTCAATAACATCACCTCTGATGATTAATTCTTTAAATTAAGCTTGGAATGGCAATCTTGGCTCTGATAGAATTACATTGCATTAAAATGAATTGAAAAAAATAATCAATTTTTCTTGTGAAGATAATCACAAGTTGTAACAAAGTAATTCATAACGTAGAAAAATCAACTAAGTTTAATGAACATATTACTGCAAATTTTGCAATTCAAAGTTCTAGAAATTAAAATTTCGCCAGCTTTGGCAAATGACGAACTGTTTCTTTGCTAATCAAAATCTTAGAGTAAAACGGTAATTAGGACCCGGTGGACAAGCTCCTGGTTATGTACAAGAAAAAAACCTTTAAATCGTTTTCCATACAACTGATTGTGATACATGAATAGAGCTGAGTGTCATTTTGGGGAAAACCGAAAACCTCGTAATCGCCTTCAACTACTGTAGGCATTCCTCACAGAAGCCTTACTCATTTTGTTCTCTTCGCAAAGATTTAAATTTAAAAAGGTAACACAAAAAGGCAATTCCACTGATCAAACTACCATTAAATACTCTGTTTTTATTTCTTCGCCAAAGTAACGTTACACATCACAAGTTCCATTTAACAAAAAGTAAAATTGCCAAATTAGATAAACATTTAAATCTTCCAAGTTCCTGTCTCATTCTTTTTGAGATGAAAACAAAAAACAATTTTTCATTTGTGTGATTTTATATTCAAATTTTCTCTTTCCTTTGCCATGAAGTCAAGAGTGACGTCATCTCCAATCAGCAAAAAGGGCGCCCAGTATTTGATGTCGCAGAACTTTTCTGATTCTCTGAGGCTTTTCATTGCCAGGTTCAGGGACTCGCTTGCAGGTTTACCTTCTGCAAGGTGTTGATAAAAGCATTTCATGAACTCGAGAGTAGCCACGTCATCAATCGCCCACAGAGACACCACAACAGACCGAGCACCAGAACCCATAAAAGCGCGCGCAATACCAACCACACCTTCAGCCTTGATCTCGCCCCAACCGCTGTGGCAGCAACTAAGCACTACAAGTTTGGCGCGAAGTTGAGCATTCAACACATCTCCAATTGTTAAAATGTAATCCTCCTCCGTTGGCACAGCAGATATTCGGTCTGGATCAGGTGTAAGAGCAATTTCGCCAGTTTCCATACATCCGTGTGCCGCAAAGTGAACTAGGGAAACGGAACTGAGTCTTTTCAACACCTCACGTTTTGTGGCCTGTCTGCCAGTGATTGGCGTGATATTCAGAATTTTTCCGATCATTTCTACTTCTTCTTTAGCAAACGAAAGCTGCTCGAGGGGTTTCTCTCCTTTGCTGTTAGTAACCTCGGCTACCCACGGATCTCCTACAAGTAACGCACCACTGCTTTTGTGATAATCATCTGGGCAATCGGCAATGACTCTAAGACTTTTCAACGATGGAGCAAGTCGGATTCTGAACGATTCACACATGTATCTATAATTACCATCCTTCAATGCAGCGTAAGGAACGAGCCACAGGGGTCCATCGGGAATAACGAGTAGCTCATCCCCTTGAACCAGGTCAGCCACCGGCTTCATGACGGTATCATACAAAGTGCTCAAGCATTCGTTTTGTTGGATGGGAGGTTGAGGGTTGTCTCCTTTAGTTTTCTCATCCACTTTTGAACGGCCCTCCCTCAAAGCATCCAAAGATCGATTCTCGCATCTCACATTAGAACGAACACCAAGTTGTGTATAGACACCGAGCATGAACGACTCAAAAGAATGGCTGGCTCCACTATTCTCTGAAACAGACTGACTTTTGAGTTTACTTTGTCTTAACTGAACTTGTTTTCCTTTGGACACAACCCAAAGATTGACATCAGCTTTGTTTATTGCCTGAAAGACGGTGTTTGATGGAACGTACCTTAAAACTGCTAAATCTTCATCGCCTGTCTTGTACCGACTTGTTTGATCACAAAAACTGGATTCCATGAGGTCGGTCAGAGCTTGAGCTCGTCCTTTCTCAGCAGCAAATAAGGCGTCATCTATCTTACCTTGTTCTACAAGAGTTCTCCACAAACCCGTATATGCCACTTGATACTGATTTCGAAAATTTACTTTCCACTCATCTTTAGATTTCAGAAGTACTCTTAAGGAATTGTATAAGTTTATGCTAGCTTGGTAATATTCAACGGCTTTTGGCAGTCTACCCAGCGACTCAGAAACGCATCCTAAAAAATAGCTGGCCAGTGCCTCCATGGATTTGTCTTCGACCTCTTTGGAAATTTTGAGCATTACGTCATATAACGTGTTGGCCTTTACCAAATCTCCCAGAGTTAGATACACATCGCCAAGATGGCCGTAACCCTTACCCTCCCCATGCTTGTCTCCTACTTCTTTAGCTATATTAAGATGTCGAATATAGTACTCTGTGGCTTTTTTAAAATCACCGAGACTGTGATAAGCAATACCAAGATCGCCATAAGCAACACCCTCCCCATGCTTGTCACCGACTTCTTTAGCTATTTTAAGATGTAGGTTGTGGTACTCTATGGCTATTCTGAAATCCCAAAGTTTTCGGTACACATTGCCAAGGTTACCATACGCATCACCCTCCCCATGTTTGTCTCCTACTTCTTTGACTATTTTAAGATGTAGGTTGTGGTACTCCATGGCTTTTTTGAAATCACCCAGACTAAAATAATCATTGCCAAGATTGCCATACGCGCTACCCTCCCCATGCTTGTCTCCTAGTTCTTTAGCTATTTTAAGATGTAGATTGTGGTACTCTATGCCTTTTTTGAAATCACTCAGAGTGTTATAGGCATTGCCAAGATTGCCATAAGCGTTACCCTCCCCGTGCTTGTCTCCTACTTCTTGAGCTATTTTAAGATATAGGTTGTAGTACTCTAAGGCTTTTTTAAAATCACCCAGACTGAAATAAGCATTGCCAAGACGGCAATAAACGTTACCCTCCCCATGCTTGTCTCCTACTTCTTTAGCTATTTTAAGATGTAGATTGTGGTACTCTAAGGCTTTTTCGAAATCACCCAAAATCCGATGAGCATTGCCAAGGCTACCATAAGCTTTACCCTCCCCAACCTTGTCTCCTACTTCTTTAGCTATTTTAAGATGTAGGTTGTGGTACTTAACGGCTGTTTTGAATTCACTAAGACTCCGATAAGCGATGCCAAGGCCACCATAAGCGTTACCCTCCCCACGTTTGTCTCCTACTTCTTTAGCTATTTCAAGATATAGGTTCTGGTACTCTATGGCTTTTTTGAAATCACCCTGACTGTTATAAGCATTGCCAAGACTGCCATAAGCGTTACCCTCCCCATGCTTGTCTCCTAGTTCTTGAGCTATTTTAAGATGTAGGTTGTGGTACTCAACGGCTTTTTTGAAATAACCCAGACTGTAATGAACAATGCCAAGGTGACCATAAGCACTACCCTCCCCATGCTTATCTCCTACTTCTTTAGCTATTTTAAGATGTAGGTTGTAATACTCAATGGCTTTTATGAAATTACCCAGACTGAGGTAAGCGTTGCCAAGGCCGCCATAAGCATCACCCTCACCATGCTTGTCTCCTACTTCTTGAGCTATTTTAAGATGTAGGTTGTGGTACTCTAGGGCTTTTTTCAAATCACCCAGACTTAAATAAGCAGCGCCCAGACTGCAATAAGCAGTACCCTCCCCATGCTTGTCTCCTACTTCTTTAGCTATTCTAAGATGTAAGTTGTGGTACTCTAGGGCTTTTTTGAAATCACCCAGAATAAAATAAGCACTGCCAAGATTACAATAAGCGTTACCCTCCCCATGCTTATCTCCTACTTCTTTAGCTATTCTGAGATGTAGGTTGTGGTACTCAATGGCTTTTATGACATAACCCAGTCTGAAGTAAGCGTTGCCAAGGCCGCCATAAGCAACACCCTCACCATGCTTATCTCCTACTTCTTTAGCTATTTTAAGATATAAGTTGTGGTACTCGATGGCTTTTATGAAATCACCCAGACTGAGGTAAGCGTTGCCAAGGCCGCCATAAGCACTACCCTCACCATGCTTGTTTCCTACTTCTTTAGCTATGTTAAGATTTAGGTTGTGGTACTCTAGGGCTTTTTTCAAATTACCCAGACGAAAATAAGCATTGCCCAGATTGCCATAAGCAATACCCTCCCCATGCTTGTTTCCTACTTCTTTAGCTATTCTAAGATGTAAGTTGTGGTACTCTCTGGCTTTTTTGAAATCACCCAGACTTAAATAAGCATTGCCAAGATTACTATAAGCGTTACCCTCTCCAGCCTTGTCTCCTACTTCTTTAGCTATTTTAAGATGTAGGTCGTGGTACTCTATGGCTTTTATGAAATCATTCAGACAGTAGTAGGCACTGCCAAGGTTGTCATAAGCATCACCCTCACCATGCTTGTCTCGTACTTCTTTAGCTTTTCTAAGTTGTAGGTTGTGGTACTCTATGGCTTTTTTGAAATCATTCAGACTGTAATGAGCATTGCCAAGATTGTCATAAGTGTTACCCTCCCCATGCTTGTCTCCCCGATTACAGAAGTCTATGACTTTCGTGTCATCACCTGAACTTGCACCACCATGGTCATAGCTAATATGATCTTTTTCCTCTATGGACTTGTCACCCTCTTCACTGACAGACTGAAGTCTTAATGACAAGAAGATCCTATCATTTTTGTCAATCTTTTTTTTATGTCAAGGTTAAAAAATGCGGGAAAAACAAAAAAGATTATTTTTCCGATCATATGATATTGATATATAATAGTCCATTTTTACAGTTTTGTGTTTCGTTGCCAAGCCTTTGAACAGGAGTGTGGCTAAGGGTGACCTTGTTATCGTAGAAACATTGCTACCTTTCAAATGCAAATTACTTTACTATGCTCACTGGATACTGGTTTCAATCACAACAAGGTCACCTTCAGCCTCACTCCAAATCAAAGGCTTGGCAGCTAAGTACACAACTATAAAATGGCCTATTGGAAGGGCTTGCATGAAAGGTAGATGTTTCATCAACATGACACTCAGTCTTAAAGTAGGTTATTACATATCACGAAAAGTTTCTTCTGTGCGCAACGTCAAATTTTAACGCAAAATATCTAGATATAATCTCTTGTTTCCAAAAACTGGGAAGCCGCACTTGCTCGATTTTTAAATTAATATAGCTTTAACATTAGATAAATGTTTTACAGCACTGGAAGAAATGAGTCTAGATCACAAATTTATGCCTTTCAAAGGTGTATTTGTCCATAAGAAAATATGCTGAGTATAGAGGAAAAAATTTAAAGGGAAGAAAATAAGCATTGTAAGTGCCCCTAAGGCACGGGTTTATCCCTTGTTTTGATTTAGTAATCGTTTAATTAATAATCTGTAAAAGTCACACTAGGTGCCTCGTCACGCGCTCCGTAAGTGGTATCGCATTTCCAAACAGAACGGATCTATTGTGCAATTCAATAATTCGATCGATTTCGCAAGCACTCGTGGTTTAATAGAAAGAAATTGTCTGTCGTTTTTATCGAAGGAAGGAAAGGTCTTTTTTGTGTCAACTCTCGCCAGATCCGGCAACAATGTAAGTTTAATTTACCTCGAGTGTTTCTATAGCTAATTTCTTGTCCCTAATTTTGTGAATCAATTATTTTTAGCTTCACGGTCAAATACGACATTTAATAAAGGAGGCGTTTAACAGAAAGAAATTGGGGCGATATTTGTTGTGTCGATCAGTGAGATTCGTACGGTCCAGCTAGCGGCGATCAAGCGTCGCTATAAGCATAATATATAAGTAAACATTACCAAACTATTTTTTTGTGACTCGTTTTAGAGGGATCGTCTACCCATGTACCCTGCATAAACTGGGTGAATATTGGTCTTTTAACTAAACTAATGTCATGGCATGGATAGTATGACTAAGTCCAATTGGCTGAAAGGAGTAATATCACTAGTAAGTAATGATGTAATCAGTAATTGAGGTGACAAGTTCCCATTGTAATTAAGTGCCGCTCTCGCCAGGAGCGATCCTCGTTTTTGCCCATGAAAAGTGTTGAGGACATACGTTTTAAAAATAGTTTAGTTGTTCAGTTGTTCTCCAATTCTCTTTTTTTGCGTCGCACAAGCCAAAAATGATTTTTGGCCAAACCACCCCGGGGACAGCGATCGAAAGTGATTTGAAAGTGATTTTGTCCAGCGCGCAGCGACTGCAACAATGCAGCTCCCGGAGTTCTATCTTGCTACAAGTTACAGGATGTAGTCAGTTAGTTCACAGACGAAATATGGAAACTTAAGCTGAAATATTTTTCATACCAGCGTGATCAGAGGAGACCCTTCTGTTCGACCTTAATTTGCATATCAAAAATTCACTACTTTGTACGAAAGAATTCTCAAAATGCAGGAGTTAATCGGGCTGAAAAAGAATATCAGTGCATAGTTTATACACCAATGAGGTCACAGTTTGAAACAAACCCGCGGGTATATCTCGAGCTTCCATCTACCAACATCTCTTAAAAACAACGCAAATCCATGTGATTGCTCAATTGCGCTCGTGTCAAAGATCATTTGCATGATTCTGAAAATTGACCAAGATCTCCTTTTGACCGTTCAAACTTCGTTCGTTTATCTTCTACGTTGAGGATTTTAGGTTTTAATAGCAACTGAATGGAGAATAGATGTCGAGTTGTCCTAAAATGTTTCGTAAACGTGATCGGTCGTAACGCTTGCGCGCTTGCGGGACTTACAAAGTAAGCAAAGGTGATCGGAATGCGCCTTCTCGATAATTTACGTTGAAATATCAGGTCATGAACTACGCACAGTGTGGAGAAGATCACCCTGTCTCATAACAGACATATTACGTTGCTTAAAAGGGCACAAAAACAAGTTAAAATACGTTACAGTGTTTATATTAATAAAACAACACGCACACAATCTAAAAAATTTCTTGCAGTTTCTCTCGAGATTTAGTACACGGAACCCGATGAACTAACCCTCCTTTCCGCAAATTTGTTTCCATCATTAATGATGTTGGCTGTTTTTCTTTACCTTTATTAAGGAATGTTGTGTTGTGATGGAAAAGAACATCGGCAAAAAGCTTATCAGCTATCCAGCGAAATCCTCGAGTACAAGTTAATTTTGTTTCGTTCCGGTCATTTTGACCACGATATGGAAAAAATATAACAGTTATTGGTATGTTCTAAACATCCGAACACTTTAGGAAACATTGGAAATGCGGTGAAAGTACTTGAAAGAAAGCCAGACTGAATAGAGATGTTTTCGAAGTTTTCGAAATTAAAGTTGTGGTCCGATCATATGGGTAATGTATTTGCAATTTCTCGAGAGTGAAGGCTATTATTTAACTAAAAATTGATTCGTAAGTGCCTATCTGGGATATCTGCACAAGCAGACAAAACCAGAATTCTCTTGACAAAATAAAAGGACAAATTGTGTCATGACGAATTTTTGTCTCGATTTTTGCATCCGCTTAAAATTTAAAAACTGTCAAATTCCGTCAGCGCTTGATCTGCTCATGAGACCAGCTGGCATAGTTTGCCAATGGACTCAAACTCCAGTTTCCAGGATTCATCGTACTTTGTTTCAGAGTTTTAAAATTCACAAATTTCGCGACAAAAGAAAGTTGATGCCTTCCAGGTAAATTTTAGTGAGTTTAATAACAAGCTGTTGGCACTGAGCTTTTTACGACAAATGGCGTTGAAAACTCAGTCTCCTCTCACTGCCTCACATTCTTCTTTTTGCTCTGGATACTAAAAAATACTTTTATTAACTACACTTCCAGTGTCTTCTCAGGTGTTCTTATGTTTAGAACATACCAATAACTGTTTTATTTTTTCCAAATCAGTGCTGAAATACCCAAAGCCACTCCAATCTCTGCTTTCCATGAATCAAGTAAGCATTTAAAGATAAAATTCTCATTAAAATGTAAAATTCTTCAGTCCATTTTAATAACTTTCGATTCTAATTAGTTACACTAGCTAATTTTGGTTTCAATTTGTAGAACCCGCGAAACAGGTTATATGACAAAGCGAAAAGTTTGCACAATCACGTGACGCAATACATCAAGCTGGGTTTGTCTAATTGATTTTGATGGTCGCAGGGAAATGTCGAGTTTGTCGCTCAAAACAGTTGTGGTTCATAAGAGCGTAACATCATTAATGATGGAAACAAATTTGCAGAAAGGAGAGCTACTTCATCGGGTTCCGTGTACTAAATCTTGGGAGAAACTGCAAAAATTGTTTCAGAGTGTATGCGTGTTGTTTTGTAAATGTAAACAGTGTAACGTATTTCAACTTGTTTTTGTGTCCTTTTAAGCTACGCGATATGTCTGTTATGACCAGAGTGCCAAATTTTATGCTATAATTTTGATTTTCTCCACACTGTGCGTAGTTCATGACCTGATATTTCAACGTAAATTATCGAGAAGGCGCCTTCCGATCACCTTTGCTTACTTTGTAGTTACGCAAGCGCGCAAGCGTTACGACCGATCACGTTTACGCAACGTTTTAGGACAACTCGGCATCTATTCTCCATCCAGTTGCTATTAAAACCTAAAATCCTCAACGTAGAAGATAAACGAACGAAGTTTGAACGGTCAAAAGGAGATCTTGGTCAATTTTCAGAATCATGCAAATGATATTTGACACGAGCGCAATTGAGCAATCACATGGATTTGCGTTGTTTTTAAGATGTTAGTAGATGGAAGCTCGAGATATACCCGCGGGTTTGTTTCGATCCGTAACCTCATTGGTGTATAAACTATGCACTGATATGCTTTTTCAGCCCGATTAACGCCTGCATTTTGAGAATTCTTTCGTACAAAGTAGTGAATTTTTGATATGCAAACTAAGGTCGAACAGAAGGGTCTCCTCTGATCACGCTGGTATGAAAAATATTTCAGCTGAAGTTTCCATATTTTGTCTGTGAACTGACTGACTACATCTTGTAACTTGTAACAAGATAGAACTCCGGGAGCTGCATTGTTGCAGTCGCTGTGCGCTGGACAAAATCTTTGAAATTTACATTTTCGATCGTTGTCCACTGGGGTGGTCTGGCCAAAAATCATTTTTGGCTTGTGGCGATGCAAAAGAAGAGAATTGGAGAACAACTTAACTATTTTTGAAACATATGTCCTAAACACTTTTCATGGGCAAAAAATAAAAGAAAACTTTTTTTCCGACGGAGAGTCGAGAGGACCTCTCTTAGCGAGAGCGACACTTAAAACCCTTTGTATTTTCCCACTAAAAATGTCAAATTATGGAATATTTTCATTATACTCATGATTAAAAATTAAAAATTCCTTTAACTAAGGATACAGCTAATCCCTTATCACACCAAGTGATTGCTTCTTCAAATCTCTTCAGTTCAACACAAGCAATGGCTCCTGTAAGCAACAACACAAATGAGCATATCATTACTGGCTAAGAATATATGAAAGTTATATATTTGAACTGCAGATAAGACGTGAATGAAAGTGATCCTCGCAGTAATGCACACTACTTGAGCAGTAGTGAAAATAAGGCCTGAAAAAAACATTCAGGCCTATACGTATCCCGTGCAGGCCTGAATGTTTTTTTCAGGCCTTATTTTCACTACTGCTCAAGTAGTGTGCATTACTTCGAGGATCACTTTCATTCATATATCATTACTGTAGCTCAATTCCCAGTAAAGAACTGGAAACCATTGAAAGCTAAATCATTACAGACCACAGGAAAAAAAATACATAAAAACTAAAAGAAAAAGAATAAACAGTCCCTATTAGGTTTCAGTCAGATTAGCTATGGATAATTGAAACTTCTAAGAACATTCAAATTGGGACTGACAATTCCCACAAAATCAATAAGAGATATAGATAGAATATAGGACATGCAATGCGAAAACGGAAACATAGAACCCATTTTTTTATTTTTATAATGGTACGTTTTTTATTTAACCTTTTTAGAACTAGGTTAAATTTAAATTTCAATCAAAGTACAAATTAAAACATTTTATTTGACACTTAAATTGTAGTTTCCCTTTGGTTTTAGTTAACATATTGGATTTACTCAATCAGTTGATAATTGCTTGCTAGGAAGTGACTCAAACTATAGGTTTAAAGTTCACAAAGAATAAAATTTACCCATGATCATATCATATCTTTAGCTAAATTATTATTACAAGTATTATGGCACTTGAAGTTGAACTATACTTGACGAATGAGGAAATTTTCCTTACAGTTTGAGTTAAGTCCTTACTTCTTTTCAAAACAGCTAGATAGTGACTAAAAATATCTGACACCACTAACTCACAAATCTAGCAAAAGGGAAACTAAGATACTCATGCTGATACTCTTTGCATTATGCATTGAGTTCTTCATCCAACTCAAAATAATATTCTTATCATAATGGAAAGTCATGGACAGCAGTCAAGAGCTGGATTCAAATGTACATCAGGGTGGTCTTGACCTCTTAATTAAAGTCAATTGAGTCAAGTTTCAACTTCATTTAACCTTAGAGTGTTGAGTTCTTTATTATTATTATTATTATTATTATTATTATTATTGCACAGCTAACATATCTAACCTCTCACAATTGCCTTGAGGAAAGTTGGATTTAACTCAATAGCTGCTTCTGCATCCCTTAATGAATCCTGGTGATTTCCTTTTTTGTAAAAATAAATATCTCTAATTAGCTGTACATATAGCAAACACACCACCTTTACATTAATTCTAGGAAAAAACTTGTGATGCTCTTTGATATATGGGGTAAGAGGTTACTTCTTTGTATGTTTGAGAGGCCAATGTAAGGCACAGAGATATTTTCTGATGAATTTCCTTTTGGGTATATGCATTCCAAATTATCACCTTTTTCGGAAAACTACTACTGACAGCCCTAATTACCTTCAAAAGAGCAAAAAAATGCATATTAAAGCTCTCATCATCTTACCAAGTTTAGAATGTGCAATAGCCCTGTTGTTGTACAGTTTGGCCCTCAGTTCTTTCTCATTGCAGTTCATTTTAATTCCTTCAGTGTAAAAATGAATAGCATTGATGAAATCTCCTTTCTTGAAGGCCTCATTACCCTGATACCTATAAACATCAGCTGTGGCTGCAAAGAAAAAAAATAAAAATTAATTTGTGTGAAAGTCTGTGGTTGTAGTTAATTAATAAGAGTATAAGCTGACTTGTCAAGATCTGGAGATTTAAAATCTGCAGATTTTTCCTTTTGTGCCAGCTGCAACTTTTGCACCTGCCTGACTTGACCCAGCCCTTGGAAACCTTTAATGACTTCTGCAAACCCTCCCTCCCCCCTACCCGGAACAAACCCCACTCAGTTAATTTATAGGAGACTTTTTTCAATGAAAGCTTAACCAATCAGACCCAGTTACTGTTGTGGTTGTAAGTTAAAGAGAAAGTGTACCAGTAATCCCTAAAATGACTTCTGCACACCCCCCCCCTTCCCCCCACAGGACAAACCCCACTCAGTTAATTTATGGGAGACTTTTTTTGGTTGAAAGCTTAACCAATTAGACTCAGTTGCTTTTGTGGTTTTTGTTTAGAAGAAAGTGCAATTCCTACTTTGAAACAATCAAAGTGCAATCAAGAAAATTAACATTGATGATGAACCCTAAGATAACCATATTTACATTTGATGTGGGAAATCTGGAGTTCAAATGTTATGTTTCTGTGAGGAAGTGACCCACATCCTCCTTCCTTTTGAAGGTTTGATGACCCTTATGTGAGACCTAGAGTCTCGTTCTGTGTCTGTGAGACTCCCTGATAATCAGAGAGAGTCGGCATAATTATGAGCGTAAAAGAATCTACTGCTTTAATTACATCTACTGCAAATAGTTAATGAGTCAATAAGATCCAAATGGTGCAATCATAAAAACCAGAAGCAACATTATACTTATAGACAAAATTAATAGATGATTAGAATTATTATAAAGAATATGAGATTAGTAGTTATGATGATCATGCTAATAATGTGGGTGACAACACACAGTGGTAATAATAGTTAATGAAGAGAATTATACATCACTTAATTTGAAACAAATCTCTAGGCATTTAAACTTTTGGAGATTGGTTTCCCAAAATTCCTATCAGCCTCCTGCCAAATATATGTTCAAATGTCCCACCCAGTTTTTATGTACCAAAAAAAAATTCCCAGTTTTCTAGGAATTCCTAGGAATTCTCAAAAATGCCCAATTATGCAAATGACCCTTGCAAACTGAATTTCCAGTTTTCTGGGAATTCCTAGGAATTCTCAAAAATTCCCAACTATGCAAATTAACCCTGATTTAAAAAGCTTGGAATTACTGGGGATTTCTGGGAAAGGAAGACTCCAGTTTTGTGAGGACTTGGAATCCCTTGGAATTCCTAGGAATTCTCAGCTTTACAAACTACCTATGATTCAAGAAGTGTGGAACTCATGGGAATTTCTGGTAATTGAATTTGAGGCAATTTTAATACCCTGAGGTCCACATAAATTCTAAGAAATTCTCAATACCTTGAATGTGAAGGTTTTAAGAAAAGGACTAATTTCAGAGGCTTAAAACTTTGGCTCAATAAAAGGTATGCTATACAAAACTTACCAAGAGATATACATACATGTAGATGTTTATAACTTAAAGATCATGAAATTTATTATTCAAACTAAGTTTTAGTAAATCTTTACATTAATATGGATTTTCTCACGAACCAGCTGTCAGTTATGTTAAATGGAAATTGCTAATTAATCCAATGTACTCATATCACAGATTTGCTTTCTAACCTCAAAGGACTCTTGGATTCCATGATCAAAAAATATTTTTATTGTGATGAAAATTAATGTCTCATGTTCACTGATGTGCCAAAATCATCAAACATTCATAGCTGTTCCTTGGTACACAACTTCTACAATAATTAACAATAATTACATTGTTATCTATACTTAAAGAACTTTGTTAGTTATGAACATAAGTTACTTCCCTAACCTACATTACTGGTTGCCTTTGTTAGAAAACCTTGGAACAGTCAAGCTCAGTTGCCTCAAACACTGTCAGAGACTTTTTGTTGACAATATTTTTAGTAGAAATTTCATGCATTAGACAAACAAATTCAACACCTAATTAAACTTTCTTTTTTCATGATTGTTGTTGCTGTTTTTTTATCAGTTTTTTGCTCTGTTTTCGTGACTAATTGCTGTAATTTGTTTTGCTGTTTTTATTCTTACAAAACATTTTTGTAAGAGTTCCAATACTTGTGGATCATCCACACACTTTGCAAACATCTGGCATGCAGAAAAGACAGAGGTAGTCAATGTTCCCTTTGAGAAAAAACGCCTTTTAAATGACGTCTTCAATTTACTTTATTTGAAACTCTTATCTGAAAATATTTGTCAACAAGACTTGTTAGTAGTGAGAAGTACCAACCAAGTTTCCTTTCATAACTTAATTTCTTAAATGTCCCAATGACTGGATCTCCCGAAAAAATATTACATCCTTTTGTTTTTGGTGCAAAATACAAGTCCTTCTTTATATACAAATGAAAAGTGCAAGTCACACTTCAATAATAACAGCTCTAAAGTTTACTTGTTGTTCTTCTCTGTCTGTCAGCTATCAACAAAATTGTTTTATACTTCGGACAGTGCATAACTATTTGTGGACCAGAGTTCCAACGCACCTCTGTAATCGCATATAGTTACTTCTGTCTCTTGTACAAATGTTTCTCCTTTGTAAGACGCACACTACTCTGTTGTCACTACTGCTTTAAGTTCAGTGGAAACGACTGACTGAGGAATCAAGATGGCGGTGTTGGAACGTGTTGCTGAACGCTTGCTACGGTCAAGCTTTGTAGATTTAGGTACTGGTACACTGGGATCATCTATGTGTCTCTTATACTTCCTAATGTGGTATCCTTCTTTTATAAATATGAGGGTAAAAGGCGATTTGTAGTCGCATTCAAAACTGTGATTGGCTTGTGTTATTTCTCACCTTTGCCATGAACACAATTCAAGTGAGTTTCGAGTCTTTGTTTCTTCGACAACTTTCGGCCACAAATCGTGCATTTGTAATACGATCGATTCTTGTCGATTATTTCCACATAGAGTGAGCTCACATCATTATTTATATCACCAAGGTATCCATCGTCTAGAAGCAGAGAACCGGTCGGAGAAGTCAGAATAAAGTTTTGCGCTTCTCTTAACACTGCAATCGGCAAGCCAACTGATTCACTTTGCTAGCCAATGACAAGTCCTAAAAGACCCACGTGATCATGCCCGTGATCGGAAACAAAGAAGACTCCATTTGGCGCTCATCTTTGAATGCACTTCTCATCGGTTGATCGCTTTTCTCAACTATTTTGCTTAATATAACATTTCTAAAGATAGCTTTTATTGTGGTTCAATGGGAAAACGAGAACAGCGTGAGTGTCGTAAAAGAAATGAAAGTCGTTGGCGCCGTGGAGTTAAAAGAAGGGACAACAGTTGACATATTGACTGGTACAAACAAGGGTCGAGTGGCCATCTGTAAAGCTACGATTTTGAAAGTTTGTGGTGAGTAAAAAATTGCGATATTCGTTACGTGATCAAAATCTTATGAAAGAATAGATGTAGCGGGTTGAATTAAGCTTACATAACGCTCGGCGCAACTGAAACTAGAATAATTCTGAGAATCGAATCGGTTACTTGCATGCCGCAGTTTCTTAAGCTTATGCTTTACAATGAAATAAACCTATCAGTAAGGTTTCAAGATTTTTCTAGTCACGTTTGGGAACATTCAAGAATCATAATAAGAACTGTTATTAAACAAACCTTATTATATAAAGGAGCCCTCCTTAGTAAAAACAAAATAATGTATTCAGCCCTTTTTTAGTAAAATCTATGAGAGAGATGTACTAACTCCAATATAAAAGTCACTCAATATAACAGAGATTTCTCAATTTGAGAATCCAATAAATGCCCTTTTCCTCATAGCCATCTTAAAGGCCTGGTCTGAGCTTTAAATATATATATACATTTAAATTTTTTTTTTCAAATTCAGATGTCATGGAATCCAGATACAAAATGGTCAAGGTTCTTGTAGACAACCTCATTCAAGGCAAACTCATTGTGAGCCCAGGAAAAAAAATACAAACAGCAGCTAAGTTTTCAGTTTAAGATAACTTCATTCTAATTTATTGTTACAGTTACAACAAGATTTTAATCAAAAAATCAATTTTATTTGTCTGTAATTAACCCCTTCACTCCCAAGAGTGCTTGGTTTTCAAATATAATTTAAGATATTGTATTTTATGGAAAAGAATCAACAGATTTTATTCACAATTTGTGTCTAACCAAATTTAATGATTGATTAGGACTATTTTATATGAATAGCTGTAATTGAGGATTAATCTGTAAGAAGTTTTCAAGAAAAGAAAAATAAATCAAATTCCATCCTAATACTACCACACATTGATGTTAATAATTAATCAAAAATATTTTACATGTAAGCCTTAATTAAGCTTCTAAATAAATTTCATTGAATACTTGAATTTTACTGGGTTTTTTTAATTTAAAGTATTTATTTTATATCATTTGCCTCAAATTTTTGCTTAAAACTCCCAGTAATTCTTAAACATTCCAAAAAATTCCCAAAATTCCCAGAAATTCCTAGGAATTTTTTAGATTTACAGCTTTTCAGGGAAAGTCATTGGTTCTCTGAGTTGTAATTCCCAGGAATTCCTAGGAATTCCAAGTCCTGTTGGCAATAAACTTGGAATTTCTAGGAATTTCTAGGTTTTTAGAATCAGAGTTGTTATGGTTGGGAATTCCTAGGAATTCCTAGGAATTCCCAGTCCGAATTTACCGTGAAAATTCACACCTTTATTCCTAGGAATTCCAAAAGCCATTTCGCAAGGGTGGCTTGGATGATGATCAATTATGCCTGTGGGTTGCTTGAGAAGAATGGAGGGCATGTTGAAACTATTAAATTGATTGTTGCATTAAAATGGGAAGATGATCATCATCATCATCATGATGTTACCTCATAATGATGCAAAGTTACAAAATAGTTGTTATATGATGATCAAGTAGAGTCTTTACATATTATAATTATATACTCTATGACTTTTTTAAAATCATGTACCCACACTATCATTATAAAGCATTGCCAAGACTGCCATAAGTGGTTTAAACCCTCCCGTCTCCCCGATTACAGAGGACTATGACTTTCTTGACATCAATTGAACTTGCACTACCATGGTCATAACTAATATGATGATTTTTCCCTCCATGAACTTACCTCCCACTTCTTTGACAGACTGAAGTCTTAATGACAACAAGTTCCTATCATTTCTGTCGATCTTTTTTATGTTAAGGTTTAAAAATGTGGAAAAACATAAAAGATTATTTCTCTGATCACTGCGTTGGTATTTAATAGTCCATTTTTGCCGTTGTGTGATTGGTTGCCAAGCCTTTAAATAGGAGTATGACTAAGAGTGAGCTTATGATACAAATATTGCTGCTTTATAAATGCAATTTCCTTGGATATGCTCACCAGATACTGTTCTCTATCACACCAAGGTCACCCTCAGCCTCACTCCAAATCAAAAGGTTTGACAACTAAGCACACAACTATAAATTATGGCCTTTTAGGAAGACTTGCATGAAGGGTACATGTTTAATCAAAATTCAGTCTTAAAGTCAGTTATGAAGTAAATCTACAAACTACAAAAAGTTTCCTTCTATGTGCAACCTCAAATTTTAATGTGGAATATCTAGATATAATCCCTTGTTTCCCAAAAACTGAGGAGCACTTGCTTGATTTTTAAATCAACATAGCTTTGAAATCAGATGAATGTTTTACAGCAGTGGAAGATATGAGTCTTCAAAACAAAAATGTGCCTTTTAAAGTTGTATTTGTCCGTAGGAAAATGTGATGAAACTTTCACATTGGCTGAGTAGTGGAAAAAATTTAAAGCAATGAAAACTGCTTAATATATACAAGCATCACCAAGCTTCTCTTTCTGACTCGTTTCAGAGAGACCATCTACCCATGCACACACTATGTTTAAACTGGGTGAACATTAGTCTTTTAACTTAACTAATGTCAGTATCAGTTGTAGCATGGATAGTATGATTAAGTCATGGCTAAAAGGAGTATATCACTATTTATTTAAGTCATGAGGTATTAACTTTTCCGATGTTTTTTAATCACCCACACTTAAAGTATGAGCTGGCAAGTTCCCATGTCATAATTAATACCCGTCTTTGTATTTTCACCCTAAAACACCAAATTATCGAATATTTCCATAATAACCACAGCTAAATGTTAAAGATTCCCTCAAAGGATACAGCCAATCCCTTATCACACCAAGTGATTGCCTCTTCAAATCTCTTCAGTTCAACACAGGCAGTGGCTCCTGTAAGCAACAACACAAAGAAGCATATTATCACTGTAGCTCAATTCCAAGAAAAGAACCTGAAACCTGATTGAAAGCTAAATCATCTCAGCTGTCCAGGAAAAACAAAACAAAAAACTTAAAGGAAAAGAATAAACAGGCCCTGTTAGGTTTCAGTTAGATTAGCTTTTGATAATTGAAACTTCTAAGAACATTTGAATTGGGCACTCACAATTGCCACAAACTCACTATGAGATATAGATAGAATATAAAACATGCAATGCAAGAACGGAAAAATAAAACCCATCTTTTTAAATTATTATAATGGTGCATTTTTTTGCTAACTTGTTTAGAACTAGGTTAAATTTCAACTTCAATCAAAATATATAGACAAAGCAAAAACTTATGTTTGATATTAGTACTTAAGTTTCTCCTTACATGTAGTTTCAGTTAACATTTGACATACTTAATCAGTTGATAATTGATTCCTAGGAAGTGACTCAAACAAAGGTTTGACTGAAGTTCACCAAGAATAATATTTTCTCATACCGTTCCTAGTTACATTTATCATATTACATGTACTATAGCACTTGAAGTTGAGTTAGACTAAACGAATGAGGAAAGGTTCCTTACAGTTTTAAGTTAAGTCCTTAACTACTTCTTTTCAAAACAGCTAGACAGTGACTAAACATATCTGACACCACTACCTCACTCATTGAGGAAAAGGAAACAAAAATATTCATGCTGAAATTTTGCTTGCTTTCAGCATTGAGTTCTTCATACATCTCAAAATAGTATCCCATCATAATAAAAAGTTATGGACAGTAGTCAAGAGCTTTATTAAAATGTACATCAAGGTGGTCTCTACATCTTAATCAAAGTAATTGAGACAAGATTTAACTTCAGCTATCCTAATTGGAATGAGCTTTTTGTTTTTCATTATTATAATAGCACAGCTAACATATTGCTAACCTCTCACAATTGCCTTGAGGAAAGTTGGATTTGACTCAATGGCTGCTTCTGCATCCCTTAGTGAATCCTGGTGATTTCCTTTTTTGTAAAAATAAATACCTCTAATTAGCTGTACATATAACAAACCTACCTCGGTCCCCTTTACATTAATTTTAGGAAAAAACTTTTGATGCTCTTTGATATTTGGGGTAAGAGGTTACTTTTTTGTATGTCAAATGAGAGGCCAATATAAGGCACAGAGATATTTTCTGATGAATTTCCTTTTGCGCATAATATTGCATTCCAAATTATCACCTTTTTTGGAAAACTACTACTGACAGCCCTTAGCTTCAAAAGAGCAAAAAAATGCATATTAAAGCTCTCATCATCTTACCTAGTTTAAAATGTGCAGTAGCCCTGTTGTTGTACAGTTTGGCCTTCAGTTCTTTCTCATTGCAGTTCATTTTAATTCCTTCCGTGTAAAAATGAATAGCATTGGTGAAATCTCCTTTCTTGAAGGCCTCATTACCCTGATTCCTATAACCATCAGCTGTGGCTGCAAAGAAAAAAAATAAAAATTAATTTGTGTGAAAGTCTGTGGTTGTAGTTAATTAGTGTATAAGAAGACTTGCCAAGATCTGGAGATTTAAAATCTGCAGATTTTTCCTCTTTTGCCACCTGCCACTTTTGCGCTTGCCTGACTTGACCCATCCCTTGGAAACCTTTAATGCTGTAAACCCCCCCTCACAGGACAAACCCCAGTCAGTTAATTTATTGGAGACTTTTTTAATGAATGCTCAACCAATCAGACCCAGTTACTGTTGTGGTTGTAAGTTAAGAAGAAAGTGTATCAGTAATCCCTACAATGACCTACAATGACTTATGCACACCACCCCCCTTTACAGGACAAACCCTAGTCAGTTAATTTATGGGAGACTTTTTTTGGTTGAAAGCTCAACCAATTAGACTCAGTTGCTGTTGTGGTTGTTGTTTAGAAGAAAGTGTTATTCCTACTTTGAATCAATCAAAGTTAATCCTCTTCAAGTTTGGATGACCCATGTGGGAGACCCAGAGTGTGGTTCTGTGTCTGTGAGACTCTCTGATAATCAAAGGGAGTCAGCATAATTATAAGTGTAAAAGAGTCTACTACTTTGATTACATCTATAGATAGTTAACGAGTCCATAACATCCAAATGTTGCAATCATAAAAACCAGAAGCAATATTACTTACAGGTGAACAGTTATTATATAATAGATAAGAATGATGATAAAGATGAGATTAATAGTTATGATGATGTTAATAATGTGGGTGACAACAGTGGTAATAATGAGAATTAGGCATCACTCAACTTGAAACAAACCCCTGGGCATTTAGACTTTTGGAGAAAGGTTTCCTAAAATTCCTATCCCCCAGGAAAAATTTGTGTTCAAATGCCCACACAATTTTAAGGAAAAAAACAAAATAATTAGCAGCCTGACTTTCAACTAACTGACAAAGCTTTAAAATCTAGACCTTGAAGACTTCTTTCTTCTGAGCAATTTGATAGTGAAAGTGTACAATCTACCTTAAACACCTCCATATTCAATGATATAATACCTATATTCTACTTGAAATTAGCAGGGTTTAACCCCCCCCCCTCCCCTCCCGGCTTGAATGAAGATCCTGTGGGTTGCTCAAGGAGAAGGAGGGAGAGGATGTTGAAGCTTCCAAAGTGATTGTTGCATCATAATGAAAAGATGATGGATGATGATGATACGTATTATGCAAACTTACACAATGGATGTTATATGATGATCAAATAACCCCTTTACTTATTATAACTTTGTGTACTTGCTTTGAACTGTCAGAAAAGAAAATAACAAAGGTTTCTGCTTCAGAGATCCTCTCAATGAACAGCGTTTTGTTATCATAGAAGAGAGTCATGACTGGCCAAATATCCTTTAAAGTGCCCATACAGAGTATATATCCAGTTCTCCACATTTGCTTGCATTGGCAATAAATTGTTCTAACAATAACTGAAGCCGAAGTTAAACCTAGCTCACCTCGTAAAGTGTCCTCGTCAGAATCTGGTGCATTTTCTTTGTCAGGTAAGTCTTCATTTTCACATGGAACTTTAATTGGACTTCTTCTTGTAGCCATAGCAACTGTAAGAAGATGCTTCTTACAAAGTTGTTGTTTTAAGTCATCCTGGCCTGAAAAAAGTTGATGGTAAATGATAATAAACATCAACTGAACATATTACCCAGTTGCAAAATGAATATTTTTTTCCCATCTGAGAATGGGAGGGATACATAGACACAAAATCACAAGCAAATTAATATTAATGGAATACTTAAGCAGCAAAAGAACAAAAGATGCATATACTGAAGAAAACAAGCATTGATATTCAAATGAACAGCAATTCACTTCTCATAATAATAAATTTCAAGATTTACAAAAGACAGTCCTAATTGACTGAGATAAATTGGGCAAAAATCATCATCTGTGTGTTGCAAGTTCATATAATTTGTAACAGCAGCAATTGGAATTATTTAAACCAGAGGCTGTAGGTAGTTAGGTAAAGTCTGTATTTTAGCAGTGGCCCATCCAGGCCCTGAACTTATAATCCTGGATTGCTCACATGAAGTGACTAGATATTACTACTATTACTACTAATACCATTTCATCAGGTTCCCCTGATTAGTTTCTGGTACCCATTTGTACTCCTGGGTGGAGAGGGGTACCGTGAGAGCAAATTATTTTGCACAAAAACAAAACACATGACCTGGCCAAGTTACAAATGCAGATCTCTCGACCCTGACTCCACCTCACTAATCATAAGGCCACCATGTCTCCACAAGAGGAGATAGTTTATGCTGAATCCTTTCTCATAAGAAACAACTTTTACAAAACCAAAGTAAAATTCTCTTATTTGATTTTTAGATGGGGATTACTGATCAAAACAAACAAAATATGTAAGTTTTTTATTCAATTTCCTCCAGTTGAACCGACATCCATATTTGTGCAGCTGGCTGTTAGTTGAACTGGACACTTATGACAGGAAAAACAATGAAATATATACACCAATGCTTGCTGATGTATGTTGATATGGATTTCAATTTGGTACAGGTGCTGATGTTTGTGGTTTACCAGTATATGTATATAAAACTAATTGTTTTTGCAATTATTTCATGTTTACATTGTTTTGTGTACAGAATTGATTTGTCTTTGATGCTAACTTTAATTATCCTGATAATCTAGACTAGTTGTTTTTTCAAATATCATAAAATCTTTGCTGGCTGTCTTCACGTACAAAAAATTTCAAGAAATGTAGAGTAACAAGGATATCAATTGTTCTGGAATTCAAAATAGCCTGAGATGCATGTACAGTGTAGATCATTTTTTTGAAAGCCAGTACGAACTTCTTACCAACCATTCGAGCACGAGTCTTTACTAGAGAATATTGGCCCAAGGTTACGGCAGTATAGAAATGTCATTAAGTGCCAATATTTCCCAGTACAGCTAAAGAAAGCAAGGTTATGGTCATGCACTAATGTCACTCACACTACTCTAGTGTATTGTGAATTTTCTGGCTTCCAAGTAAAAATATAGGCATGCGTAGCATGCAAGAGTTATTTTTTTTTGACCGGGTGGGATGAGATGGGACACTGTGTACCTAATGTTTTCATTTTTGTAACAGAAAAAGAGCATAACTTTATAAAAGATCGAAATTATTGCATTACTTCACCTTAAGAGAGAGAGAGAAAAAAGGTAATTTAGCTGAACTCACACAGGTATCTTGTGGTCTATTTTCTCTACTGTCTAAATACTTCTAAGCAAAAATAAAATGGATTGGTGCCACGCTTACTGTTTTCTCCTTCACAGCAGTTGTTTGGTCTTGTCACACAACGCCATCTATTCCCCGACGAAGAGAGAGCGCGTAGCGTGATGAGACCAAATAATAGTTGCGAAAGAGACCACGCTTACTGCCGTTCCTCTACCAGAGAGAAAATCAAAATTATTCGTCTACAGTTAGATGCCTGAAAAATATAATTCCAGGTACTTCTACTACGAAAATCAAACTGAAACTCTGTTGTATCTCCAATAGACTCTAACCAAAGATATATTGCGATCTCGACCAATGAAGATACATTTTACAAGAGAAAAGGATAATATTTGAGAGAGGGCTCCTCGATTGGTTGTTGCCTATCTGACCTTTGCCCACTGTGTGAAATACTTTATAAAATGCAGGTTGTTTACAAGGAATAAACACGCGATTGGATTAAGTCCAAGGTAGTTAAAATCCGAGTTTATTCGTAGAAAAAGTTACAGCGCGGCAGAATTGCGTTAAAAGTTCACTATTAGTAGCAATTAGTGTGAATTTTTTCCAGTGGGGTTGGATATTGCGGTTAGAACACGTGATTAAATGCAGGTTGTTTACAAGGAAATGACACGTGATGGAGCGAAGTCTAATTTGGCAAAATGGAATTTAATTGGAGAAATAAAATTTGTAATCAGTAGACAAGGTCAGGGAAGCAAAAGAAAAAGAAATGTACATATCCCAAAAATCTGCACACCCCCTCCCCTACTGCCTCCTTCTTCCAGCTTTTCTGATGGTAATTTCGTTTCTAAGTATTAATTCACTCTATGTGAGACAACAAGGTAGTTTTCCATTCCCAGAAATCCGCGATATCGATCATACTTGAACTCTCCAGGCCTTACCCAAGAAACAATAATAAAGAAATGTGGGGGATAAAAAATAAATGTTCAAAGTCTTCAAGGATCTTTCATTTTCTTGCCAAGATCTTCAGGGGTCTTTTATTTTCTTTCCAAGATCTTTAATTTTCTTGCCAAGATCTTTACGGATCTTCAAAATTTTCCTGCCAAGATCCTGAACGATCTTGGCAGGAAAGTAAAAGATCCTTGAAGATCTTGGCAAGAAAATGAGAGATCTTCAAAGATCTTAACAAGAACTTGGAAGCTCCTCAAAGAATTTTCAAAGATCTTTAAAGGATCTTTAAAGTTTTTGTCAAGATCTTTGGAGATCCGAACAAGATCTTCAAGTGTACACGTAAATACGCTAGTCATAAAATCAGCAGTCCATTGTTGGAACTCTGCACAATTATCATGACAATATGCGAAACTTTGTTCGACGATTTCCGCTTGCTGACAAGTCTTTCCACTTGATAAAATTTTACCCCGTGTTTATATTTCCTTTTGCCTCTAGAAGCAACAATAATCTACACGATCTTTACTTCTTACCGATCGTGCCATGTTGTTTTTGCAACCACACCTTCGGGCATGCTCCGTAGAACTTTGAGTACACCACAGTCAGGGGGTATGGCACTAACAAAATGACTCGGATTAATTGTCATGTTTTCTTTCTTTCATATTGGACTATTTCCTTCTGTCCTTTCCAACTAAACTAATAGATAAATATTCGCCACCCAGAATGTCTTCACTGAAAATCACGAGCGGGTAGCACGTGGTGCACTCATGATTTTATGTGGAACAAACAAATGCAATTAAGCAATCTCATTTCAAATTTTCGTTAAATTTCTGACTCGAGTCATGACGAACAAGAACGAGGAGCATGTGGTTCACTCGTTAATTTATGTAGGACAAAAAAAAGAGCAAAGAAGACGATCATTTATTCCAAAATTTATGTGCGAGCTGGATTTCAGCTTATTTTCATTTTCTACAGGTGTGCTGATAAATATTCAGCTACGCTGTGTTCTTAATTAAACCTCTATTTTTTCAAAAGAAGTCAAATGATGTGTTAAAGAATTCGTATTTTGATTTGTAGTCTTAAATTTTTCTCTGACTGAAAATACCTGCCAAGTTTTGTATCTTTTAATAAGCAAGGAGTGCTTTACATCTTCCCCTCGAAACATGTGTTTGTCACAACTACTTCCTCTTTCAATTTCTATAATGCGAACAGGATGTAACACGTAGACGATAGTTTATAATCAAAATAAAAAGGAAAAAGGCTTCAGATTATCTCGTAACACTCAGTTTTCTAGGTTCTAACTAAATGTTCTTGTAAAAAAATGGAGTAAGCAGGGACACAGCACTTTAGATCGATAACATTCTCATAACTTCCTCTTGTTTGCGATCATATGGTCTAGTGTGTTGTTGCCGGCTCACTTTGCTGAAAGACCTATATGAAACCAAGACCTCACGCCTCATACCAGATTGTCTATATTTTACAATGTAAAAACTTTTCTTTGTTAATACAAACTGGCAATGTTACTGATGGAACACTGCGAGTGGATGAGACAAACCAATTGGTTTAATTAATTATTTCAGAGCTTACCTTAAAACGACGTTTCGTCAACGACGGAGCGTTGAATTCGTCCTCAAGAACCTGTTAAATTTGTAAAATTTTGCAAGACCGAAGATATTTTGATGAGTTCTTCAGAAGAGACTTATAACACGAACGGTGTCGAGAGGGTACTCTTTTCCTAGTGGTCTCACGACGTAGGAGTATTTGATTTTATTCCTCTGAAATTTAGCTCGCGATAACTTAGAAGCAACGCTTTGAGCTGGGGATGGCGAACGTTAAAAATTTCTCGCTGCCACCAAAGATGTTCACTCGACCACAAAAGGATGCAAATGACTCACTTTTTGTTTCACGACCATAATGATGTTTTAACCATTGCGTGACATTCTCTGGAAAACCAAAAGTTAATGACACATTGTGAACTTTCCCGAGGAAATGAGTCATAAATAATGAATAATATGGGCGCGCGTAGATGCGAATTTGGTTGATGGAATACAATTCAAGCACGTAAAAAATTGCCTAATGCTCATGTAGTACAATGATTGGGTATGTTCTAATGGACTTTGGACGTTGTTTTTATGGTACCGAAGGAACGTGAGTTGTTAGGCGTGTTCGTTGTGCGTAAAGGAGGCGTAAAAACACGTTTGACTTAAAAATAATACAAAAAATGAAATGCGAACCTTTCATGTCCCGATAAATCTCGACCTTAATCAACGAAGCTCTCGCAAAGGCCACAAACCACCACACTTATCAAACTAGACCCTGTGAGTAGGGTAACTGGGATACCTGGATGGTACTGGATCCTTGGAATCAAGTGTAGTGATACTACGGGTGTCGGACTAGTATACTGAAATAGTGAGCTCAAGTCTGGCCAAGGGCATACAACTATTTCAAAACATAGGCATGCTATGCATGCAAGAGTTATTTTTTG